AGCTCGCCGCAGAGAAGCTCGCCGCAGAGAAGCTCGCCGCAGAGAAGCTTGCTGAGGAGCAGAGACTGGCTGAGGAGCAACGACTCGCTGAGGAGAAGCTGGCCGAAGAGCAGAGACTCGCTGAGGAGAAACTTGCCGCGCAGAAGCTCGCCGAGGAGCAGAAGGCAGCTGAAGAGAAGAGACTAGCCGAGGAGAAACTCGCTGCGGAAAAGCTTGCAGAAGAGCAGAGACTGGCTGAGGAGAAGCTCGCTGCGGAAAGGCTTGCAGAGGAGCGGAGGCTTGCAGAGGAGAAAATCGCAGAAGCTAAGGCCGCAGAAGCGAAAGTAACAAAGGATAAGGTCACAAAGAATGAAACCGGCGACGAGGAACGTCATTCAGCGGTTTCAGAATTGGAAAGCCCCGTACTAGGCGCTTCGCATGTTGAACAATCTGTGGGTGTCTCCAGCGGCTGGCCACTTCCTGACACTGAGGTTAATTCGAATATCACATCTCAAGCAGGCACGTCCGAGCCTGTTTCGCCGATTTCTATTGAGCCGATCAAAATCAAGAAAGCCACCCCGCAATTGATCAATCAAAAGCCTCTGCCGAATCCCGACGATCGAAGCTCTGAGCCTCCAACACCGCCAAGCCAGGATGCACCTCGCGCCGAAGGAAGCAGGAGCAATAGCTTTGTTGCCAACCTACGAAGCTCTCTCCTGGGAAAGCCTCCGTTGCCACCGAAAACAGCACCGCTACCATCGACCCCTACGAGGAACGCTCCTACTCATTTTTCGTCGCCTTCCCCTTCGCCTCTGAGAACCAGCTTCAAGGAGAATCTGGGATCGACATCCCCAGCGCCGTATCAGAAACCCGCATCCTACTTTGCTGCTGTAGGAGTCAAAAACGCGTCTGCTAGAGACAAAGCTTTACCTTCACCCCCCGTTCCTCCCAAGGGATCTCGAGCCTCTGTCGATCAATTCTCCTCGCCACGATCGTCAGCCTCGCTTGTTCCTTTAGCAGATGAGTCATGGGATGCACTTTCCAGCTTCTTTAAGCCCCTACCTAAATCTAATGACCGTGTGAATGTCGACGCCCAGGTGCTGTTGGCAAAGCGTGGTGACGAGATGAAGATCCGAACATTGAAACGGCAAATATGGGAGATCACAGGCGACGGAAAGAAGCAAGATCTTCCCGTCAACCAGGAGTATATTCTGTACGAAGGTAGCATGTACTTGTGCGTGCATATGTTTGAGGCTGATGGTAACGTGCGTTCTGAGATCCACCTCTGGTGTGGTGATGATGTTCCCGATGCGGCTGTCGACGATGCCCAACCCTTCTCTCGACGAGTTGCAAAAGAGAATGGATGCAAGCTCGAGATCATCAAACAAGGCAAAGAGCCGGCCCGTTTCATTCAAGCTTTGGGCGGGATTCTCATCACCCGTCGTGGTTCTAGCTCCCGGTCCAGTTCTTCTGCTATCTTCATGCTTTGCGGACGGAAGCATCTAGGACAGATGGTGTTTGACGAAGTGAACTTCTCGCCTAGCAGCCTTTGCTCTGGCTACCCTTTCGTGATTTCCGCCATGTTTGGCAAGTTGTTTCTCTGGAAAGGGCTCGGCAGCTCTGCAGAAGAGATAGGAGCCGCTCGCCTGATTGGGATGGATCTCGGCCTCACTGGCGAGTTTGAAGAAGTAGGTGAAGGAGAGGAACCAGAGAGCTTTTTTGAAGTCTTTCCGCAGTACGAAAGGACGGCGGATGAGAAGGGTGCCAACAACTGGCGCATGAAGCCCAAGCTTGACCGGTATCGCACGCGCCTGCTTCGCGTGAACCATGAACTCGGTCAGCAACGGGCTGGTTTTTGGATGCGTCGTGCTGGTTCCCCTTCTCCAATCACTCGCCCGAACGACACTGTGCAAGAGGTAGATCCGTTCTGTCAAAAAGACATTGACGTTAAAGGAATCTATGTTCTCGACACCTACTTTGAGATTTATGTGTAAGTGATCTCTAGGAATTTTCCCAAACCATTCGAAATCACACGCTAACCCTTTGTTGACAGGATTGTGGGTGAACAAGCCTCAGCCCGCGCTGCCGAGTTCGCTTCAGCAGTCTATTTCGCGCATGAATACAGTATCCTGGCCGCCTCTTTCCAAGATCGACCATTTATCCCGAAGAGTTTTGTCTCCCTCGGCGGAATCCCAGAGAGCTGTAGCAGTGCATTCCGCAAATGGAACACGAGCTCGTGGCAAACCATTCCGCAAGTGTTTCCCTTGAACGCGGCAATCGAGGCAATTCGCAACCCCTAAACTTCCCGCCATCTCTCCTTGTTCCTCTAGTGTTAGTGGGCGTCATACCCGGATTTATCTTGATTTTTTCTCGCCTATCTTTGTTTATAGCGTCTTGCATTTAGATTGTGCATATATCGGGCTGTACAGAAATGGTGCTTGGCTACATTTTTCTGGAAGGATTTAAATGGAAGCGCGGATATAGAAAGCCTGAACGGCGGGGCTCATAGGGAATTTTGACAGCATGTATGTGTGAGAGAGGTTGTCTAAGTGTCTGTTGCATTGCTGGGTCCTTATTTGCATTCATCTTTGGCGTTTCGGAGGATAGTCCTTTGCTTACCGGTGTTCATGAGAGGATTGCTGGTTTTTCTTTGGTGCATGTATGATAATTCTGTTCTTGAGGACAGTTAGACAATTTCAATCATGGTTCACCTTATTGTGCCGTGGACATGCATTGGAATGCTCTTATCCTGACCATGGTGGGAGGGGAAGATAAGAAGAAAAAAGGTTGTTGCGATGGGCAATCGACCCACCGCGGCTCGTCATCGGCCGTCAATTTTCCCCCCGCGCTCTGATCTAATTTTCGCCGCTTGGTGTCGCTGATTTCGCCTCAGTCTTTCCTCGTTCCTTTCTCTCCCCCCTCTCTCTCTCTGCAGTGTTGAGAGACTACGTTGTCTCTCTGTATATGTCAGTATGCCTTGATTGATCTCTGATTGTTGGAGAAATTATCACCACCCACCACCACCAAGCATATCATGGACCCCGCCGTCCTTCGCGAACTTTCGCGCCTCGACCCCGCGGTGCCCTTCCGCGCCACCACCGATCATTTGCATCACACCTGGGCCAAAACATTCTTTTCACGACCGGAACTCTACGTTCGTCCTCAGTCCATCGCCGAGATCCAGAAACTAGTCACCCTCGCCCGCCACTGTCGTCGTCGCCTCGTCACCGTTGGCAGTGGTCACTCGCCCTCCGATCTGACATGCACCTCGTCCTGGCTCGTCAATCTCGATGACTTCAGCCGCGTGCTGGACGTGTCGACCGATACCGGCGTGATCACCGTACAGGCAGGAATACGCTTGAGGGATCTAGGGAAACAACTGGAGAAGCATGGCTTGACCCTGTCGAATCTGGGCAGTATCGACAGTCAGTCGATCGCGGGCGTCATCTCGACGGGCACGCATGGCAGCTCCTTGCAGCATGGTCTGATCTCCGAATGTATTCTGTCCCTGACGCTGATGCTGGCCAACGGGCAGTTGGTGCGGTGCAGTCCGACCAGTAACCCGGCCCTCTTCCGCGCCGCCCTCATCTCTCTCGGTGCGCTGGGCATCATCGTCGAGGTCACCTTGCAAGCCGAGCCCACCTTCAAGGTCGCGTGGCGGCAGACGCGCCGCAGTCTGTCGAGCGTCTTGACGGAATGGTCGACGGGGTTGTGGACAACGCATGAGTTCGTCCGCGTCTGGTGGATGCCATACGAAAAGAGCGCGGTCGTTTGGCACGCGGACAAGACCGATCTTCCGGTGCGCGCCCCGCCTAAGACGTTCTATGGGGAGACGATCGGCTATCACATCTATCACAATCTGCTGGCCCTGGCCAACTACTTCCCTCGCATCTTGCCCTGGGTCGAGTGGTTTGTTTTTGGGTTGCAGTATGGATTCAGGGATGAAACTAAGGTCACGGAAGCCGTGGAGCCGGCCCGCGAGGGACTGCTCATGAACTGTCTCTACTCGCAATTCGTCAATGAGTGGGCCCTTCCCTTGGAGAAGGGTCCCGAAGCCATCACCCGGCTTTCGGCTTGGTTGAACGGCGACGCGCAAACTGCACGGATGCCATTCTCTGTCGAGGGACTCTGGGTGCATTGCCCGATCGAAGTCAGAGTCGCCGACTCTACGCTCAATAAGAACCCCCGCCCATTCCTGGACCCCAGTTGCTCCGACGGTCCGACCCTGTATCTGAATGCAACCCTCTATCGTCCGTACCATCGGGATCCTCCCTGCACGGCTCGCTACTACGAGGCTTTCGAGTGGCTCATGCGCGAGTTGGGAGCCAGACCGCACTGGGCCAAGAACTTCGTCTCCACGCGCGATGAACTGAGGCAGCTGTACGGTGACGGCATGGGTGAATGGTTGAAGGTGCGTCAGGACGTCGACCCGGATGGCATGTTCCTGGGCGAATGGCACCACCGCAACCTGGACTTGCCTCTTGCTGAGTCAACTGCCACGGAAGAAAGTCTTCCTCTTCTCGAGCGGGAAAACGCTCGTCGGAAGGCAGGCGTCCGCGGGGCGGGCGACGGCCTAGAGTGGATCGGTGACAAGCGTTGGAAAACGAGGCAAGCTGTGTCCTTGACCCTTCTCGAAAAGGAGAAGCCATTTGTCTCGGCAGAGAGCACAGGTCTGAGTCCTCCCACGACAGCAGCGAGTGACGAGAGTTTCGACCTGCTCGCAAGCGGTGAGGCCAGCATTGTTCTTCCTGATCGCCACTTGTGATAAAAAAAAATCAGGCTAATGAGACTCGAATGGAGCAAACAGCCTATGCGCGGTAATTGTCTAGTCATGGGTGGGTTGGACGAAATGAGTAAGCCAAGGGCACTTGGTTGGCCGGTGACCGATGACCTTTGACAGTCCATGTACTTCAATGTATATTCTTTTCCATTGATTTCTTTTGTTTCCCAAATTCTTTTGATGTCTTACAGGGAATGCATGGTCATTATCCAAGCTTGTTCCTCAATGACTGAGTACAATATGCGTCTGCACCTCATCGACCCCTCCTCTGATTAGCTGCTTTCTGTTTGCTAGGTCCTGGCTATGAGCTGGCATGCGGCGAATGACAATGGACTTGGGGATGTGACCAACTCTCATCCACTAAATAATTGGGCTCATCTGAATGAAATTCGGAGTATTGGGACTCCGTCGCCTGCGTCCGGCTGTCGTCGGGAAGGCTTATCCTTTTCGACGACTGTCGGCATCTTTAGCTTCTGGGGAAAACGCACCGTATTTTGCTGTACAAATCATCATCTCCTCCATTTGGGTGGTCTATTACCGAATCTCGTAGGGGTGTTCGTGTCATACATAGTGCACGCTCGGTTGCGTGGGTGTGGTTTTTCGGCAGTGGCCAATTCGAGCCGTTCGTGCGTGTTATTAGGCTATGTATACGCCTGATGTGCGAGCTTAAGCTCTTCGCGTATAGGGCCGTATCCAAGGCGGAAGACCTTTTCTACCTTGATTGATTGCATGCCAAACGTCAGCACTTATCCTTCCTTGGCTAACCACTGATGATTCTTGCTTGCTTCGGCTGGGGATCTTACTCGATCTGGAGAGAGAGGTAAGAAAACCTGTTCGATATTATTTCTCTTTCTTTGTCTGCGAAGAAGGCTTGGCCCCATCCGAGAGCTCAAAAGAAAACAGAGATCATGCTAGTTTATGCCATGCAATGCAGGTGATACCAGGATAGGCTTCTGGCAGAGGAGTAGCATGGAGAATGAATGGCGTGCGGCGTACAGGCCTCCGTCTCTCGTCCTGAAGATCATCATGGGACCTGGTTGCTATGGCGCCCGTTTCTCGTGGAGAGGCAGAAAGAGGATTGTGTGAACAAACGGACTCTCCGAATTGAATCTCTGTTGACAGGCAGAAAGATGGAGACAAGTGGATGAAATCCCGTGGAGTGGAAACTGGAGCCCTGAGAAGTCACGTTCCTTCCCAATTGGGCTCTTTCGTTTCCGATTTCCTCCTTTCCACTTCTCCTCTTCGTCTCTTTCTCCCTCTCCCTCTCTCTTCATGTCTCCCATTTGCCTCATTTTCCTCCCTCTACCTCGTCCACTCATTCGCTTGCCCCGGTGATCTTAGCTCCATGCCGGCCAGCGTCTGCCTGATCAACGTCCAACAACTGTCAGAATTGCCAACCATCATGATTGGAAGCCGAGGCAGCTCATTGTCCTCCGCCGCTTGACTGCGCCACAACCTCGGTTCCTCTCCCTCAGAGTGACCTTGGATGGATCATGATGCACGGCCTCTTGGTTTGACTAGATGGCACAGGATTGTGACAGAAGGTTATCTCAGTTGCAGCTCAGCGTTGCTCAGCGGCCATAGGAAGCGGGGAAAACAACACCAGCGACGCAACCCAGAAGCCAGAGCACGGTGACAGGCCAGACAGACGGAGAAAATCACCGCTTCATACGAATATCTGCAGGGTGGACGGGCCTTTGCTGCAACCAGCCCATGCGGTCTGCTCGTACCCACGCAGGATCCCCGGGCCCCTCTCTTCCCCCTCTCACCAAGTGTGGCAAAGAGAGAGGGGAAAGTCTAGTCAGTAGCCCGCGGCACACATGTCCTTCCTTGCCCTATATCACAGATCCAAACTTCATAATCTTCTAGTTGATTGCTGTTGGTGGGGGAGGGGCAAGTCATGATTCAACCCTAGGTTCGAGGAAGCCCAATGTGATGGTCCCGTCTAATCAATCAACCTTGCTGACCATCACAGCCGGCAATGCAAGATACAGGTTGAAGGATCGGCAAAGCGAGAACGGGACAGACAATTCCATCGTATTCTCTTCTGTCTATGTTTCACTCCTTTACTTTCCCCTCTTTCTCTTCGCGTCATCCTGCCTGCGTTTTTCCTTTCTTTTTCCTTTGACTTTCTTTGGTGTCCACCGGACGAGGTGCACGGAATCCTACACAACATTATGCGCGGTTAATACTTTTCTGCGGAACTCGACTTGTGCGGTATTTCCCACAAAACCAGCAAGCCTGTACTCTCCAAACGATGATGCAGATATACTGAGCCGATGCCTTCTCGGTCGGCTTTTTGCAGCCTTGATGACGAACCTTGCTCCTGCTATGGTTGGCCCACGCAGGTGCTGTTCATCAGCATCTCAAAAGTTCATCAGGTGATGGCCTTAAGATATACGTTGCCAGCCTTTCTATTGTGTTATGCTACCTCCGGGCTCTTACACAGCAGAAGAACCCTACCAGGTCCTAGCATTGAAATGCCCATAGATACGGAAGGGGTGTGGGCTTAGAGGTGACGCCCCTGTTCCTTCATTAGACATGCTGCACCACTGCACTTTAAACTCGAGACGGTTAGCTCTCTTAGAACACATGAGCAGCATGCAGCGTACGCTGAGAGCGTGCAACGGAACCGACCTTCCCGCGACTGAATCCGAAGGGGCCTAGTGAGGTGACCGCTACCTATCATTTCTGTGCCTCGTCAAGTTGAGGGTTCCAGGACAAATGGTTATTTTGACAGGCGCGGGAAAGAGGAAAAATCCAGACGAAAATTACAGAAACTTGAAAAAAGCAATTGTCATCCCACGCCATTGGGTCGACTGCTGCTTGTCACCTTGGCGTAATGCTGAGCTCAGTGCGAGGCACGCGCTCATGGACAACTCGAGAGTAGTCAGAGTGTGCGATGGCGCTGGTCATCCGTGTACCAATAGCGACTGTGGAAATGTCCGATAGTCGCTCATGAGGCATAAGCTGATGATGCTGATGCCTCCTCGCCAATTTGAAACCATTTTACCCTACCGCGGTATTGTCTGGCCGTGAGCCGACTCACCGGTAACCGGTTTGGGTGCCTTTGAAACGATCGGGAGAAAATGAAATATGAGGGATAGGGAAATGATGTATGAGAACTACGGAAATCGAAGCATGATGCACGTTTGCGGCTTCAGCCAGCGGACGAGTTTCCTCCGGCACCAGATCATCTCCCAGGCTCCCACAAGCACCGCGGAAGAGAGTCAGGTTGAGCCTTGAGCCTTTGGGGGGGGCTTACTCTGCCCTTCGCTGCCCAAATGACCAGGGTCTTACCCGGTTAGTGCCGACAAGCGGTGCGGTGGCAGCGATGCGTATCCATCCCGTGGTAGCTCTGACGGCTCGGACCGTCGCCAGGCGTGATTACTGACTACTGGCGTGTCTCGCGCCAGCGAATTTTATCTGGTCACCTGTATCAACTGCCTCCGATGGGCAGAAACCCCATGGTTGCGGGGTCCCCCTGGTGTACCTGCTAGGCTACCACAGCCACAACGGCCTGAAGGACGTCGAGCGACCGGTCCGGTCAATATCGTGACAGGCTGCTTCACCACGTCACCGTCAATGTCCTGGCGATATGCATCCGCTTGGGCGGGGTCGTAATGTCGACATGCGTGCGCGGGGCTGCATTGGGATAAAAATGATATCAATAATAAACAGTATGCCTCTCAGCCTCTTCGCCCCTTGTCGATATCTCGCACCCCACCTGCTTGTTCCTCTCGAGGGACAGTCTGACATCTACTACCCCTCCCCCTCCGACTGAATTTCGCGGTGCTATCGATTAGTCAGGCCTCATATCAAAATTATCATATCAAACCCCTCCTGCCACCCTGTTCTTTGGTGGGCGCTCAATTGCTTTTGACTCTACTGTGGATGACTTGCCTACGTCTTATCATTTCGTTGTAAAGATGTCTCGTCAACCCAAGCTGCGACCCAAGTCTTACATCCCTGGCTATCCAGATGCCATGTACAATCTTGCGGCGGTAGCCTCTTTATCGCAGCTTGAGTCTCGCGTGGGGTTGACGGACGAGAAACATGACCAGCGCGTCTTTCGAGTCAAGCGCAAACATGTGCTGAAAGCATGCGATCGTTGCAGAGTCAAGAAGACCAAGGTTTGTGAAGCATTGGTTGTTCCTAAATTTCTGTGTACATCTTTCTCAGCCCATAGCACGATCTCGTGGTCTGCGGTGATACTCATGAGATGCTAGTGTGATGGGAAGCAACCATGCAACCGCTGTTCAGCGTATAACCATCCATGTCTCTTTCGGGAGAGGAAGGCTACGCAGACCAAAGTATACTCGCGAGGGTACGTGTGCGGTGCATTCCTTACGGTGATCGGCCTTTGGAGTTCACCAGGACTGATCGGCTAACTGATATATGGCTAGATTCGTTGAGATGCTTGAATCGCACCATTCACTGGTGGTGAAAGCACTTCAACGGCTCTACAAGCTCTGTGTCAACAAGGAGGACTTCCCCGGGGAGCCACTGCAGGATGCACCCGACGGCTATCCTCTGACGCACGCTATCCTGGACCGTCTAGGTTTGATCAAACAAGCCGAGGAAAATGCGGACGAGCCCGAGGAAGAATCGGAAGACCTTCAGTACTTGCGATTCCTTTCCACCTCCACTGATAGTAGCGCCACAACAGATCCATCACCGGAGCCTGCGACCCCTCCTGAGCCCTCGCCGACCGAGTGCAGTCCCATTCTTCATTCGCCCAAACGCAGCGAATCGTGGAGATGGGACATGCAGCCGGTTCAGGACGTCCACCTAGGACAGTATCAGAGCTATCATCAACACACCGGGTACCATGCCATAGCCGTTCCGCGGCCACACTCGGACTCTACGGCCCTTGCAAGCGAAATGAATTGTTCTGATACCGGGTCATCAGTGCCTGCTCATGAGCAGCCGTGCTACTACTACATCAATACCGACTGTGGTGGGGACTCCACCAAGAACCCCGGCCTGCCGGTCGGCTTGGTGCCGCAACAACCTGTAACTGGGCCCGGCATGCCTGTGACCTTGATGGGTGATTATGCTTTGCACATTCCCGAACAGCACGCTATCTATCCACCTCTTGCGACCAACTGGTCGTATCATTGTGGTTAGCTATGGCGGATACATGTAGAGTCTGGGCATTGTGGCCTTCACGTCACTTTCCTTCCGTCCACTTTCTTTCCTGTCTGTCAACTCCCCGACCTTCGTACTAGCGTACACTGTCCATCTCATGATGTAACTACACAGATACAGGGTGACAGCCACTCTGCCCATCATTGGTTCCCCTTGATTATGTTTCTTTGTCTATATTGATCTTTAGCATGGTGTTTCCGATCACGTTTTACATACCCAAAGGCATTTGCTATCACTACAACGCTTTATGATTATACTCTCTAACGACCACAGGAATACTCTTCTTTCTGGCTACGTGACTAACTGTATCCAAGCTTGGCAAAACGGTCTACAGTACTACACTTCTTCTACCTTATTATTTGGGCAGAAACTACTGGGAATATAGCCGCAGCATTCATTTTTTGAAATCGACAGATTACACTACCCCAGGGTTTTTTTTTCTTCCCTTCCCGCACGAAGACTGTGCCACGCATTCTGTGTCTACCATAATGATGGGTGGCCTACCCCCGCAGGAGCCATACATACATGCTCCCCGCAACACAGACTAGAGACAATGAACCTTGTCTGCCCACTTCTGAATCTATCCAAGATCTAATGACTACAGGATACTGAGGCGGAAGCTGGAACCGGTGGACTCCAAGGTTATACTTGTAGTCGCTACACAAGGAGAGGGAGCTGATGGAGAGGAACCGGAAGGAAACGATACAAATTGAATGGTCGGACAATGGTCGCAGTATATAGCGACTTTGATTAGTAGTAGAGCAATTGAACAGACGAGGTACAAGCTAAGCGAGCTACCGATTATAGTATGCATACAAACTATTTACCCTTCAGGTACGCACCACTCAGTAAGTAGTTGACATGTTCGAACGGACTATCCCAAGTAACTATTCCCAGATATCAAAGACAATTTAATACAAGTCCGACAACCATTTAGCAAGCAAGCAAAGCAGCAACTGAAAAGTGAAAATGAGGTAGGTATATTGTTTATGGTAGGAGCTAAATGAGAAATAAAAAAGATATAAAAAAAAAAAAAAAAGGGAATCGGGTCCCCCTCCTCCGCGCCTTTCCCCCTTTCCCACTTTCTCAAACAAAACAAAGACAAGAGAACCAGCAAAGGAAAGGGTAAGTTAAGGTATCATAGACTTTCTCTTTTCTTTTTCTTTTTCTCTTTACTTCTGGTCGTTCACATACACGGAGAGAGAGAGAGAGGGCGAAAGAGGGGTTATACTTTGTTTCATTTCCCTATGCGAAACCCCCATTCTGGGCCCACCAAACAATGGGACTCACGCCCACAACGATTCCTCTATCCCACACCCATTCACTATCCACCTTATCAACTTCAATCGTCATCATCGTCAATATCCGTCTCCGTGTTCGTGTCGCTTGTATCGCCTGCGTCGCCGTCGGTGTCGCTCTCCTCTTCTTCGCTGGAGTCAGCGGCGGCGGAGGACTTCTTGGTTTTCTTCTTGGGGGGTTGGCCTGTTTTCAGGGCTTGCATTTGGCCGGCTATTGAGTCTGTGGGTTTAATTGTGTTAGGTTTTTGGTGTTTTTTGGGGGGGGAAGGGGGAGGAAGAGGTCGTACCCTCATCAGGCTCACTGATATCGTCCTCCTCATCCAAGGCGGCGGCCTTGGCGGGGTCGTCGATGTGCAGGGTGATTTCCAGTTTGGTGTCGAGACCCAGGTAGCTGTCGCAGAGCAGGTGCATGACGAAGGTGAAGTCGCCGACCTGGGGCGGGGCTTGGAACTGCATTTTGAGGGTCTGGACGTTGAAGGTGGGCTGGCCGGTGGCCGGGTCGAAGAGCGGCTGGTCGAAGGTGGTGAAGGTGAAGGGCGGCACGGCCATCTTGCCCTGCTTGGCGTCGGCCAGGAAGACGTGCCAGCGCGGCGAGTGGTCGCGGGCGAGGTAAGGGGCGTGCGCGAGCGGCGGCTGCACCGGTTCGGACTTGGCCTCCTCGACGACGACCTTCTGGCCGTTGACCATCTTGGTCTTCTTGCTGCGCGCGGATTTGCGACCCATCACTGCGTCCAGGTCGTCCTCGTCCGGGTCGATGTCCTCGAGGTCGGCGGGCGATGGGGTCGGCACGTTGGTCGATCCCGGCGGGATGAAGCGCGCTTTCACGACCAGTTGTACCAGGCTGCTTGGGGTGATCACCTTCTCGCCCATCACCTTGAAGAAGGCCCGCGACACATCTAGGACCGGGAGCTGCTTCGCCACGTTGATCGCCGTCGTGTACTGCTTCTCGCTCAGGAGACCGGCGCCCACCGTGAGGCGGTAGCGCTCAGCTTCGGGCAGGGACATGAACTTTTGCACGCTGAAGTGTTCCTTGCTGTCGGCGCCTTCGATCGTCCGAATGAGTTCCGGCGTGAAGTGCGGCAGTTGGAGGAGCGGGGACGAGCCGGGCGCGACGGCCTGGATGAGGTGCTGGGCTGTGCGGAAGGACCCGAGGATCGGGCGGAGGTTGCCAAAGGCGAGGGCAATGGCCGTGAAGGCCTCGTTCAGTGAGAGGGCGATGGGAGCGGCTTCGTATTTTTCTGGATCGGGTGAGTGGGTTGGGGCGGTTATGGAGCAGATTGACAGGGTTTCACTTACCTCCGTTGAGCGTGGCGTCTTCGAGGTCAACGCGGCCGAGGTAGGCCCAAAGCAATGCCAGCGCCTTCCGTCGGCTCGAATCGTCAAGTCCCTTGATGAACTCGCGGTCCTCGGGAGTCAGGTAAGAGGAATCTTCCGCCAAGACCTTCTTCTCCAGCTTCGCCAATCCAGCATCGGACCGAGGTCCTTGCAGCATTTCCATGAACTCGTCGCCAGAGGACAGCGCATTGATGATCCCGCCATCGGTGATGTCGTCTCTGTATTCCCGGAAGATGTTGCCAGCACTTGCGACGAGGACGCGCTCCTTGGTGTAACGCTGAGAGCCGTACCACCAGCGGCCGACGATGTAGGGGAGGAGCACGCCAAGCAGAGCACCGTAGACCAGCAGGGTGTACTTGGAGTTACCCTCGGAGACAATGAACGTGGGGAGGGCAATGCCGATGCTCATGCTCTGCTTGCCGTCCGGGTGGCCGTACTGGATGTAGTTGTTGCGGACCTCCTCGTCGGTCAACGCCTTGTAGGCCTTGGTGAGCTCGACGAAGCGCTCGTTGAGCATCTCCATCGTCTCATTCTTGGCCGGGTCGGGGCGGATCTTGTCGGGGTGGTAGACCAGCGACAGACGCTTGTAGTGTCTAGAGATCGCTTTCTCGTCGGCGCTCTGCAAACAACCCCCACGAGTTAACACCTTTCACGTCTCTTCTCCGGAAAAAGTACAAGTCCCCGAATTACTCACCCGCGAAATACCCAGAATGTCGTACGGATCCCAGATCTTGGGTACTGTTCGTGCAGTGACGACGATCAGATAGGCCATCCACGCCATGACCGCGTAGCCAACCACGACGGTGACGATGCGCTTGATCCGACGTTCCTTGCGCAGACGCTTGCGCTTCTGCGCCTCCACGAGATCGCCATGTTCGGGCTTGAAGTCCGACTTTATCCGCGGGGCGGTGTTTTCCAGACCTAAACGAACAGCTCCTGTATCAGTATCCGGAGCTCACCACGAGATGCACGACAGGAGGCCGGTTGTGGCCAGCTAATTAACTACTCACCCTTGCTCGGCCGGAGGAGATTGTATGTTAGAGGAAGAGTGACGAGACTCGTCAGGGTGAGGACGAAGAACGGGAAAAATTGTCCCTAACGCAGATCGATACAGATCAGCTTCCACTCCAGCCTGTGAGCTTCCGGGGCACCACCTACCTTGTCGTCATAATTGTAGTCTGTCGACATGGTGCGATAGTTTTATAGTGGACACGGTCGCCCGCAGCGGGCAGGACGAGGAACAAAGCGTGCAGCTCCTGGGCACACCGGATATGTAACAGTAAGTCGAATTATGTCCGATAATGGGGGTGTGGGTGAGAAAGAAACAGGGATTAAGTTGTTGAGCTGGGGATCATGATCTCCCTTCAGGTCAACAGTAAAGGAGTGTGTCGTAGTAGTGAAAGAAGAAGAAGAGGAGGAGGGAGAAGTTGATCACGACGGAGCATGTCCCGAATGATTATTATCGTATCGGCGCTGGTCGTGCCTTGTGATCGACCGTGTCCTTTCCAGGGCGGCGGAGGGTGTCACCGCCTTCCACATCTAGCATTCAGGGTCAAGCCTCATTTTACCTCATTTTAGGTTAATTCTTCCTACTTGAGTCAAGCCACGGAACTCAGCCTTTATTTCTACCAACTACTTGACCACCGAATTTACTCAATTGGTTGTGGAGGGCCATAAAATAAATGTAGAAATATTCTTAATTGATTTCGTGTACAGTGCCTCTGGAGGCCATCTAGTACACCTCTAACGTTCTATCTACCAGGGAGTCGATATCTCCGATCTCCGGTCCTGAAATAGGCATACAACAAGCATACATGTTCGAGCTTCATTTCATCATAAAACTGATTAACCCTTTTTGTTGAACCTCCATTTTAGATGAAACATCTTGTTTTTAAAACGCCAGCTCAAAACACTTTTGATCCAGCTGTCATGTCCTCATATAGTTCGAGCATCAGGGGGCCCCAGCACTGAGGAAAAGGTGTGAGAATGGGAGAAGATTCGCACAAGACTGTGTAGACGGAGGTGCATAGGAAGCAATCTTCCGCGTCAAGAACAAGCCCACCAGCTGCAAAGGGGGGAACTCAAGCATCGCGATCAAGGATTCTTAACCGGGACACGAACTCAACCCACCCGCAAAATGGAAAAGCAAGGCCCTTGGCGCTGTAAGACACCCGCTGCTCTCGACGTCGTACAGTCTTGCGGGGAGTTGTCTCCAAACCAGGTTTCAGATGGCCAGGCCGTTCAAAAGACCAATCCAGATCGAATTTGCTGAGTCGATCCTTCATTGCTACAAGTCATTGGCCTGGGTAGTATCCAGTGAAATCTGGCTTCTCGTGTCCTCTCGGGAGGCTGGTGGGAGTTTGTTGGCTGGCTTCCGTCCCTGCTGATGTCGTCGAGTGTGATGTGACCGCGAAGGATGGAAACAGCCCGGTGGCCCGAGGATCGGAATTGTTGATGGAATCTTCCAGATCCGTGCCATTGGGGATGCCCGTTGGGATTAATTTTTCGTTCTTTTGGTTTTTGTTTTTCCACCGTCTGATTGACACTTCTTTATATTGTTGCTTTGCAAAGAAAAAGGCCGACGATTCCTGGTTCATGCAAGTCATCCAGGTAATGCGTTTAGAGACTGTGGACTAAAATAGCATGAGTCAGCGTTGAGAGTCTTCAGTTTGCTGAGGACAGAACAACTCACCAGTCGATGTAATCGAGTCCACCAAAATACTCCAGCATCCGATAGCATAGGCCCACATCGTCACCGGGCTCACCACCAAAGAGTCGGCACTGCTCCGCCTCCAGATTGGAGGTTTCCAGCCTCATCATGCGATCGCGGTTCTGCCATGTTATATTCCCATAGTGCCAGGTTGGGGCGGGGGGTTCATGGCAGTCGAAGGCCGCAGGGAGGACTGAATTGGTAGGTCGGGTGAAAGCTTCGTTGGGAGCGATTTGAATGTGATTGTTGTGGATGCTGCTACTGCTGCGGTTTCGAGAGCGCGGACGGGTGCGACGTCGATTGTGCCTCTGGCCCATTCTCTAACAGTTCGACTTTTCGGAGGTAGGAGGGGGTTGTTTGTGTTGAAGTATTTTGTTGTTGGTGTTGGTGTTGTTCGTGTTGGCGGGGGAAGATAAAGCAGGCGAGGTTTAAATAGACAAACAACCACCCACCACAAACAGCGGAGCACTGTTCCGGAATAGCTTTTTATTTATCAAACGGTAAGGAAAGGAGTGACCATCATCCCGGGGAAGGATGAGATGAGGTAAAGAAGGAGAGGGGAAGAGAGGGGGGAAGATCAGGAGATCGAAGATGCGGCACTACAGTATATATAGTTCATAGTTGATACAGTATGACTTGACTCCGGCTGGTTTTGCCGAAGGAGTGTTGGGCGGTGGTGTGACTCACTAAAACACTTAAGGTTACGGAGGCATAGCAAATGAGCAGGGAAAAGAAAAAAAAAAAAAGAAATAAAGGAAAAGGGAAAAAGAAAATCTTCACATCCGGCTTCAGGACCCACAACTGTCTTTCTTCTCCCCCCTAACAAAAAAAACAACTCCACACTGATGCAGACGTGATTGCAACAGTCTAGAAGCAGCAATGTTGAAATTTGAGCTAATGTCCACCCTGAATTGCGTAGTTGGGTGGTTCCCTTTCATTCTTCTGGCCCTGCGGAGGATCCAAGGGTTGACTCCGCAGAGTTAGGGCTCATTGAAATTTTTTCTCTCTTTTACTCCTGAGTCACCTCACCAGGTCCCAGTAGGAGGTCTTAGGTCAGATCAACTATTATTTTGGGATTCTGATGTGCTAATCCACACTTCTCATTATTCAACCACAATCAAAGTTTTTGGGACTTCGACAAAGACCAGAGTGTTCCACCTCTTTCTCGGCCTGACTGCACTTGACGGCCTGACAAAGCTACAGACAACAAGTAGTTCACTACCCAATTGACTTGTTGTCTTCCCAGCCATGTCAACGGGGGACCACAGCTGGGGTAAGAAAAGGGAAATAATTCTGTTTATAGTAATTACTGTATAAAGATACTTTGAAACCTGAGAATCAGGAGACACGGTAGCAGCAAAATAAACACAAAGCCGCATGGAAATTAACCAATGGACGTGTGGTCTGACGCCATGCAGCAAGCCAACACAAACTGATGCTGCAGGCCCGGATCCTCCCTCTCGGGCCCGGGACCAGACAAGAAAAAACCATCTGCCATTTGAGGCTCTGACAATACCGTACACGCCCTGAGGTCCTAGTCCGCTGCTAAAACCGGTGGCAATCGAGTGGGTGTCGTAACGGGCCGAGCGGATAACGAGATTTTATGACGCAGTCCGTAGCAAGTAAATTTGCTCATGCCAGTCAGTCAGTCAGTCCGTTCAGTGACTGACAACATCCAACTACGGCTGGTTCGGCATGCATCGCAACTACGGGCGATATCGGGTTCGGGGCTTCCTGTCCAGAGTCCGCAGGAGTGCCCTTTGTTCCGTGAACTCCAGGAAATCCCTACCTTCTCCGTTTCATAGTACGAGGTGTGGGATGGGGATTTGTGGATTCTACTTCAACAAAGGGCGCCCAAGAGTCTTGGTGTCCTTAATGGTCCTTTGTTATTTCGGGATCGACGTGGTGGTTTTCTTTGTGGATACGCTCGTGAATTGGGAGCTCATCGCCGTTGTCGGAGTTGGACAGGGTTCAATAGTTTCGATAGTTATTGCCCAATGTAGCTTCCTAATTGTGTGATGGGGACCTGGAGGATTGGACTCTATAGTGCCGTTGGATGCTCAATACTCCGTACAGTACTTCGGTAGGGTTAGACGGATGGCAGAATGCAGGATGCAATGCTTCTGCGAATTGAATATACAGTACAGTACATACTATCCCAGGCGAATTGGATATGCAGGACGTCGACTTTCCAAACGTGCTACCTTGAACAAACAACTAGTATCTTGATATTTCCAGGCCCACAGCGAAAAGTGCCAGCCAGGTAGGGCCATCTGGTTGCTTGGGTTTTCTCCACGGTATCGAGGTGCATACTACGCTTAGCTTCCATCTGACCTACTCACCCCCATGCTATACTTCTCGCAACTCAACACCATTAGGGCCAGCTCATAGGTAGCAATCCGTGGTGCACTCCTGTATAAGCAATCAGCCCTCAGACCAGCATGCTGAGGTATAATTTACTCAAGCACCGAGTTTACTCCGTCTGCAGAGTCTGCAGCCTGCAGCCTGCAGACGCCCCCTGGTCCTCTTGTTACCTACCCAGCGACTCACAGCCTGCAGCGTCGCAGAGATTGAAAATATACCACCATGATGATGTAGCTACCTCCCCACGCCTTTTCCATGATTTCAAAATTGGGTCAAATCCACCTCGACCCATGAAGTCGACACCACGTAGAAGGAAGGAGTAAACAAGAAACGGAGTGCAGTCCGTGAAGCAACCAAGCAATGTATCTGTAACTAAGAAAATTCTGCCGTTGTCGTGGCACAAATCTCACTATGACACATGTTCAACCGTTCGTAGCCGAGAAGCCCTTGACTGGAAAGCCCTACAATCACTTACTTCTCTTTCATACACTACTACAGGCTGAGTGCGGTCGCATTAGTATCGTGGGGGTGTTGTTGGGCTTATTTCTTTTGTTATGTCTTATCCTTCGGGTTGGGTTTATGCAATGCCGGGAGATACACTGTATATCCATCCGTCTAAATATTGGCTGTCGATACTGATTATCATAAGTAGTAGCAATGGGATCAGCCACTTTCACCACTCTCCAGCCTGTACATCTGAAGTGAATAGAGAGCGAAGTTTGCTTTCTTTCTTTTTCTTTCTTTATTGAGCTCGCATTGAGATACGTGTCATTGAGCGCCCCCTTTGACAATCAAATATAGTCAACTTGAACATACCCCCGCAAAGAGTGACCACTCGACCTACAGTCCAAGCCGGGGAGACCTGACCTGATCCAGACAGACGTACGGAGTACCTAGTAGTACAACACCATTTCCCACTTTTTACTGGTGCCGGTAGTGGTGTAGTGTAACGCATCAACATCCTTCCCTCACATCAGTACGGAGTATTCAGCACAGCAAACGAAGCAAGCAAGCCGTCCGAATCATCATTGAGCTCACTGCCCACTGCCCACATAAACCCACCCATCCACCTCCCCCTTTCATGGAGACAGCAAGCCAAGCAGCATGCACCCTGCACTTCCACCGTTGAGCGATTCCTTTTTCCTTTCCTTTCATTTCGACCGTAAGTCGTACCCTAGGTCCGTAGCACAAAATCAATTTCTGCGCAACCGAGACTGTGCCTGGCTCTGGACTTTCATTGTGGAGTGGAGACGGAGCGGAGCGGGTTCGGAAAGATCGTGAAGGCTCTAGTGCTGTCTTGCCCTGGTCTCGGGAACCGGGGATAGGGGAGGGCATGGTTATTCGCGGCATTGCAGCTCTGGGTCTAGATTGGGATAGATAAATAATGAAGGGAATGGGACTTGGACTGGGTCTTTTGCCAAGTTTCATGCATGGGGTTCGCTTCGGGCTTTTGGGGTGTGGGTTTGCGTGGGATTGTTGTTGTTATCCTACCGGTATATCTCTCTCAGGGGGTTGTTGTGTTACCTTGTTGGTACTGTACTTTGAGGGGTTTGGGGGCTGGGTGTAGAGGACTTAGGTATGTGAGGTATAGCTTGAGGGAGAATTGTTTAGGGATATGATGTTTGGTACGGGCTGGTTGTCTAATTCGACAGATGGTTGAGGCAGGTTTTACCTATGGGCCTGAAGATAAGGAAGGCTACGATGGTACCTGGTTATAGGAGGGACAAAAAAACACGCAACAGCGCCATATCTCCAGCACCATTGGCATCCGCCCATATTATTTTCTCTGACTGGTCATAACGATTCACACATATGCCAGAAGGTCTAGACTGTCTGTCCACATTCAATCAAAACTGTGAAACACGGGCAACAATCCCGCCAAGCAACCCAGGATAAGCCTGCTCCAAGCAGTCCAGATGGAATTGACGGCTGGCGCCCCGGCTAATTGTCGATCCCGCGACGGATGATCTCCAGCATTGCCTTCCCTTTTGGCGCCGTCGTCAGGTTCTCGTATCCCGTCCTCGTCACCAGGATGTCGTCCTCGATGCGCACCCCACCGACGGGGATATACTTCACCGCTTCGACGAAGTCGATGTAGCGCGCGAGCGGTTGCTTCTGAGCGTTGGCCAACGCCAGCTGCGAGAAGTAAATGCCGGGCTCGACCGTCACCACCATGCCTTCCTCCAGCACCGGAAACGACAGGTTGGTGGGCGGCACCAAGTCACGTCTTCCCCGCCGCTGGCCCTGCGCCGTAATTGGCTTCTCCGAGACGTCGTGGACCTCCAGTCCTACGTGGTGTCCCAGTCCGTGGGGGAAGAAGACTGCCGACGCCCCCGATTGACGGATCTCCTCTACGGTGCCAGACTTGAGTACGCCAAGCCGTTGCAACCCTTCAATGGCGATGTCGTGGGCCAGGGTCTGTAAGTCCCGAAACCGCACCCCCTGTTTGATTCGCCTGATACATTCCTCTTGCATCTTCTCTACGAGTTGATAGATGTCGCGAGCGTACGCACTGGGCCAGTCCGCGCCCAGCGGAAAGGTCCGGGTGACGTCGCTCGCATAGCACTCCCATTCCGCCCCCGCATCTAGACAGACCAGCTGTCGTCCCTTGAGAGGTTCGTTGTTCTTGATATAGTGGAGGGTGGCGGCGTTGGGGCCCGAACCGGCGATGATCTCGTACGCTTGGTTCTTCGCGCCATGGGACACGCATGTGTCCAGAAATAGACCCTCGATCTGCGCCTCGTTGGTCATCTTGTGGATTTTCTCTAGCACATTCCGATGCGCCAGACCGGAAATAATGTTGGCCTGGCGGATTAATTGGATTTCGTGGTCGTCCTTGATCACTCGAGCCGCATCCATCGCAGGGAGAAGGCACTCATCGTCTACTCGAAGCTTAATGTCTGGTAGCTCGGGTTGCTGGCTTGTATGGAGAACATACACGGGCGTGGTGTCGTTGTACTCTTTGGCCCAAGACGTAATATCGCTGTTCAGGGAGGCGTAGTAGCGTACTCTGTCTACATCGAACCGCCGTTGAGCCTCATCGGCGGTCAGGGTCGGGCCCATCCAAATCGCCCGGTGCAGATCGAAGTCGGGAACATAGAGAATCAACAAATCTTTCTTGATGTCGTAGGTCAGGAAGCAATCGGGCTCGTCGACTCCGCCGAGGTAGTAGAAGTAGCGTCTCTGTCGGAAGGTCCGTGGTTGATCGGAATCGCCCCAGTTGACTGTTGGCGTGCCGGCCAGATAGATAAGACCGCTGGAAACCCCCAGCTTCGTCGCGACCCTACGCGCATGCTGCTTGGCTGCGCGGATTGTCAGTCAGCTTTGAACATGCGTCCACAAAGCAAAAAAGGAGGAAGAGTATTTCAGCAATTGAACTTCGAGGCATACCTGGATATTTGTCGAACTCGTTGCCCTTCACGGACCAACGGACATTGCAGACATTCAGGTCGGAGACAAGCTCCGGGCGGAGTGAGACACGCATCGCTGGGTATTTCAGATACTAAACCAAAATGTGATGACTGGATCGTATAGGCCGGCTGGGAGAAAGGACCGTGAAGGAGGGATAGGCTCGCACTGTGAATCAGCGCAGGAGGAAGGGAACAAACCACGACAATGGAGACAAGTGGAGCCGGAGAAGAAGGAGGGAGATAAGCTGCCTGGCATTGATTGTGTTCGGTCCCTGAAGGGTCGGAGGAGAAGAGGAGTCGAGGGCGGGCGATTAGTCCTTACGCGCCAGACGGAGCCGATACACGATCGCTACCCGCAATGGCCCAAGATTGACTGCGGGCTATCCCGTAAGTGTACCGTATCTTACCACTGCCGTACCATTGATAACGATGAAATGATGACATCCCCTGGGGTTGCGGCCTTGCATTGGAGGGAGCACAGGCAAAGGTGCAAAAAATGCTCCAGGAACGAGGGGTTGACCGATCCAGTCTTCTTAAAAATGCACCCTACGTATGAAAGGAATTCCGGTGAAATTGACAGACAGACAGATAGATAGATAGACATTCACTCGACTAGCGAGCTAACACACAGGAGAAGAGTCTGGAATGGTTCAAGGTCGCTTGCTGATAAAAGTGGCTTGATACGCCGTCATCCGAACGCATCGCCCGGAACGTCGCTGCCTTTTGCCCCCCACATGCGCCTCTCGGGCTCTCTCGTTCTCTCTCTCTCTCTCTCTCTTCTCTTACTCTCACTGCCTGCCTGGTTCTCTGTTGGACTTTCAGGCTTCTTCCCTCATCCCCCGTTCTCTTCTCCTTCTCTCGTCATTTAACCCCATTCCACCTCTTCTTTGTGATATCAACTATCCTTTGGCGTTCTCCGTCATCGTTCGTTTGGTTGAATCCTGCCCAACCCTTCCTTAATCATTATCGTTTTATCGGCCAGTCTGAGACAGTACCAGTCAATGAACGATGCGGGGATTTGAGGCATCGGGGCCTGGTGCTCTCTTCGATGCTCCCTCGACTCTAACCACATCTTTTACGAACAGTCCTCCCGCCGCCACTGCCCATTCGCCGGCCGATCCTCAGTTGACTACCTTGAAATTGGATGATGTTCTGCTGGCAATGTCCCAAGACAATGGCGGTCTGGTTGGCGCCAGTGGCAACTCCTCCGGTTCGACCGGCAAGGGCATTCTGATTGGCGTCCTATCCGCTTTTGGCTCAGCCGCCGTCGCAGTCCTTGTCCTCGCGATCTTCTTTTTCTTCAAATACACCCAGCGCGGTAGAATTATCCTCGATCGCATCGGCCGACCCGGCGAATTCGACGATGAACAGGCCTTCTTGCGCGAGGAAGCCGAGGCGCTTGAGACAATGGATGATCTGTCGCGGTCGGAATACCTAAGAGCGAAGGGTGAGTGACTTGACTCGTCGGTCATGAGATCGCGATCGCGTTCGCGATCAATGGCGAACCGTATACTTTGGCGCATACGTGGGTTGCTAATATCTTCCGTAGCGTTCATCGAGGCCAACCCCCCCGAGTCCATGCAGACCGACATTTCGCTCTCTCAATTCCTGGCGATTCAAGAAAAAGGCGTATCCGCCTGGGAGTTTCAGCCCGAACTCGAAATCGCCAATTGCTTCGTCGAGGGCAGGACCGAAATCGAGTTCTACGATTCCGAATGCAGTGTTCAGACCAACCTGCCTGTTCCGAAACAGAATGACGTCTACTACTGGGAGGCTAAGATATATGATAAACCGGAGAACACCCTCATCAGCATTGGCATGACCACCAAACCGTACCCTTTGTTCAAATTACCAGGTGCGTTCCTCGGATCATGGAGTGGGTGGTCCATTCCGCTAATACACCATCTGCCTGACAGGTTACCACAAATCCTCGGTCGCATATCAATCTACAGGTCACAGGAGATATAATCAACCGTTCGCTCCAACGCCCTATGGTCCCCCTTTGCTTCAAGGCGACGTTATTGGCATTGGTTATCGGCCACGTTCAGGCACGATCTTCTTCACTCGCAACGGCAAGAAGTTAGAAGATGTGGCTCACGGACAGAAATCACAAAACTTCTTCCCCACGGTTGGGGCCAACGGACCTTGTGCCGTGCATGTGAACTTTGGTCAGATGGGCTTCGTCTTCATTGAAGCCAATGTAAAAAAGTGGGGATTGGCCCCAATGACTGGCAGCCTGGCGCCGCCACCGCCATATGGGAGCGAACAAGGCAGTATTCTTCTGGAATCCGGTCGGGAAAGTGCTGCACAGATTTCACAGCGAGTATATCAGGACGCCAACAATACACGAACCAGTTCTACCCTCCGGGTTGGGCCGTCCGCCAGCCCGGGTCCTGTGCGGTCTCCCACTGATATCTCTCTTGCCCAACTTGCTCATATACCCTCCCACGAAGATGTTGGCGAAGGCTCCAGTCGGACCAATACTGGGGACAATGAGCAAGCACCCTTGCTGAACACCGATGACCTCGATCAGGTTCCACCTCCGGAATATTCGAGCCCGGACGGCAGCCGAAGAGGCAGCGATGACCTTCGTTTCGAGGATCAGCCTCCGATACCAAGCTACGATGCCGCGGTTGGCAACCGTAACGACCACGGTCCCTACACGGACGCAAATCATTGAAGGCGATGGTATTCACCCGCTTTTGTTCATGAGTGTGCGTCGTCGTATGTTCTAGCGAGTTATGCAACTGGTGTGTATAGGGTGTGGTAGTCACTGGATCTGTCGGTATATTCATTATGTTCATCGAATTTTAGCGGCCACGGATGGCGTTTCAAGGCGGACTGTTCTACAGGCTGGGTTTCATGGGTTCGCCGCTAGATGTGGCAATGATATTGTTCTTGTTCTTTTCCTGCGTATATATGGTTCGGTCATGGTGCGTTCGTCCTCGATATGACTTTGGAGGTGATCATCTGTCACAGACTCTCAGGCGCAAAGCTGTGACTTTCGTTCCCGCGCGGCGTACGACGACTTCTTTCCCTCTCGGACTTCAGCGTGTCAAATACGACAGTGTCGATGATGATATCCCCTTGTATATTTTTTTCTTGTCACTTGTGTCTAAAAAGTCCAAAATCCATCCACAGACAATACTGTTCTTGAGTACCTGGATGGTTCCGTGTAACTCATGCCTTGACCTGTTCCCGGGCATTTCCAGGTCGCACGTGAGCCCTCCTTTGTACAGTCCCAACCTAGGCGCTTAGACCGAACATACTCACTGTAGTCTCTCGACCACATCCGTAAGATTTCCAAGTACTTGGTTCACAGGCGTTCGAGGATTCAACCGAGGAACTCCGAGAACCAATTAGATGAGACAAAGCAAAGAGTCGAAGCATGCAGTTATCGCGGCAGAATTTGATAGTGTCAGAGTCCCCTGCAAGGAGGTTCAATTTGATGATTAGACATGTCAATTCATGCAGTAGCACAGTGATAGGCTACAACATATTAGCGATCTGGGGTAATTGGAAGGAAGAGAGAGAATTGAAGGGCGCGCGCAAGGAAGCTGAAGGAATTAATGGTTCGCGGGTCCAGCTAAAGGAGTCTAGAATCTGTTTTACCCACCGCTCGGGCCATTGAACTCTGAATGAACTTACTCGTAGGTGGAAAAGACACTCCCGGAGATTTCCTTTTCCTTTTCGTCTTTTTGAGTTTGGAAGGCTTCTCTCTTTTCTCCCTCGAACTTGGAAGAATTGATTCAGTGGGAGGAGAGAGAGAGAGAGAGAGAGAGAGAGAGCGACTCTCAGGTTCAATCCATGATAAGGTCGAAGTTGTGCCTTCCGCATCCAGTCCACAGCTCAGCTCTTCTTTTCCTTCTTATTCTCCCACGTCATTGCCCGCCAGCCTTCCATTTACTTCAACTACAACAGCGCGACTGCATTCCTTGTCCAACTCTTCCTCCACCCTCATTCCCACTTCTCCTCTCAACTTCTCCCTCGATCGCGTCGCTTCTTTCTGTCGCTTCTTTGAAGGTAGCGACAAGTGGGAGCTACTCTCTAGACGAACAGGCAGGCGCATTGAGAACTCGTCGTCCAGCTGGCATCGACGGCGTCTTCGGGTACTCGATCCGTCTTTCCTCACCACCACCGCAAACCACTTAGGTCCTCTCCTGTTCCTCTCGTGGTACAGCAGTTGATATTTTACAATAAATCATTTTTCACTCTCGCAAATACTCCGGTCTATCATACACATGCATCTCAACTCTGCCATTGCTCGTCTCGTGCACTCGTCCCTCAGCACCTGCCACTGAAGGCACTACTACTACTCTGCGAGGCTTTCTTGTCGCTCCGCCCACCTGTCAGCCACCTTATCATAGGGCCCTTAGAGTGCGCATTAGCGCCTTGCACCTGGCCATTGAGATTTGTCCAACGAACTGCGCAGTGAATTACCTGGTGTCACAGAGCTGTGCCCCAGATTCGTGGGGTAGCACCACCGGGACCCAATTTAAATCTCTCGCTGACTGCCAGTCCAACCAGAGGCACGCTTGAAATACGATCAGTTGGCTCTGCCAGCTGTTTCCTGCCAGTTTGCTCTCTGGCCCGCTCGCCTGTTCAGGTGACACAGCTTGAGCAAGGGACCTTTTACCGGTTTGCGACAGTGGCCAGAAGGTCAAGAGGAGGTGCGCTTCTTGTACAGTGACCGACTGTTCTGCACTGCGTCGTTCCGCCGCAGAAGGTCTATAATTCAGCACGCGCTTGTTATCCGGGCTTAAGTTTCCAAAGATTACATTTACCAGGACCTTTCGCGGCTCGAGATAGCACGCGGCCTGCCAAAGAACGCTTTGAATGCAGCTTTGACTCGGCCCGAGACTAAAGCGTAGGCCCCAACCACCGGCGTCATAATTACTTTTGGGGCGCGTTTCCGTGGAAAAGTCTGGGCATTAGGAGGGGTGAAGAAACCGCCTAAATAGGGACTGGAATATTGCGATTCTAAGGTCGGTTTACGTACTGCGCTATCACTTGGCTGCTTTTTTGTGCTCACGAGATGATCCCAGCAGATATGGCTCGCAACATCCAGCAAATAAGGGATCGCGACGGTGAAGGGACGCCTTCCAAGAACAATGACGAAGGAGAGAACTCGGGTCTGCAAGTAGTTGTCTTGGTAAGTTAGTCGCGACTTGCGTTTGTATGTCTCACAACTACCCTTTCCCCTCATTCAATATACGAGGCTTGTGTTTTGTTTGTCATGTTACTCTGAGGTGTGTCGTTGTCATGTTTTACCACCCTTCATGCGCCTTGATTCTTCTCTTCTCTCCTGTACTGCCGAAGCCCTTCTGGTGCCTATGCCATTATTTGTACGGATGTCTGCATTCGAGAAACCACGACTGATACCTGTATAAAGGGTCCAACTGGGGGGCCTCGCGAAGATCGGGTCACCGGCATGCTGGTTCGCTCAACATCGACTAAATGGTCGACAAACTCGGTAATTGCGGTGGATGCAGGTACACTTCTTTGTGGGATCATCAATGCTCTCGAGCCTTGCGACAACCACCAAGCTGTCTTAGATTGCGGACCCTTCAGCGGCCTCGAGCTGCCCTTCAACAATGCTCCTGCGAACGCAGCACACATCTTCCGCCATATTATTGGTGCTGTCCTGATTACACACCCCCACCTGGATCATGTGTCGGCATTCGCAATCAACACGCCGGCCTTGGAAGCAGGAAATGGGGCGACAACAATCGCTGCTCTACCATCGGTGGTCACTGCCATCAAAACTCATATTTTCAACGATGTGATCTGGCCAAACCTCTCCGATGAGGAGGGGGGCGCCGGCCTGGTCACATATCAGCGGCTACGCGAGGGAGGTGAGGCGATGTTGGGAATTGGTGACGAGAGAGGTTACAAGAGAGTCTGTGAGGGATTGGTAGCGAAATGCTTCGGTGTCAGCCACGGAAGCTGTAGACTACATGCTCCCACCGATAGCGATGTCCACCACCGACTGAGCAGCGCAGCTTATGGCTCGGGTCCGATGAAACTAAATCCGGGGGGCTTCTCGTTCTCCATTGAGGAGTCAGACAATGGGTGAGCTCTAATTCCGCCTTCTGACAGATGCGTACAACAATCCGTGCTAAGCTATGATTAGATACTACTCCCCGGTGGACTCGCCTGGACTTCGGGTTCCCGGAAAAGAGAAATGGACGACTGTGGAAAGCTCTGTCTTTTTCATCCGTTGCCCAGCCTCGAAACGAGAAGTGATGATATTCGGCGATGTTGAACCCGACTCGCTTTCCCGGAACCCGCGCAACAAGCGTGTCTGGGAAGTAGCGGCTCCGAAGATCGCCAGTGGGCAGCTAAGGGCTATTTTTATTGAATGCTCTTATAACGATGACGTTGAAGATGACTATCTCTACGGACATCTTTGCCCAAGACATTTAATATCGGAGTTGACTGTGTTGGCCAGCATTGTGAAGGAGAACAAATTCCCGGAAAACGATGCGACCAAGAAACGAAAACGTGCTTCCGCTCCTGACGTGGGCACAGATGTACCTCTTAGTCCGAAATCCAAGAGAACAGCTCTTGCAGGAGACAAGGGCCAAAACAATCGCCGAGGATCCAACCGGAGCACGCGTCGTCATACCCGTGCCAAGGCAGCATTCGATGAGCCCGATGAGAAAATGGAGGGAAGAAGGCTCACTGTATCGCAACCTGCGACTGATGTCGGGATCAACACCCAACTCGCCGAGAGCTCGGACCCTCTCACAACGCATACATGGCCAGAGCCACCTTTGGCCGGGCTACGAATCTATGTCATCCACATCAAGGACCAGTTGACTGACGGGCCCCCTGCCGCGGAACGCATTCTTCATGAACTCCAAGCGCAGGGGAAATCCGCTGGGCTGGGTTGTGAGTTTCGTGTTCCTGAGCGCGGGGAAAGCATCTTCATCTAGACTGCTGGTAATACCAGTCTTCACCTACTTTAGGCTGTGTCGAGGCATCTGGCCAATGCGCAGAAACCTGGTTTGGGCTTCCGAGGCTGAATTGGTATGACGACCTGACCACTCGGAGACGGACATATTGGCAAGCATACGGCTTCGCCCACGTTTTCTTCATTGTTTAATACTGCATAGAATCCTTGAATACCCATAATTGTTGAGACGGCGTTCACTCGTGGTTTGCGCATGGATGGCGATGTTGGATGTCTATCCCTGCACTGTACGTTTCAACGCTGCTGGCAGCTATCGTTACATGTCTAGGTTGGGTTTTTTGACAGGGCCTGTACTGTACATCATTATCACTTTTCATAATGGAGCTATCTCACATACCAGCTTGGTCAGACGGAAACATTGGTAGTGTCTCATCCTCCACCTATTAGGTCCTTGGCATATACATAAGCTATACAAGAGAACGCGAACATGCTTTTTGCCATCCCATGCCCATCACAACAATCTGTTCAGGCGGTCTCAGGAAGTACTGGCCTCTTTCGCCAACCCAATTACATCCTCCCACACCGATCCTTCCCCTGAGGGAACCTCCACCCCCGAACTTGAACCCGAACTACCGCCAATCTCCTGCTCACCTCCACCACCACCACCATCTCCTCCTTTCTGAGCCCGCAACGCATCCTCCAAATCCCTCGCGAAAGCAATCAACTCCTCCTCAGCACCCCACTCGCCCATAGCCATCAACCCAACCGGCACCTTCCCTCCCGTCCCCGCCTCCACCGTGCCCACAGGACACGACACAGCAGGACACCCCGTAAAGTTCGCCAGCCACACATACTCCATATTTCGCACCGACGCCGCCCCATCCGACACCCCGCGCGCCAGGTCCGCCGGCTCCTGGATCCGCCACCCGGGCATCGGGGTCGTGGGCGTGACGATCACCAACCCAGGATACGTCTGGAAGAGATGCGCCAGGTGCGCCATCAGCAGGTTCCGGAGCCGCTGCGCCGCCACCACGTCCTGGCCCGTGATCTGCCACATGCCCATCGAGACCAGGACTTTGTTCGGCGCCGTCAGCGCGCTGATCTGCGATGGTTTCAGGCCCGATGCGATCTCGTTCATGATGGTTAGTACGTGCGCCCGTTGGCCTTCGGGGAGGTATGGGATTTCGAGGTCGATTGTTTCGATCTGGGTTGAGGTCTCGGGGTTGTTGGTGAGGTGTGCGAGGGTTTCGTTGAAGAGCTTGAGGACTGGTGCTGAGGAGCGCGCGAGCCACGGGCGGATGAGGCCTATTTTTCTTCTTCTTTTCTCGGGGTTGGACGAGTTTGAAAGGGCAAGGGTCTGCAGTGGCGACGGGAAGCTCGCGGACACGGGGTCGCGCGCCGCCGGCGCCGGCGTCGCCATGATGCGGTACGCCAGCGCCAGGTCGTCGATGCTGCTGGCCATCGGGCCGTACACGCCCACCGTCGGGGCCAGCGACACCGTCGGCGCGCCGCTGACGCGCCCGTGCGTAGTCTTCAGCCCCCAGATTCCGCAGAACGATGACGGAATCCGGATCGAGCCGCCCCCGTCGGCGCCCAGCGCGATCGGCACCAGCCCTGCGCTGACGGCGTAGCCTGAGCCGCCGGACGAGCCGCCGCAGTAGTAGTCGGGGTTGTGGGGGTTACGCGGCGTGCCGTAGTTGGGGTTGTTGTTCGTCGTGTCTTTTTGTTGGGCTGTTGTTAGCTAGCCTGCCTGCCTGCCTGCCTGCCTGCCTGTTTCCCCAGGGCCTCGCTGCGGAGGGGGTGAATACCTAGTCCCAGCTCATGCATGCTCGTCTTCCCGATAACAATCGCCCCCGCGTCCTCCAGCTGCTTCGCGCACCACGAGCTCCCCTCGTACGCACCCCGAAAATCCAGCCTGCTGCCCAGCGTCCGCCCGTACCCCGCCAAATGCACCTCGTCCTTCACGGCCACCGGCACCCCGTCCAACGGGCCCAGCGCCCGTCCCGCCGCGTACCGCTCCGTCGACGCCTGCGCCGCCGCCCGCACCCGCTCCGCCTGCGTCTCCAGGAACGCGATAGAGTGTCTCCCGTCTGCCTCGCGCTGGATCAGAGGCAACAGCGTCTCCGCTACAGCGGACGGGGTTAATTCCCCCGCCCGATACAGCGCCACGTAGTCCGCGGACGTGTAGTAACCCTTCGTCCCATCTTTCCGTCCCGCTGGAGCCGGTAGATTCGCTGCTTCGTTTCCCCTCCGCTCTTCGGAGCTGCTGAGAACAGGGATAACGGTCGGATCGTAGCGCGGGACATAGTCGGATAGAGGCAGGTCGCGGATGATGCTGAAGCCCGCGTTGCGCCAGAAGTAGCTCTGGATTAGACCTATGTGTTGGATTCTTGTCCAGTTTAGTTCTTGTTTTCGTTTTTGTTCCGCTGGGTGGTAGTGGAGGGGAGGTTCAGCGATTAGGCCACCCCCGGAGGGATTGATCAATGGGGTGGGTGGGTGGAGGCTAGCTTACAGGCTCGCTCCGATGGCGAGAGGCGCGCCGCGGAAGACAGGGATCTCCTGGTCCTCATTTTTGTAGGGCACGGATGCGGCCTCGCGCACTTCGGGATAGTGGGTGAATTGTTGCGTGCTCATTTTTTGCGCGCGAGTTGCATTCGCGGGTTGGGAGGAGTGTGGTGAGGGATCATGGATCGAGAGATACGGCTGTGGACTAGCTCCGAGGTCCCCACATGAGCTCGTGCTCCTGCGGGCCGCGGCTCATGTCATGTGCTTCGCACAACTACGTATTGCGATGTATCTATATTCAGTCTGATTGTGTCGGACATCTACTACAAGTCTTGTTCTTGGGACTGGGAGTGTTATCATTGGGTTCTTCCCCAGGGTTTAGATTGGGGTGCCGGGAAGCTGAAAGAAAGGGGGGTCCGGGGGTTCTCCCCCGGAATACTCTATACTCTGGTTTAAGATTGGGTTGGGTCAAGAAGCTGAAAGAAAGGGGGGTCCGAGGGTTCTCCCTCGGAATACTCTATACTCTGGTTTAAGATTGAGTTAGGCCAGGAAGCTGAAAGAAAAGGGGGGTCCGGGGGTTCTCCCCCGGAACGCTTTACTCTTGGTATAAAGGGTGGGTATGCTGGAAAGTGAAAAGTAAAGGGGGTATTCAGATTCATAGACATGTATGTAGTACTGTACATCACATTCACCCCGGCACGTCAAATTGCCAGTTTGAGACCAAGCCGGTCCATTCCCAGCGCAATCCCCGTGAGCACGGCTGCATACGCAATCAGAATCGCCATGGCTTGGACGGTATTCACGTCCAAGGTGGGGACGCTCAGGTTCACTAGACCGGTAAGAAGATTGGCCAGCAAGAAGATGCCCAGTCCATCCTTGTTGAAAGCCGAAAGAATAGGGCTGGTCGCGAAGGAGACCCGCTCGGCTTCGCCCTCTCGTCCTGACGTCCGATGAACCTGTGGGAAGAAGACCGTCTCCAGGAGGCAGAACAGGAAGAGCTGCGCGTTGTTGAACGCGGACACCCAGACTACGTATGGCATATTGGCAAGACGCCGCGACACGGGGATATTGGCGCCAAATCCCAGTGCATACGTCGAGTTTAACAGGAACACCGCCGTCCAAAGCAGAGCCTGGCCTCCCAGAGTGACCAATACGCGTCTTCTGGCCTGTTGCGGTGTCGTGGATGGAGACGCCCCGCGAGACATGATCCGGATGCCAATGGCACGGCCTGCCAGGAAAATTGCGAAGTACCCCACGAATGAGAACACCCCCTCCCGATTCCTGGAAAGTAGGTCGGGTCCTCGGGGAGCGACCAGGATATAGCTCTTCAGCTCCGTTGATTCCAGCGCCACCTGATACAAAGCCGCCACCCCAAGGGATAGGAGCTCGTAGGATGGAATCAGCGCGGCGATCGTATCGAAGATCTCAGCAAAGGGAGGCAAGAAGCCTAGGGTGAAAAAGAAGTTCCAATGCACGCCGTACTCCGTCACATGTTCTGCGTAGTCGAGACCTTTGACAGTATACAGTCGGACCAGACCCAAGAGAAGCAGGCGAATCGAGTGGCGGGTCGAGGCCACCAGTCGCTGACCCAGGGGCTTCTTCGCGCCTCCATTTTGACGACCCTTGAGAACTGAGCGAGCCGAGACCACTCCTCCGGAGAACACAAACGACCCGACACCCAGATCCATCAGCGAGGTTCCCCAGTTTTCAACCTTGGCGAATCGTCTGGGAAATACGCGAAAGTCCACGGCCAATATCGCCACGCAGGTGATGACCATCATACATGACCGATAGGTGGTCAGGAAGGGAAGAATAGGAAGGGACTGGTCGGATTCGGAGTCATTTTTCCGGGACAGGGAAGCTTTCGGTGACGGCTTGGCCCTCTGTTGGGTGCGTTGCGGTCGTTGAGGTCGCGAATTCTTCAGTAGCAGCAGCAGCAAAGCTGGAGCGACGAGAAGGGCGTTCAGAGTCCATGGTGCCACGGAGTACACGGTCGTGGCAAAGAGGATCGCGAGGACATTGAGCAGGAAATCGGTGACCAGCGCCGCGGGGTTATACGGAGAAAAGAAGGAGAGACGAGACTGCAGCGCAGACCAGAGCAGAACGGCGGCCTAGCGGATAGAACAGATTAGAGAAGAATTGCGCAGGTCGAGTCAAAGTAGAGATCGAAATCGAACATGTGTGCATAACGTACCGGAGCTACCAAGGTCACGGCGTAGATCTCGAGGATGCTCCCGCCGGCTAGGTTGGACACAAAGGCCTCCTTGCGGGCTTTGTAGCTCGGATCCATGTGATGATAAGGCTGAGCACTTCAGCTAGAAGAGACAGAAGTCAACCTTGAATTAGTACGCACTTGGTAGGGAGTGAATTGATGAATCAAGGGATGGATTCTGGAAGGCGGAGAGCGGAAGCAAAACAACTGACAACTGGCCATGGCCCAATCGGGTAAGTCCACAACTAACCGTCCCCGCCTTCCCTTGACTCGGTTTCGCACACTATCACGATAAGCACTCTTGTCATATTCCCAAGCCTCAAAAGCAACCCAGGTGCATTGCATATTCGAGTAGCACCAGCTACGATCGCTTCTTTCAAGGTCTTCCCTCATCGTTCAGAGTCCTTGCGTGACCCCTTCACAAATCACGAGACCTTCGCGGCTGAAAGCAATGACCTGATAATGAGCTGACACCCCGGTCTATAGCGGTCGCCTATTATTATCATTGTCGTCATAACCTGCAACGATGTCTCCCCGAACCAAGTCCGACGAGCTTGCATAAGTCCGACTGGTTTTACACCGTCGACGACGTACATCCTAGACCCCTCACATGAGCCACGAAGCGCAGAGGACCCTAGGACATCGCGACTGAAGACATGGGAATAGATAGCAAGCAACCTGCATGTTCACGGCGAATATACATGAATCTGGACCCTCTAGTGCAGGCCTTCAATGTGGTACAGACATCCCATACATCCTGATCCAGCTTCATAATTTGCACACCACACCTATGATTCCAGGAAAACACGACATGCTGGAATACGACGGAGCAGGGAACGTAACATGGACGCAACGGTCGTTCTCCGGCTCATGATATGTAAGCAGTAGTAAGCTGCTTAGTTCTGCATGCTCGCATGCTTGGAACAAGCGCCTTGTATGGATCTCTCCAACGGCGCAGTGTCGCTTCTGGCGGTGGACAGAAGGCCTCCGCAGTATCGATCAGTGGAAGTTCGGACAAGACTTTCCTGCTACACGTCTACGGGGGTGTCACCACTCTGCAGCCTAGGATGATGCTATGCAGCTGCTCCAGTCCAACTGCAAGGCCTGCATTGTTCATACGGTGAAGTGCCTCTTCAACCCCATGGCCCCGCGCCATCAATAGCCGGTACTCGATGAACGAGCCAACGTCATGGCTGGCTCAGAGGCTGCTTTTTGGCTTCAGCTCGATTCGTCGTTCTACTTTCGTTCTTTGCAATAGGTTGCTTTTGCCACAAGCTTTTTCGGGGCTAATGATGATCGGTAGGCGTCGCGGCAGTGGGTGCGACAGGGTCTTCAGACTAGAAGCGCGCGAGACGAGTCTTAAAACGAAGATAGGAGCATTGCAGCATTAATCGAACAATCACTGGACAACATTTGGAGGACCAACGCGTCATGCATCAGCATCCAGCCAGCCGTCGTTGAATCCGTCGCAGATCGTAACCCGCTTGTCGGGACTTGCCGTCTGGTGATACCGCGCCAACAATAGCAACAAGCCACAACGGATGCTACGGTGTGCTGAGGCGAGAAATCGAGCTTCTTCAATCATTCGATGAACTTCTGCTATACGAGAGTTCCAGGCTTCCACGCTTCCAGCCCTTTCGGCTCCTCTCCGTGTCCCGACCTACCTTTTTAAAGTTCTGCTTGTCTCCGCTCGGTTCAACGAATTGACTTTGGTTGTTAAAAGGGGGGCTAGAGGGGGTAAGGGTGGATCCGATCTACTACTCATCCTCGTGGCGAGCACCATTCAGATGCAACCATGGTTCCAGCTTAGCGAGAGCATCCTGAGACTTTCGCCAGTTCTCTCAACTCTCACCAAGTCTGGAAAAAATCTTTGTCGCGGAGATTTCGGGTTTCGGAAATAGCTCACCCATTTGGGACTAGGAAGATCTTAAGTCTTGTTGGCGCTAAGACGAGTGATGTACGATTCGTTCACAATCACAAGGCTAGACACTGGCAGGGTCTAACTTCAGCCAATTGTCACCCATGTTGATGGTCGGGTAAGATCTAAGGATCGCTGGCTGCGCGCGCATTCCACTCCAGAGGTCGCAGATCGCAAAAGAGAAAAATGTCGTCGGGGCTTCGGCACGTACCTGTTCCTACCATTACATGCTTTGCCCATTCAAGCCCACTGTTCGTGGTCAGCTCCGCCGACCTCCCTTTAACCCTTACAGAGGAGGTCCGTTGTGCCCCGGTCATGCCCCGGCCATGCCCCATCGCGCCTAGGAGCGGCGCCCCCCGCTCAAATTGCCAGTTTTTGTTTTTCGGTCAGTCCCCGACTGTAAGAGACCAAAGAATATGCCAAGAGGCTTCGAAAGCCAATTCAGGTCCGAGACTTTCTGGTTGAAGGCGTGGCATACTGAGGCTTCTTTTGCTTCCGCTTAGAGTGTCGTATCCGCCACTGAATCGGGTTTGCCATGTGGCCCGGATAGACTAAGATCCACCGATTGGTTGTCCACTGCCTATGGAAGGACAATGCTCTCTAGGTGGCTTTTATGCCGACAATGCTTTCAGTGCTGCAAGGACAATGGCACCCTGCCAGATCTGCTTCCTGTCTGTTTGATACGATACACCAGTGTCGGGCACCTGACTGAGGAGAGGGGGCGAGGAGGCAGTCCGTCTCACCAGCCATTCCGTCACAAACCCCGACCAGGCTGTCTAGGCTCTAGTATGCCTAGTCACCTTCCTCGTGAGGCTTGGAGCATGCTTGTAGGTTGGGGAAAGTCGGCAAAGTCACATAGCGCAACGCCGGACCGACCCCATCGTAATAGCGTGCTGACTACCTACTACTGACTGACTATACAAGGGTTTTGAGTGACCTGAACTTGCTCATTGGCTTGTTGGAAACTAGAGATGAAGACGATTGGTCATAACCAGTAATGTTGGGAATTCGAGGGAAAAGAGGAAAGGAGGGGAACTGAGTTGGAGTCGATTTTCTCTCTCCCCTCTTAATTTCCCTCTTTCGCTAATGCACACGATCTAAGGTTCCCCCCGGGGCTTTACGTGCCTAAACCTGCGCGAATCTGACGGCCTCCCGGAAATGGGGGCTTCACAGCCCGAGCAAAACCGGGCCCCATTTCCTAACCATAATTCTCAACAACGATTACTAACTTATCTAACCGCCTATCTATCTTGTTTTTAAATTCTGGTGGCTCCTTCTTGTCCCGCTGGGAACGTATATATAGCTAGTTTAGTGCGACCCACGCATTCGGAACAGCTATAGTCCCATCTTGAGAGACTGCTTCTCTCGGATTGCTCTGTCTTCCTGGGACCAACACAAATAGTCGGAACCTATCGCTCCCCAGTCTTCATCGATTCCTGTTCCTTATGATTGCTGCTCTTTCACTCACAGAGACTATCAAGCTGGCTACGAGTCGGTTCGCAGAATGAGCCCTACTCCGGAACCCCCGCAGACGAAGAAACGCGAATCGCGTGCCGGGGCACGAAAAGTGACGTCGCTCTCTGCCGAACAACTGGAAAGAAAACGTGCCAATGATCGTGAGGCTCAGAGAACCATTCGTCAGCGGACAAGGGAGCACATTGAGCGTCTAGAGCATCAGGTCGCTGAGCTGAAGGTCAAAGGGGACCGCTTTGACGAAATAGTCCGAAGGAATACGGCAATGGAGATGGAGATTCGGTCCTTGAGACACCAGTTAGCCATGGTGACAAGCAGGCAGGGACACCCAGGCCTGGGTGAGTGACAGAGTGTATTCTCCTACATTGATTCTCATGCCCCGATTGCTGACCATTGAGTTCATTGCTTGCCAGAAGGCTCATACAGCACCCCTTCTGGGTCCATGCTACCTTCGCCTCACCTCCCGGACTCCCTGGGCTTGAATCCAGCTTCGAGGGCGCCTTCCGTACTCTCAACGTCAAGTCGAACATCCATCGCGCCTGAGTGGCAGTCTTACGGCTCAACTCGGACATCTTCCGTGGGGGAACCTTCGGACACAAACTATGGTGCCAGGCTCGAACCTTATATCTACGAGAGTCAAATGCAAGCAACCAATCCGCTACCGGTCGCTTCAGCCCATATTAGTTACAATCCTTCTGTTTGTGCACAGCCAGCTCAGCCTCCTGACTCGGGCTTTCAGTCTTATCCACAAACCTACCACCCCGAAGCTATTCGTGGGTTTGGTCACGAGAGCTCACATAACCAACAATCATTACCCTCTGCTTCAGGTCAACGGTCCATGTCGGTGCCCGCTAATTCTTCGGAAAGAGAAGCATCAGGATATCCTGTTGTGCACGCACCACAGCAATATCATGAGCCTACCTTCCCTTCACACCCGGCACAACCGAGAAATGAGTATTCTTACGACTGGACTCATCATCAATCTTGATTCCCAAGGCATATAAAGGAGCTCGAGATATTGAGAGTTCAGCATGACCTAATCCATGGCGAGCGACGACGTTATTCGTCTTCAACTGGGCCTCAGCGCATGACGCAGGTTGTTTCGGACAAGAGATTCTCCGATTTTGGCGTCCATTTTGGCGTCCATTGCTCGGTCCCCAAATCTCGCACCAGCCTCAACATGATCCCGGACCGGCCCCTCTCTCTGTAGATTTGGGCGCCCGGGGCCTCGGCTTACTGGGCATACCGATTCACAAGGCCGGCACGGAAATCCCGACTTCTCAACGCACGCGATGCGCCATGAGCTTAGCCCGCTTGGACTGGAAAAAATGGGCCGGCGTGCACGCACGTGTCTCTGAGCACGCGGGTCTGAGCAAGTCCGTGGAGTCGGAATTAGGTGGGCTTCAACCTGGCGCAAGACTACAGGACACGCTTTTTCCAGAAGCGAGGGTGAATCAAAGCCCACTTAATTTTACCGAATTTCCAGGACGCGGTGAGGGAGTTAACCACGGTACTGGGCCGGAACCCGGCTCCTCCCCGAGCCGGTTACAAACCTACGTAACCGGTGTTCCTTTCGCGGCGGCGGCATCATCATCATGACCGCCATCATCATCACCATGAGGCTCATTTGAATATGCACACAGGTCCCTGGGTGCAACCTGCTCTAAAACGCTTTTTCCTGATTGGTACCCGGCAGACGAACTGCCGGGCTGACGGGGTCATAAACAATTAACCGAGATTGGAACAATGCCAAAATCTCCCGTCGATCAAAATGAGATCCTCCACTTTCGCATCCTCCCAGACCGGTCGCTTCTTTTGCTACGTAACTAATCAAGATAGATATTCAGGAGCTGACTGTCGGCTCCAGCCGGTGGTCCCCTCTCTCTTTCCCCATATGCGCCGATCATTACCCTTTTGCCTATGTTATGTAACGCTTCCGATCGGAAGGTGCCTTGGTTTAGACGAGCATGGCTTGTTTCGAAGGCTATCTTATGGAGGCTTGTTTAGCATTTTTCATATCTTCCCTTGTCAAAATTCATAATCGAGCTTCCGGTCGGCTTTGATTTCCGATGGTGCTTTTTCTAAGCTAGATCTCGAAAAAAGTATTGGCCTGACAATGAAAGTACGAGTACTAAGTCCGTACTCCAATAGAGCGGGCCCGCTTTGCCGCCAGCAGCGCTTCATAGAAAATTGAAATCTTAGATAAGAAAAATAAAATAGAAATAGGGCTTCTGCAGCCGCAAGCGGAGAGACAAAGTCCCGATCACGCCATTCAGTCTAAGACCCGAACTGGGACTGGACTCGATTCTACGAACCGAATAGTTCCCACCGCCCAATGTCTACTAGTTACTTACAGTACTCCGAGTTTAAGAGCACCCGCCACCCAGATTTCCTAGCACTCTGGCCCCTTGCAGCAGCTTAACGAGTATACTGCTTCTGCAACAACTTCGCAATGGTCTGCAGCTGGATATTGCTGGTCCCCTCGTAGATGGCGCCGATCTTGCTGTCGCGGAACATCTTCTCGGCGATGCCCTCGCGCACGAAGCCCATGCCGCCCATCCACTCGACGGCCGCGCTGGACACGCGCCCGGCCACCTGTGATGCATACAGCTTGGCCATCGCCGCGTCGTGCACGAAGTCCTGGCCCGCTTCCTTCTTCCGCGCCGCGTTGTACACCAGTGCCCGCGCCGCGGCGATCTCCGTGTAGGCTTGCGCGAGCTGGTGCTGCATGCCTTGAAAGGTGCCGATTAGTTGTCCGAATTGGCGGCGGTCATTCCAGACGTATCTATTGATTGTTTGGTCAGAATTTGGGGTTGCTTGGGTGGGGTTGGTGGTGTGTATGTGAGGGAGGCCGGGGGCCGGGGGGCCGGGGGGCAGTGACTTGGGGGTGCGGGTGGGGAGATGGTTGATGGGGGAAATGGGGGAGGGTGAGTTGTGATTTTGATGTGTCGTGGTGAGTGTATATAAAGGCAGGTAACATGGGGGGCTCTTACTGGGCAGCATTCTCCCACGCACCCAGTGCCAGACCGGTCATCTGAGCCGCAATGCCGATGCGACCCTCGTTCAGCACGCTGATGGCGTACTTGTAGCCCTGGCCCTCCTCACCGAGCAGGTTACTCTTGGGGATGACGAGGTCATCGAAGTTGAGCACGCAGGTACTACTGGCGCGGATGCCGAGCTTTTTCTCCTTCTTCGCGATGGAGAAGCCAGGGGTATCCTTCTCGACGACGAAGGCAGTGATACCCTTGTAGCCCTGGCTGGGGTCGAGGTTGGCGAAGACAATGAAGATGCCAGATTCCATGGCGTTGGTGATCCACATCTTGGAGCCATTGAGCCGGTAGCCGTCGGCGGTGCGCTCGGCCTTGGTCTGCAGGGCGAAGGCGTCGGAGCCCGAGGCCGGCTCGGACAGACAGAACGAGCCCACGGTGCCGGTGGCCAGGCGCGGCAGCCAGGTGCGCCGGGCCTGGGCGTCGCCGTACTTCAGGATCGCCGTGTTGACCAGCGTGTTGTGCACGTCCACCAGCACGCTGACGCTGGGGTCGACCCGCGCCAGCTCCTCGATCGCCACGATCGCCGCCGTGAAGTTCATCCCCGCCCCGCCGTACTCCTCCGGCACCTCGATCCCCATCAGCCCCTGCTCGAACAGCTGCTCCACCACCCCCGCGTCCATCGTCTCCGCCTCGTCCATCGCCCGCACCTTCGGGCTGATCTGCTCCCCCGCGAACTTCGACACCGTCTCCGCCATCAGCGTCTCCGTCTCCGAGAGGTACGTGATCGGCGTCGGCGTCAACCCCGAGAGGTCCACGTCCCGCCGCCGGGACGTCGTCGAGAATGCTTGCGTGCTGCTGCTGCTGCTGCTGCTGGATCGGGGCGAGAACACGGTTAGTAGTCTGTTGATTTCGTTACGGATAAGGGCAGAGTAAATAGAGGGGTGGCTCTCCGGCTGCAGATAAGCCAGAGGGGAAAGCTCCATACCTAGGAACGATTCTGGTGCGCACCGACTGTCTTGTGGCGGCGAAGCGGGCGGACGCAGCCGTGCGGGACAAAGGCCGCAATACTCGCGAGATACTCGTCATTATGGGTGGGTTTGTAGTGGATGTGCGGTATGTAAAACAGAGCAGACTCCAGCACAAGAGGTAAATGTGGCGCCGGAAGGTGGGTGTAAGTGTGTTTTAAGAATGAGGGGGAAGTTGGGAAAACGGGGAAAGGGAAGCAAAGCGGTTCTGGGGAAATGGCGCCGGGGGAGAGACGGAGAGACAGAGGGAAGCTAATCACGAGGCCGAGGTATTTCGAGCCTCGGCTAGACGCGGCGTCCCATGGGGTTTGCCTGCAATTCGGCGCAGATCATCCGTCCACAATCGAAAGACTCTTAACATTCTTTCCCCACGTTGTCGGCGTCATCTTGCATAGGCGAGGAAGAATCAGCTACCTGACAATAGAGGTTGGCCGAAAAACGCTATTCTATTTCGCTAAGAATACTACTAATCAAGGAAACGCACAACACCGTCTTGAGCCCCATTTCTACTACCATTCAGACGCTAAACACCTTGGTCGGATTAAAAGCCACCGACTGCGCAAACGCGTACCCTCGCTGGTTCGCGACGATGCGCTTCCCGGACCGATCATCCGTAAAGTCGCAGTTGTAGTGCGTGTGGCCGAACGCCCACAGCCGCACCTGCGGTCGCTCCCAGCACGGGTCCCCGACGAGGTCCGTCGCGAACGCCGTGGTGATCGGGCTGTGGGCGTAACGCGGGTCGACGGCGACCGCGGCGACGGTCGGGCTGTGATGGCTGAAGATGACGATCTTGTGGTGAGGGTCGGCCCGTGCGATGTCGGTGACCTGGTCGTTGAGCCAGGCGCGCTCGGCCTCGTGGGCCGCGCGATGCTGCTCGACCGTCCAGTCGCGGATGTGGTGGAAGTCGTTCAGGGCCTCGCTGACGTGATCTTCCTGGGCGTCGCTCACGCGCGAGTGGAACGTACAGCCCAGGATGGTCACCTCGGGCGACAGATGGTACCGCGTGCGGTCGAGGAGGACGAATTCCCCCAGCTGCTGCTCGGTTGATGTGGAGGTCTTGCGGCGCTGGTTGTGGTTGTGGTTGTGGTTGTGGTTGTGGTTGTGGTTGTGGTTGTGGTTGTGGTTGTGGTTGTTGATCTTGTCGGAGAATCGCTCCAGCCGTTCGCGCGTGGCCGGCCAACTGGCTTCGAAGGGCTCGTGGTTGCCCAGGACCAGGAAGACGATCTGGAACTTGAGGAGCTGCGCTTCGAGGAAGCGGAGGTAGCCGTCGTCTTGGACGTTGCCGATGTCGCCCAGCAGCGCCAGGTACGGCGCGGTTGGTGTGATCTCGAATTGGTCATATGCTTGGGGATTCTCGAGGTGCAGATCTGAGAGGATCTGGAACTGTGCCATTCTTGCGTTGGGAAAGGACGGCGGTGCTTTGCTTGAATGATCGATGCCCAGCGTCGCTTGTTGGTGATCGCTAGTAAACTAGACTCTAGTAGTTCGACAACAGTCGGAGACTCGGAACCCAGAACCTTAAGCGCCCGGGCTGTTTATTAGGAAAGGTTTAAAAGGAAAAAAGCCTCTGTAGCCGCTGCCCGGCTTCTGTTCCCACAAGTAAGGATTCAGTGGCGGTGCAATGGATTCTTGACCCTTCCTTGGGTGATGCGCTGTCTATCTGTTACTCCTTGCCGCCGCCGCTGTTTGCTCCACTCGTATTTAGTTTGGGGGCTTACTTCTGTAACACTAGTTTCAACATTCATATTTGATCTGTACATTTATTCCGATTTTCTTTCTTATTTAAAAATATGTAGAGACCTATGTATGTTTTTGATGCCCGAATTCGAACCAATCTCAATACTATAATCATTTCAATCGATTTCGAACTGGCTATATATATATTAGTAATATTCTAGATTTTAGTTTCTAAATTTTCATACTCCTGATGCCCGCGGGGCCAAAGAACTCGGTGAGTGTCTACAGTAGCCGATCACCATTGGATCAATTGGCTGGCTACGGCTAATGAAGATATGTCACAATAGTGCAAGGTACCAGCGCAGAGCTAGCAACAAGCATCAGAATGTCTGGGTAGGCCTGGCGATGCAGAGAAAGAAGAAGACAATGAAACCGTTGATGCTCAATCAGTTATGCAAGAATAGGGGTCAGCTTGGCCTTCCTCCATGGGGCCTATAGGTGTAAATTGGAAACTCGCGCCAGTCTTGCTTTGGCAGACCTTGGCAATGCGGTCGTCGCTGATAGCTTCATCCACTCGAGCAAGAAGGTTATTCTGCCATCTTCATTTGTTCGCTATCTGGACAGTTTCCTGCAACCCGGACACTTGGACATCTATTTCTCTCCAATGGCTTCACTTAAACGATGACCTTAGAACACGCGTCATCGTCAAGTGCGAAATGACCGTCGGTACGGGCCTCGTAAAGTTTCGTTTTACCATTAGCCACCTATAATTACCAAACAGACACCCACCACTCCCAGTTGTACTTCCAGGATCTTTGTAGTATCTCTAGGGACGACAGAGATATCAGAACTTGGGATCTGATCGAGCCGGTTCGGCCTGTTCCTGGCCCGCCGCCGATGCCATCCTTCCATCGTCCAATGACCCTTGACACCGGGAATAGTAGCCGAGCACGCTCGTCTGTCATCAATGTGTCCCCATCCTCGTCGACCAGGGGGCCCGGAAGTCTTAGCTGCCGTTGACCTCTATTCTCAAGCATTTGGTCGATAAGTCGCTTGTCCAAGCTTTCTCCGTGATAGACCGCAACATGAAGCATGCGCTTTTCTGGGGTATCTTGCGCTTCGGAACTCACTGTGGCTCATGGTAGCACACTGTGTGCAAAGCACTCGTCCGAGATAACCGGCCGGCCATTGTCCGGAAATTGAACCCATCTTCTTCCAAGGTCATCAGGTCTTGTCGGAGTCATGGGAGCTGCGCTCCAAAGAATCGCCCGCGAACAGAGGCCACCATCATCGGCGGCTACGGTTTGCTTTCCCTTGAGTCTCTCCCTCTTTCAAGTCCAACTGGAGCTCTGTAGAAGCCGTGATTTCTCGTTTTGACATCTCGAACCTCGAGAACGATCGACGACGTAGGATCTTGAGGCGGTGCAAAGTACAAGATATGCCACACAGCTGGTGAATTGGCTCAATGTCCTCGTCATTCTGGATCCTAGGGATCTCTCTCTGTGTTTTGAATTCCACCGAGCGTGCGTTGAACTGCCGTCGCGAACATTATCATGACGTGGTATGAGCTCTTCTTCCTTTCCAATGCGGCGTATTAGCCGAAGTGGTCCGAAACCTAGACGGCAAACCGCATGTCACAAGTTGCTGGACACGGTCTGTCTCCAGATCAAGATAACCACATACCGGCGGAGAATTCGGCGAAAGTGAAGGGCGAAGCGAAGGGCGAAGTGCTCATCTGGTAGAGGATGTCTACTCCGCATGGCCGCAGAATTCCATCAGGCAGGCTAGCTGGCCGTCTAGATCTTCCCTGCTCTAGAAGTGGGACCAGGGGCATGGTTGTGCATCTGGTCTAACAGTGGACCATCTGCTCCATCGCTTGTTGGTCGTTTGGCAGATCCGTATCGCAGTGGCTTTGAGCTTTTGTCTGTGACTGACTTGCTTAGCCTGCTATCCTGACAGTTTCATCGGAGTAAATTGGAAATTCACGCCAGTCTCATCGCGGCAAATTTGTGGTAAGTCCTGTGGTTCTCTTGAGAGAAAGGAAAGGAACGAATGTGTGGCTGTCCGAATCATCATAACCATGTTGTAGGGGGATTTTACTTGTATTTATAACTTTTTGGCAGATCATGTGAGCCATCTATCTTGACTCACTTGACTATCGGTAGGGAATCAGTAAGAGGAGATCTACGATAATAAACAATGGAATGGCGATATCTTCCTTGATTGAATGAGGAAATAAAGAAAGGAACTGGAGAGCCGCGGCCTAGTTAAGGTAGATCGCCGAATCAGCAGCAAGAAGCTAGCTAAAACAAAGAGAAATAAGATAATTGCCGATGGTTCTTAATTAACAAAGAACTCTCGACGTATGAATAGTGGAGGGATTGTATCATAGTGAAGTTTTTGAGAAAGGTGAAGGTCAACGTGGGCGCCCAGCAATGCTTGCCATCCAGTGAGCTAACAGACACACATTTTTCGAGGTCTAAATTGAACATAATCATCGGGTCGAGTGGAACTCGACATAACCTGATTGCCCTCTGATTTCTCCTCGAAGTAGTTCATCACCGGCGGTGCTGAGTTGAAGGATGAATCCGATGGCACGATAGATCTCATGAAGCTCCGGTGAAGGAGGGTCTATACTTCTGTCAGGTGTAAGATGACGGGTAACGATGACAGGGGCCCGGGGCTTTTCAATGCGACATATTCAATCAGGCTCTGCGTGTTCAGTTTCGTAGGCATGTTGTTCTGAGCCTGCCGTTCAAAATCCAATCTCGAAGTTACCGAATCGTCTATGAAGCTCATGAAGTTGGGTGGGTGGATTCTTCGGTCGATCAATATCAACACCAAATAGGTGGATAACGTGCGGAATGAATATTGTTAGATTATGGTGGGCCAATCGCTTTGCGTCCGTCTGGATTTTGTCAGCCGAGGATAAAAATAACTAGCAAGACCAAGCCGACTTACCAGCTTCCATGCATTCTCTTCGCAAACTTCACGCTCCATAAGCTTAATTAGAGAGACTGTTTTATGGCCGCTATCAGCTGCCCGGATGTCTTCAAAGTGCACGGTGGTTTCCTCAAATAGCTGGATCGCAAGGTTGCGCTCGTCCGGGTCGATGAGGGGACAACAACGCCCTCCAAAGACGAAGGGTGCCGGCGACGTCGAAGCGGATGTGACATCCTGTTCCCATGATATCTAAGTCTCTAATGCCTCAATCATTACACTTACCATGTCGTGTCAACTGACTATCTGTCCCTTCGAGGCCATTATCACTTGTGGCATGGGCCAGGGATGGATGTTCGCAATCGGTTTGCACCCACCCCCCCTACTTTCATGGCACTGTAAGCGGCCTCCACGATAGTAGTTAAGTAGTAAAGAGTAACATGGCACGCAGAGGTCCTGACCTGCTACAAAGAAGATAGCCTCTCTTTAGTTGCGGTCTACAAAGATCTTGCTTGGATGCAGGGGTATATTTAATGGCACACAAAGCATTCTGACTTTGACGTCTGATTGAGGTTAGCAAGTTAGGGCAGCGGTTCGAGCAGTGTGAACCGCTAAGGAGCACTGCCACCACCCTCCACCGCATTGCTCAGATCCTGCGAGTCACGTACCCATGCCCACCGGGGAGATCTTTTCACTGGGCTATACTACTACTTTTTAAGCCAGTAACATGGTAGCATTTTTTGAACCACGGGTTTTCTCATGATTTATTGTTCTACATGCTGCTTCAATCCGCTACCGCATTTCAATTCCCGTTGTGGACCGCTTCGGTCAGCGCAATCGAAGGCTTTCGCCGCCAATAGAAGAACCTAGACCTGAACCGCATACACAAGCGCTGTAGAACGATAGCTACTAAATGCTGGACTTCTACATCTTAGTACTACAGGTAATCTGCAGGTGCTGTGGCCCGGAGAACACATCAACCTGCAGACCAGAACGCGCTGAAGCAAGAAGCCGCGTTTGAGAGTAAGCACTGCCTGGAAAAACTACTATCTACTGACCTAAGGTGGTAAAGAGTAATATGTTGAAATAAACAAGTACAGTTTAATGGATACTGGACAAACTTCGTCAGCAAACAGCGACTGCTTCGAGACAGGGACGAAAGAAACAACCAGAAAGAGTACATAGATCATAAAACATGTATAGAAAGTTGTATTCAATCTGCGGTATAGTCGCATCTGCGTAGCAGAGACTTCCGTGAAGAGGGGGCTTTCAAAATGATGAAGGGAGAGCTAAGGCATGGTCCCCTGTGCTGGGGGCTCCGCCAGGCACATGTTCTGGCCTTGTGAGCCACCGTCTTCGTGATAGCACACTCTTAAATTCTCGGGGTGACCCCGAGGCTAGATGACACGGTATGGGCCTACAGGCCATATCTTTGCCCAGGCGGCTTCGTTGGTTAGACAGGGTACTCGCGCCAGTCACGCAGGTCTTGCCGCGGTGTGTTCAGATTTTCTGTGTTCCTGAAGCGTTTTGAGTACCCTTCATAGACTTTGATTCGGGGTTTGTATTCTTATCGAATTTTCTCAATGGCATCAGGTCGTCGTCCGGCCGCAGATCCATTTCCGCGGCTTTCTTGGCAGCATAAGCGTCACGAATTCTGGCTGGAGGATGGTCGTGGCCGGGGCATAACTAATAGAATCCTGGTTACCAGTCTATCACAAATATCAATACGGGGGACAGGCATACATAGGCATCTTCGGTAAGAGAAATGTCAGATTGCTCGTTCTCATTGTTCTGAGGAGGGAGATGGGGATTTGGAGCATCCATCGTTCTTTAGCGGGTAAAGGAAAGGAAGGATGGCAGTCAAACTCATCTCGGCCATGCTGTATGGAAATATGCTTGGCAATTATATCTTACGAGAGACAACTGGAAGCAATTGTGCAAATATAGACCATGAGGTATCACCCTACCCTCAGGTAGTCTTCTGACAAACAGAACGTAGAGAGCATACAGCAAACGAAATATTCAACTCCCTTGATAGTGCTACTGGAGCAGTTTCATGCTACCTCCTTTATATAAATGGTATAACTAGAACTAATTGGCTGTCAACAATCACATGACCATTCTGAATGGATGCAACAAAGAGGAGAGATGAGCCAACAAGTTGATTCTCGGTGATTAAGGATATAAAGAAAGAAAACTACAGCTGAGACAAATAGAACCATCCATATTGTCGACAGCAGCAGCTCGGACAAAGAGGCACAGGATAACTGCTGACCGTTTCGTAACTTTCCAGATACACTGCGAAAGACTGCCTTCAAGAAAGAGTGTGGCAGCGGAATCCATTGTATTAACAACATAGTTTCGAAAACGAAAAATGAGACAAACACCGACGTTTTATGCTCTCAGGGGACTCTCAAGTTATGCTACAAAGGTTTGGGGTTTTGTATTGTCTCTGATTGATCAATGACATAAACATTTTAAAGCCCTCATGTGCCTTTCTATCTTGGACCGAGAGAGGAGTATACAACATACACACAACATGGCTTCTACATCTAACCTAGATCCTGTTTCTACAACTGGCGATGAGCGAGTGGACGGGGCGCTAGATGCAGAGCGCCCAGACACTGGAGCTCAACACGCTGACGCGTCCGCCCACCAGGTCACCCTAGATAGCTTGTGCGATCTACCTCCTAGGATAATTAGAACTCCTGAATTTGAGAGTGCCGATGGCCGAGCGGCAAAAAAGCTGGATCTTGGTAAAACAGCGGACGACATTGTGTGCGAGGTACTGCGTGGAGACCTGGACCCTGACAAAGGAGCTCGGTGCATTGACGCGCTCATCCGGGCGCTTAGGACAATGATAACCTTGAAGGAGCAAATGGAGCCAGCAGCGAGTATGCCAGCTGGCGGCCCACCACCGCCACGTCCGGTAGCACCAGATCCCATAAAGATGGAGTATTTTCTATACTTTTTCTGGACCCATACAGTGATTTCGTACGCTGGTTCGCTGAATCCTGACGATGAAGAACAGGCTCGCTTGATTGATCTGATGGACTCGTTGAGTCGACTGGAACCAATTGAAATTGATGTTTGGGGGGCGTCCCAGAAAGCTCTGGAAAGAGTTTCCCTTTCTGGGGCCATATATGCGGGATGATTGGAACCCGACACTACCTGAGATTGATCCTGATCCTTTCTCGAATTGCAGTTGTAAGCGCCTCCATCTGCCTCAAGATCCCGAGTGCCCGAGAGGGGACACCCGTCTTGGGGGGGGGAGGGAGCACCTTGCACATTGGCTCGCGTTGGTCTCGTTCATGGCCAGAATGATAGGACGGGGCCTCATGAAGTGGGAAGGATTCGGAAGGGAGTCACTGCGGAGATCACTTGAGTATCCTCATCAAATACAATGCCTGGTAGATAGCCATATTAGCGAAATAAGCCTAGGGATACGGCACGCAGGTACTGCATTGTATCGGCTTTCAGGCGACGGTCACAATTATTATCCTGGCCCCCTCTACCAAGGCAAGCCAGTTGCCAGTCTTGAACGTTGGAAATCCTGGAAAGAGCGTATTTTGGAGCTGGGAAACCTCGCCTCCGAGAAATTTCAGAAGACTGCGGTAGCCCTGGTCGACAAGATGAATGAGATTGAGGCGCGGGCACAAGGAGGACTAGGCGCAGAATATCCTCTGGGCCAAGCTCAGTGTTAGTTGTTCGGGCTCAGGTCCTTGGTACAGCAAAACTTTCTTTCAATAAATTTACTCTCTGAGATGCATACTGAGATATATAAGATAAAGTAGTTCGCGATCTATCATAATGTGCGTAATCATGCCGAGCTGACAGAAATCAAGGTCGTGTTGATCTAATCCTTTTCTCCCAAACCCCCCTGCCGCCTATTCTGCAATTAAGCGCAAAGTCATATGACTATCACTCTGACTTCTACTTACTGAGTAAATTCAGTTCTTGTCAGTGTTGCTCTTCGCCTTAACAGTTGGTGGCGGTGCAGAAAGTGATGGAAGTGTGGCGCAGTCGTGCCAAGAGTCAATCCGGTGCTTATGTCATCGGAGGGTCTGACGTCCACTCGCTCTTCCTCCATCCATTCATCATTCATTCCCTGATGACGGATTGCCCTTGGACGGGGGCGCTTGTGTTCACTTATTTAATGCCTGCGTTCCTGGCAACGGGTCTCCTTTCTTTTCAACATTCTTGACCACCTGATACTTCCGGCTTTGATTCATCTCTTATCTCGATTCTCACCCCATTGCGGCGGTGTTTGTTATCGACTTCCCCGCAGTATCGACATCAAGTCCCCACCTGACGGTCGAGAGACCTTGTCCCTAAAACACTCTTTCCAGTTATCCTACGGCGACAGAGGCGCGACCATGGCTTCCACTGTACATGACCCAAGGCTTCTATACAGTGTCGACAATATTCGAGCTTTTCACCTCCAGAATGGCGAGGAGTCAGAACTCACTCCGTCGGGGCCTCAAACACTTTCTTTGTTGATGGTCCCGACCAGAACTTCTATCCCCGGCAGTTCATTCCCGGTGGCCTCTCAAGAGGTCCTCACCGAGGAGGACTTCTACCTCCACTTGCATCTGCCGCCGGAGCTGGATTTGGCGCTTCCCGCTACCACCCAGATCTTTCACCAGCCGCCGAACAGCTATTTAATCCCCCGTTGGGATCTAGGCCCCGACGCAGGCGCCTTCATTCGCATTCAATTTCCGTCGATCGGAGCTGGGCCCGGCAAGGTGACCCAGGAGGACATCGACACTTTTGAGACAATCCTCGCCCAGTGCACTGCTTTTCTGGACCGCGCACCACCTGCGGGGGACCATGCCCCGTATAACCCTGCCACCTATGCACCCGGTGAGGGCTATGTCTCTCCTGGTGCTGCGCACGAGGATGACTCTCACGGTAGGATTGTTCTGGTGGATGAAGAGGACGGCAGTGTGGTGGGTGAAATGGAGGGGTACGATGTCGTTGAGAGACCGGATATTAAACCTGGATCGAAGAGTAAGTGACTCTGTACTGCAAGGCCGCTTTCGTCGCCGCAACACTGACGGTCCCAGGACCCGTGGAGATTGAACTTCCGTCCGAAGGCGAGGGCAACAAGGTCAACGTCAGCAATGTCTCCGAGGAATACCTGCGGATGGCACGTCATCCGGCTTACAAGAAGTCCACCATTGTCCAGACTTCCGCCAAGGCGTCGCGACTGATCGTCACTGGCTCTACATACCTCGCCAATGCCCTTACCAGTGGTGCAGATACCTTCACGAAGAAGACGAAGCCGAACCCGAAGCCGATGACCTTCTCTGATATCACTCACTCGCGCGTCCGCAATGTCGGCGCCTTCTCTGAGGGCGCTGCCGACCTATCAGCCAAGACCGTTGGCCAGGTTGGGAAATATGCTCAAAACATTGGGGCATCGCTGACCCGTCGGAACAACACGGAGCGACAGAAGGGCATTGATAAGTACGGCAACGAGTACAAGCCAGGGATTCTGAACAAGTCTTTGATTGCGTTCTCCACCCTGGCGGACGGCATCGAGCAGGGTGCCCGGCACGTCTTGACCTCCAGCTCGAACGCTGCCACCACGATGATCGGTCACCGGTACGGAGACCAAGCCGGAGCTGTTGCGTCCAACCTGACGGGCGGTGTCAAGAACGTCGGACTGGTGTACATCGATGCCTCGGGTGTGAGCCGCAAAGCTTTCCTGAAATCCGTCGCCAAAGGTATGGTTGTCGGGCGCATGCGTGATGGGAAGCAGGTGGTGGTTGGCACCGGCGACGGTGGAGAGCTTCCCCCTGGGTCGAGTGCCGGCCAGGCGCAGGCATCGTATGGTGGGAGGGCGCCCTCGCCGACTCCGACGCCGCCGCCCGCTTACAGTGCTGCGGGTAATGCGTCCTATGGGGAGGCTTCGATGTCGGGGGCGAAGAGATAGATCTGGCTGTCTATTTGTTTCTTTCTACTCGTGTCTGATGTGATGATGATTCATGATTATACGATAGTTACCAGGTGCTTATCGAAGGGGGGTGGAATCCATGTGCTTTTCATGCTTCTCGTTCTTAATTTTACCAGCCGTACATTGCCTCGGGGCGTTGTTGTGGCGTAGTCTTCTTCCATCGTACACGCTGTCTTCGATCGTCAACCTAGCCAAACCGACAGTGTATCTCGCTGGTCGCGCCATCGGTGACACCGCTATCCATTCATGTCTCGTGACTCCCAGCGAGGTGCATTCGGCTTGGGGTGTATGCACCGAGTCCGGATGCGCTAGCGTACAGGGTGAGTTAAAAGCTCTGACCTGGGGGTCGTAGTTGAGCGTGGTTAGTAGGTATCCGTCTTCACATGCACGCAGGACGGGTGCATGTGACATGTTCGGTCTTGACCTCGCCACTTCTTCCCACTATATGTTGAGATTAGTCCTCGGTGGTAGGCGGTGAGTAAGGTAGACATACCAGGGTGCTTTGACCTTTGAGATGTGTTGTCTGACGCTGGTAAGTGGGAATCTCGAGACGGTGAGGAGGTATATTGCCACCGGCGTGTTGGGTTTGGCTGGTTTGCTGTATACTGATAGTAGCGGGGTTGTATCCGCCAAGCGTACTCGGTGGCCTGAACCTGTTGGTTTTCCGGGGAGGCTTGGGCTTGAGGGTTTCTTGCTCGATTTCACGGTGTGGTTATTCATTTATGCTCTGACCGGTGGACATACATGGATGGCCACATATATGTTTTGCGGGAAAACAAAGGAGCCGTTACACCAGATATGTATATATCGACGCGGGGGAGACAACTTATATACCAAGTGAATACTCACAATGAAAGAACGAATACCACCCATACTCGAGCTCCTTGGAGGAAGTGAGCACACTAAGTATACAGTATAGGCATGATACATGTAGTCATTGATCTTGAGCGATTGCGAACAATGTCCCATTGATTAGTATATCGTTGGAACAGAAATTTACATCATGATGTCAAAATCTGCCCACTTTAACATGAGTAAGACAATATGGCCGAGCGGTCTAAGGCGATAGACTAGAAATCTATTCTCTTCGGAGGCGTCGGTTCAAATCCGACTGTTGTCGTTTTTTGCTTTTGGTCGGCATTTCTCCCCGTGTAAGATGAACTGTAAGGGAACAACTGACGTAGAGGCGGAAAGAGCCCTTTACCTCCCAGCAATCCCGCTTTGTAGCATAAACGGATAACATCACACGCCACTAGAATCGAATGATTAGATTAAATGCATCGCGGACCCGCGAAGGTTGCTGCCACCGCAGGCCTGGGGTTCAAGTGCGGGTAGATCTGGGCAGCGAAGAGAGAATAATGACGTATTGAACACGTTGTCAATAATGAACAGATTGTATGATCAGGGACGTGGTTTCAGAAGGCAATATGCAAGTAGCAACACCAAAAGAAGTCAGAGAGGGATCAAATCAGCACTATGATCAAGGGCTGGCATGGATTATGGGACAAATCTCGCGATGAGGTTTTGTGCTTCTTGCTAGTGATAACAGGGTGATAATTCAATTGGATAACTTCTTACTCCATCAAAGGCAGTATGGCCGAGTGGTTAAGGCGATAGACTTGAATTCCTCATTGAAATCTATTCTCTTCGGAGGCGTCGGTTCAAATCCGGCTGCTGTCGTTTCTTTTTGCTCTCGGTCCTTCTTCTCTCAATAGCTCGGGTGTGGGGTCCTTTGTCCCCTGGGCTTGACAGTCTGTCTGTCTGTCTGCCTTCCTTGCCTTGCGCCCTTTCCGTCAGTAGCTCGCTGAAAACAACTGCCCTACGGTGGATGCAAGCACGATACCGCTGCATGTTTTCTCTTTTCTCCGCCTTTATTTCCTACCATTATTCTCTGTACGAGAATACAACTTAATCTACACGCTGAGTACCTCGTCAAAATACGGCTAACCGTGAGTGTTTGACAATTCAACGCCTCAACGAGGGACGTGGGAAGAAACCACCTGCCCACAGTAGGGACACCATCGTCCCTGGTCCAGTCGTCCTGGATAGCCGGTGAAACTCAGCCCGCGCCTTTTCCGCCATAAGCGCAATACAGGGCGTTATTTCCAGCAAGACAGTATGGCCGAGCGGTCTAAGGCGATAGACTAGAAATCTATTCTCTTCGGAGGCGTCGGTTCAAATCCGACTGCTGTCGTTTTTTGTCCTTTGTTTTTGCACCCCAGCGTACACATCGAACATGAACGCATCAGTACCAACTAGTATCCATGACATTACAATACACGACAGTGACGAAAGGCTATCACCGTCACAAACCGCGAGCACCAAAGCCATTGTCCTGCCATGCATACGACGGAACAGGAGAATTCCCCGAGTCTCAGAGTGTCAATTGATGACGCCCCGGAGCATCCCAGTAGCCTGTCGGACTTCCTACGCGCGGACTAAATCTAGTTAGCTTGGGGTGGTCTAGCAGGGGTTCCCAATCAATAAGCAGTGCCTTGATTCAGCTCCGGAGCTCAGGGCAGGGTAGGTAGGGAGGTATCTTGAATGGTCGGGAGGTTGATGATTCGGTCTAGCCGGTAATGCCCCTGTTGAGGGTACTATTTTTACTGGGAAGCTTATGGACGCGAGAGAGGGCTGGCCCCCATTGTTGTGTTGGTGTTGATGATGATGATGACGATGTTGTTGTTGATGTCTCGGATGCAAGCGCGCGCTACCACCAGGACAGGGTTTCTGTTAGCTTACTGGGATATGCTGGCACTTCGGGGATGGATCACGCCGCGCCATTGGCAATGCAGGCCCCCCCAAGCGGTTGGCCTTGTATGTACGTATGTATGCAGATAGCGGGCTGAGTATGACAGCTGAGCTGAATGGAAGCATTAGCGGGTGAACCGGTGGATCTAAAGTTCTAGCGAGGTGATGCTAGGTTTGAACGGGAGAATGTTTGCATCTTTTCATGAAACCTGTCGTATCTACATTGACATTTGGAGGATGATGAGGGGATTGAGACAATAGAGCATGTGGCGGAAGAGGGGGAGATGATATGATACTCGTGATTGCAATGTGATCGGTAGCAAAAAGGGTCGTTCGGTTACCGTGGGTTTGCACTCAATTAAGCTTCCGCATCTGAACAATAATTGAGGATTCGGTTGATCGGAGGAAGAAAGCCTTTCGGGACCGAGGGGAGGGTGAACCGTGGATGGTGGAAAGGGGATCGCATGTACGGAGTAGACTTTGTTCATGTTTTATGTTGTCAGGGTCAATGGACATATTGTCATGGACACCCCTCTCTCTCACCTCTTGTCCAGTCAGTCATATAAGACATAAGATGTAAATCAACCCCAACCTCCCCTCTTTTTTTTCTTTGGCGGTGGTACCTAAAATCATCCAGGACCAAGGCTAAGGCAGGTACAGACATCGGTACCTGAGGTATCCAGCCCCCGGTGCCACCGTAATCTTCCGATTCAACCAATGACGGTCGGGGCACTGGCGATTACTGCCCAGTTGGTTCATGAGATGACGATCGGCTGGTCCAGCGGCTCTAGCGATTATCATTCTATTTCCATCCGGTGCCCCTCGTTGAAACAGTGGTTTGATTTGCCCCTGATCATGAATGCGACTTGGCGGCCGCCCTTCTCCATTCCACCTTTCCTTTCTTCCTGCCTGTCTACCGCTCGGTCTGGCTGGCCGGGCGTCTTTTTTTTTTTTTTTTTTTTTTTTTTTTTCCCTTTCTTTTCGGGCGAGACGGTGTAAAAGTGCCAGAGGTACTCCGTACTGTACCTAAGTACGGTAGAATAATGATCGTGAGAGACTGAGCTGTCAACCACACATTCCGTGCCTTAAACCTTCACCGATCCTTCAGGCTGGCTGGCTGTCACCTACTGACTGCCCTGTGAATGTTTCTGATATCAATCAAAATCCCAGACAGATCGGGGGAGATACCTGAAAAGAGAAACAACAACAATAACAACCACCTTCACAATCACTGGAGCCTTATTTCACCGACCAAGGCAAGGGACGGCTCCATACACGTTCAGGCCCTTGTTCTGGAGCATCCCCCCCGTCCGGTTCCATCTGGCTCATGAATGATCCATGATCCCATTGCATTGCGGTGTCCACCTCGAGTTTGAGCATTCGCTCACCTCACTTCCCTCCCATGAGTTTCAGGTGTCTCCTCGTCTCCTCGTCCCCTCGTCTCCTCTGCTGGCAATCATGCTATGACCACTCCCGACCCACGCTGTTTTCAGTAGCTCAGAGCTACTTCTACCTAGTTTCGTACCGCTTCCTCCGTTTCTCCCGCTCGTATTCCAGCACTCTGAGTCTGGAGTCTTGACTCTTTTTACCAGGCAGGTTCTTTCCCTCGCCGTCGCAAGGTCGGGCCCGACGATGATGATGATTTCGGAGCTGAACTCTGTTCAATCCTTGACTATCAGGCTGCGCTCGTCATCGGCTTGACCGTCACGCTTCTCTTGTATCAATTGTTGGCTCGCTAACCTATGTTAACATGCGAACATATGAATGAGGCAGCGAGATCCGACCCGTTGACCCGCTTTCTGGCTTTCCCCAGCCAACTCACCAGTCAGTTAACTTACTGATCTGGGTAAGGTACGGAAGTTGTGCAAGCCTGGATGTAGTCTAGTAGGGTGGAAATGCTGAGAGGGATGCTGCTGGTGATGCTGATGATGCTGATGGTGGTAGTGGTAGTCTAGTAGTGGTGGTGATGGGCGTTAAATGTCATTGTACTATAATCTGGATTATATTATCGTCATATTGTGGTCGGTCGTGTCCAGTTATTATTATTATTATTATTATTATTATTGTTATTATCATCATCCTCATCACCACCACCACCACCACTTGCTTCTCTCTCTCTCCCTCTTTTCGATTCTGATTCTTCCTTCTATGCCTGAGTATCTTGTTGACCAGATTACTTGACTTGTTTTCCTTTTGCTAGTTTTGTTATTCTCCCCCCTTCCTATCTCCCAAGGAGGGATTGATTGATCTCTTCCTCTCCCTCGCGCCGTCTACTCTTTCTGTCTTTCTGTCTTTCTGTCTTTCTTTCTTTCTTTCCTTCTGTTTCCCTCTCTCTCCTCTTTCCCCCATTTATCCCCCTGTCTATTCCCCAATCTAGAGAAAGACCGAACAAGCAGCTCTCCACCATCAACTAAATCGACTAGACTAACCGTTGTCTAACTTCCAGTCAACCTCACTACTAAGACTATCTAAGATACACCACCCCTCTTCTGATTACCGCCCGCCCGCCCGCTTGCTGGCTGCACTGTCAATCTCCCTCCCCCAACTGCCTCATCCTTCCTATTCCTATTCCTATTCCTCTCCTCCTCCTCCTCCTCCTCCTCTCTCTCTCTCTCCCTCCTCTTCTTTCCCTCGTCCCCCCTCCTCTTCCTTTTCTCTTCCCCCCCGTCGATCATGCTCCCCAACGCGGCCAACACTCTGCCTTGTCAATCTTACCAGAAGTGTTGAATCGGTGCTGCCAACGCCCGGGATCTCACCTCCTCTCCCCCCTTCCCCCGTCGCCCAGAAAGTCCCACGTCGCAGTTCGCGTCTCCCGAGGCTTGCTTCTTCTTCCCGCCCGCGTTCGTCGCTCAGAAGCTCTCAAGCTCTCTCTCGAGCTCGCAGACTCGCCCTACCCCAACTGGGTAGTCAATATACCTGAAGAGCACAGGGTTGAGAGTAAATTCTGCAGTGCAGATTATTCGCTTTTACCTTGCTGCTGCTGCTGCTGCTGCTGCTCCGGGCGTCACTTGCACCTTTCGGCCATTCACCTGAAATTAAGAAAAAAAAGGAATAAAAAACCATCCTCGACTCGAACAACAGGGCGCCCTCCCGTCCCTTTGACAACGCGGTTATTGATTGTCTTTTATTTTCTTTTTATTTTCTTTTTTAGTTGCCTGCTTACATTGCCCTTTCCCAAAAAATTTGCTGGTTGCTACCGACCTGGTGTCTTCCTTATACCAATAACCATTGCGAAATTTTCCCCTCTTGAGGTTCACTCCTCACGTCAGTCAGTGTCATCTTTCTTACCTTTCCTGCCCCCCTCTGCCCTTCTCGGTGGTGGTTCCGATGGGCCCCCAACCCAAGAGACTAACCTGAGACAACAGCTTAGCTACCCGACCGGAAACTCCTTCAGCCCCGGAAACTTCGGTCGCATTCCCATACCACCTTAGATTAGAAAAACCTCACCACCTCCCCAAAAAAAGAATTTCACAAAAGCACCCCATTCCCATAGGGCTACAACGTGCTTAACTGCAGGTCGCATAACTGCATTTGCCCGGAATAAGCGAAAGACGCGACCTGGTTAGCTGGATTGGCCAGTCCAACTTCTGCCAGAAGAGGCTGTCTCGGACCGTGAACACAGCAGTCTTCAGCTCTGCTGTGCCTTCCTGAATCGAAGGTATGTGGATTACAAATCGCACCCCTCAATGCACATCCATTCCAATCAGCCCACCATCCCTCCTTGTCTTCCTCTAGCCCCGTGACAGTGCAGTCATGCTGCAGCACTCTCTTCTACTTGCGCGTACGAGGGTCAGCTGCACTGGCGGCAATTGAGCGCCCGCGCCGCATCTACCACTGGGTTCAGCGCTAAGTGCTCAACAGCCAACTTCATCTTCGGTCCCGACAGCTTCTTCGGCTATGAACGACCCCGAACCGCAGTCTCTGCCGCACACCTCCCATGCATCCTCCGCCGTGACCCCCACAGCGCTCCCGTCCGAGTTGGACGTCAATCGCAATCCCGTCTATCCTGACCTGCTGGGTGCCCCTCCAATTCCTCCGCCCCGGACTTCATCCACACATCGAAGTCACCATGGCTCGAATGCAAAAGCGACAGCGTCTTCCAGCGAACGAGCGCCGACTTCGCGTCACGGAAAGAATAGAGCCGAGGATTGGCCCGCCAACCATCGGGACAGGGAGGTCGAGGATCTGTCAGGAACCACAAGCGCCCGTATTCGACCTGCGTCAGCATCCGCGGCAGACGCTTACTCGGACGAATTGACAGACCCATTCCCCGACCAGGCAACGCTAGTCAAAGAATCTAGTACCGTGCTCAACCAATTATTGGTAAGCGATCCGGCCGTGGACATCGAGCGGGAACAGGTGCGACAGGCAGGCGCGTCGGTGTCGCCATCGACCGAGGGTGGTGCGCCCACGTCCGGCTTGGCTCTGGTGGGAAGCGACGGGGTGGACGATGGTGGTCGCGGTGGGCTGCGCAGTCGCCACGATTACAATGAAAATGCAGCGAAGCGCAAGGAGACGACATTCGGACAGTACATCCTGGGTCAGACTCTTGGAGAGGGCGAGTTCGGAAAAGTCAAATTGGGCTGGAAGAGAGACGGCACTATCCAGGTCGCTATCAAATTGATTCGCCGCGAATCGCTTGGCTCGAATCCCAGTCGATTGCCCAAAATTTACCGCGAGATCTCGATCCTACGCGACCTTTCCCACCCCAACATCGTGCGACTCCACGAGATGGTCGAGACCGATCGCCATATAGGTATCATCATGGAATATGCTTCTGGGGGCGAGTTGTTCGACCACATCCTGAACAATCGCTACCTCAAGGACAATGCGGCCCGTCGCCTTTTCGCACAGTTGGTTTCTGGTGTTGGTTATCTTCACAAAAAAGGAATTGTACATCGTGATTTGAAGCTGGAGAACCTTTTGCTGGACCGCAACCGCAACATCATCATCACCGATTTCGGTTTTGCCAACACTTTCGACCCCGCCGACGAACTGGGAGAAGAGATCGAATACAACCTGACCAACAAAGATTTCGTGAAGCGGATGCGTTTGGACAAGCAGAATGCCAAAGGTCTCCGGCGGGGTGATCTGATGCAGACGAGCTGTGGCAGTCCCTGCTACGCTGCCCCAGAATTGGTCGTCAGTGACTCGCTTTATACTGGGCGCAAGGTCGACGTTTGGAGCTGCGGTGTGATTTTGGTGAGTCGCCGAGTCCGCTTTTCGTGCAAATTGCCGGCCTGTGCCATCATCTCTCATACTGACCTGCCGAATTTATAGTATGCCATGCTTGCTGGCTACCTGCCATTCGACGATGACCCTGCGAACCCGGACGGTGACAATATCAACTTGCTCTACAAATACATCGTGACCACCCCCCTGACGTTTCCCGAATATGTGACGCCCCACGCACGCGATCTTTTGAGAAGGATATTGGTACCGGATCCGCGGAAACGAGCCGACCTCTTCGAGGTTGCCCGCCACAGCTGGCTAAGCGAGTACTCACATGTTGTGTCCCACATCACTAGCAGCACGACGAAGGTTGCAGATATCGCCACCACGACGGTGCCCTCAGGTAAGCCGCCCTTCTTGAAGCGACCGGCCCAGTCGGCTTATATCTCTTTGCAGCCGAGCCTCCTCGCAAGGAAGTACCCCAACTGGCGCGGAGCGCGTCTGTCAGAGAGCCACCCAAAGCATATCAGAATACAGTTCCGGCTGTGGGAGGGCTCATACATCATGCCGGGGACGTCTCGCAGGACCAGGCGCCCGAGAAGGCGAAGAGTTCCCGAGACACGAAACGGCGAACTGTTCAGGTCGAATACGTTGCCCCCCAGTCTCAAACGGTCAGAGGCGAGCAGTTCGCTGGTCCGGCGCAAGCCCCTACGGAGCCTTCTGGGGCCTTCGAACCTCCACCCCGGAGAGCAAGGCCAGGCAGCCGAGGTGGGCCCGTCAATATGCCAGCGGGTACCTCGCGTCAAGATGTGCCTGGCGAATCAAGCGCGCGGATCGGAGACTACGAGGCGACCGCTGGTTCGGCGCCGGCCCCTATATCTGGACACTTGCCTCGTTCGACGTCAGATACTGCAGCGCTGACGGGCCCGATGCCAACCTCCGCCACCCATGCTACGCGTCCCACGACCGGCGGGTCGATGGCCTCATTCAACGCCGGCCGTTTGCCATCAAGGGGATCGTATGGACAGCCTGTGGCACCAACCGTGGCAGCGACCAACGCGCAGGGCCGGCTGGCGCAGCCGAAAAGCCGCCAATTCAGCATCTCTGCTCCTATGCCACACGATGCTTCACAGCAGTCAATTGGCCAGCCCAGCACTCAGCATCTCCCGGCCAAATTCAACACGACCCCGCGGCAAGAACCTTCCAAGGGTCATAAGAGATCGAATACTGTGTCCAGCATTGGCGAGAGGCTCTTTGGTCGATCCGGCTCCATCTTTGGTGGTCGTGGAGGGCAAGCGAGTGGCTCGCGCCAGCGCAACGGCAAGCGCTATCCTCCCACTAGTATGAAGGAGCCGTACGGAGGAGATGACACGCGGATGTCGATGGATTCACGGCGCTCGATGCAGTATGGCTCCAACCGGAAGACGAGCGAGACCGGTGCAGAAAACCGACCTCGGAGATTTTCGCTCCTTCCGCCATCATTCTCCTTGAAAGGTTTCTCTTCCAGCCGATCGCAGACCCCTGATGAAGAATCCCAACCGGATCGCTCCACCGAAAATCGCTTAGAGCAAGCCCCGTCTACTGGTGCACCTCGACCGCGTGCGCGCGCTACTAGCTACGGCACGCAGGATACGATCGCCATGGCGACTGACGGTGCCCCAGAGGACGAAATCCCCACCCAGGAGGAGCCCATTAATTACCAAGCCCGGATTGATCAACAATTTGCGATCCTACATTCTAACCAGTCTGGACTATACCAGCCCACATCATACAGTGCGGCCTCGGCGGAGCAGGTCTACCCGAACGAAAACGAGCATTACTACCGGAACCAGAGCGCCAACCACTCGACGCCTAATTACTATGGTGACACTACCGGGACATTCGACAAAGGATCCCAACCGTCAGTGCAGGCGGGTCGGCCGGGACGAGGGGCGGGCGTCTTGCCCAAGAACCATCGTAAATTCGCCGACGCCTACGAGTACGAGCGTGACTTGGCCCACCGGCCCGGTAGTTCTGGTGCAGCCAGGAAAGTCATGGACTTCTTCCGCCGACGAGCCAAGTCCAGGGCCGGGGACGACCGGTAGAGTTGGCGCCTACATTAATCTAATTGTTTAAAGATTTAATTCTCAACTTCTGATCGACTGGGTGTGCCTCAGACGATCGTCTATTAATCGCTGGGCAGTCGCCAAGTTGGTCACAGTGGTAGCAGAACCAAGAACGACAGGCGATTCGAGCTTGCAAACTTGCTTCTTGCGATTCGGGGATCGGACGTTGCGGACCAGTCCCAGGAGGCTCCGCAGTACGTCGTGGCGTCCGCGCCCACACCCAAGGATCCTCCTGAAGCAAGCTGAATCGACGGATCGAGACGGGTCTCGATTGAAGCTTTCTATCTTGGAGAGAGACTTCGAGTCCGACTAGGCTCTTGGAATCCAGCATTGACAAAGCAAGAGCGGTTATTTGGATACCCCCCCGTGATACCCACGCAGCATTCGTCTCTTCTGTTGCTTGCAGCTATCGGTTTCTCCTCATCTTGTACCAGCCTCCGTTTGTTCCAGCATACATATTTTTTTTTTTTTTCCTTTGGTTGTTTCCTTTGTGCCCCTTATCCCCTTATTTCCTTTGTTTAAATTTTTCGTTTCTCTTCTCCCTGTTATTATAGTCCTGTTTGTAAATTGATCCCTTTCACCATTCAGCCTTTTCCTGATCGTCTCTTCGATTCTCCGTGGCGACGTGACTTTGTTGGCGTGCTACGGCCAGGGTTCTCTTTTCGATACCTATCTACATTTCCAGGTCTTTATTTGGAAGTAATTTAATATTGCCTATTGCTTTGCCCGCCCATCGGAGTTGCCTGTGTACTCTCTGCAGTACGTCTTTACTTTTCGACTGGGGTTACCCGTCTGTGTCGAGGTCTTGCTAGGTGCGCATTAGCGACGTTCTGTTGACCATCATCGCATTGCTGTCTGTCTGTGTGTGTGTGTGTGTGTGTGTGTGTGTGCGCATGTGTGCGTGTCTGTCCGTGAGAAACTAGATGTAACTACATTCTACTCAGCCAGTCGGCCGTGTCCATGAGAAGTAATCCCGTCAAAGGATATTATCGGGTGTAATTGATGCTTTGGCCCCATCTCCCGTAGTGGTTTAGTGGTTTAGTGGTTCAATCGAATGGACAGCACCGAGTGCGACTGCAACTCGGTGATAACTTTCTCTTTTTGTTTCTCTCGAAACCACCCATGATCGCCCTGCGTGTCATGTCGTTGGGAGTTGTAGCTGTAGCCGTAGCCTCGTGCTTTCGTGGATGTGTCGCCACGGGGAGTGTAGCGTCATTGCTAGATTGGGGGGCTGACAGATTGTGTCTCTGCCCTGTCTCGCCATGCCACCCCCTCCTCTCATGTTTCGGATTGAGTTACCATGCACGCATACATACATCCTGCTCACTTCCATGTTTGCAGCTGCTGCTGCTGTTGCATATACCCCGATCAAGAGGCCAGCTAGTTCACCGGTGTGCTTACATGTTTCAGCCCTAAGCTTGGAAGATGTAGAGACAGGGGACTACATAACGACTACTAAATTATTGTTCGTGGTTTAGGAACCATGGCTGGCTGGGTGGCTGTGGGGAGGGTTAGCTAGGGTTGACGCTGAGTCGTTACTTACTTACCTGTACCTTTCCTGTTCCTGTACCTGTTGGGTGGGTAGGTAGGTAGGTAGGTAGATAAGCTAAGCTAAGCTAAGCTAAGCTAAGCTAAGTAGCTAGCGACAGCACATCTCTGTGATTGCTATATACCGGGCCAAGGCTGTCTAACGTGCTTCTAGCTCAGCTAGACGGAGCTAGATGAAGGCTGGGGTAATGGTGGACTGCTAGTGACTCATTAGGCGTGTGCGTTGGTTAGTTCGTTTTGCGAGGTACATGTAGATCGACCGTTAGCGAGATGGCTCGTAGAAGTAGCCGTTAGCGATATAGTTCGTCGCAATGAGGCTTAGCGAGACAACTCGTAGAAAATGCCCTTGTAGCGACGCAGACCTGCTACTGCCGTGCTCAGGTTTACTAGGTTTAGGCGAGGTTACTGTACTGCGGTAGGTATGGTCTGTATATCGAGCTAGCTACAGTAGGTACTTAGTTTCGATAAGACTGGACTAGGCTGAGCTGACATTGACACTGACCACTTATCCGGTTGAAAGACTATTTACTTACTGTATTCGCTATTCTGATAGGTGCTACTTCCTAGCGACATCGCTAGCCCGGGCTAGTGGTGTCTATTGTCGTTGTTGGGGCTGCAGCTGCACCCTAGGTAGATCTCTCGGGTCTATCTATCTATCTATCTATCTATCTATCTATCTATAGTGTATAAGCCTTGTGGGAGGGGAGTTCAGATTCAGGTTTCATGGCTGGACTGGGCTGGGTTGGGCTAGGCTTGGTGGTGTTGGGGGCTGAATTGCGGGGACTGCGGCTTGTTTTGCATGCATTGATGATGATCATGATTTGACGTGCAGGGTTGGGAACTTGGTACGTGCTGTAAGCTTACTTCCTGCTGTTCCTGCTGTTCCTGCGGGAATTATTGTTGGGGCGGTGCAGGTTGCTTAGCTGGGTTTGTGTATCGCCCTTTGGTAGTGGAGTAGGTGCGATTTGGGGTGGTAGGCTTGGGGCATTTCGTTTGGTGGGGTTCTATGTTTATGATATGTCTGGGAGTGGATGTGTGAGTTGGGTTATGAGCGTATGTTGAGTATCCTCTGTGGTTTACTAGGAATTGAACGTTCATTTGGTTTCTGGGCGCAAAAAAAAAAGAAGCCAATGGTGTTTGTTGATTTCTGTCTGCTTGGTTGAAAATGTAAAAAAAAAAGAGATGACAAGAGTGGGATTCGAACCCACGCCAACTTACGTTGATCAGGAAGCTTGTGAAGCTGGGTGTTAAGGTAACCTTAACCTGACGCCTTAGACCAACTCGGCCATCTTGCCTTGAGATGCTATATATGCCATTTTGATGTAATACTAGTCACAAATGTCTAGCAGAGAGAATAGATGAACCAACTGCACTTGAGAATAGAGGTGACTGTGGTAATGGGAGCACGATGTAAGGCATTATAAATTTTCCATGCATCTAAATGTCGGATCGCTAATGACGAATTATGCATGGATGAATGTAATGTACCTCAGACAATTGCGCCCGGGAGGTCTCAGTCTGCCACGCCGCGGTGTGGAAATAAAGCATATCGTGGCCGCATCTCGTTCCCATTGATTGCACGGGCAGGGAACACATACGAAACACAAGGGAGGTCTCATCTCCTCACTTGGAGTAAATGCTATCGACAATATTCAGGTATCTTTCCGGTGATTACGTACTAGTTTCATGTTTGGCTAGCTACACTGATTGCAAACCACCAATCGTGCAAGGACGAACGAGGAAAAGTGTGCATCAGAAAAGTAGAAAGTGTCTTCAATAGCACTGGCAGACAATATGCAAATATAATGTCAAAACCATAACAACTTTACAACAATCGAGGCAAGATGGCCGAGTTGGTCTAAGGCGTCAGGTTAAGGTTACCTTAACACCCAGCTTCACAAGCTTCCTGATCAACGTAAGTTGGCGTGGGTTCGAATCCCACTCTTGTCATCTCTTTTTGCATCCATCCGTTGTTTTTTGATCCCAACCGAGTGAGCCAGCAAGCTCATTTGATACCGATTACTCGATCAGAACAACAATGGCACGATCATCGAAAACAGCCCCATAAATCCAAATAGAACAACCCCCGATCCCGACCTAGCCATTCCCTCCACCCCGATCCCCGTCTCATCCACCAGGAATATTTCCTCAACCGGGTTCCAGGTGAGTCGACTCACGGACCGGCGTCGGCAGCGCTTACTGTATGTACCTACCGATCCCACACCTATCTTATCGATAGGTACCCAGCCCCTAGAGTTGACCGACCCAGACATACAATAACTACGATATTTGATCCTGACCTTCCTTCCGTCCGTCCGGTCCGTCCGTGACCAAGTAAGTCAGTCCCTGGGGCTTAACGATGATGACAGACAAGAAACCTGCTACACGGCCATGCATATCCGACGCACTCGAACCTTTCTCTCCGCGAGAGGGATTGAGTTGTAAACTGGTGGGAGGACTTGCTTCGGAAATGATAATCCTGGTCATTGTCAGTTCCCCAGACCCTCCTTAAGGTCCTTTATTTTTTATTTTTTTTATTTTCTATTTTTTCTATTTTTTTTTTGGTAGTGGACAAGAGCCAATACCGTGGGAGGGTGCGGGCTTGGTTGGTGGATAATCTTCCTCCTTCTGGCTTATCTTTCGAATGTTTGTTTTCTTTGTTTCCTGGGTGGTTGTTCTCGCCGGATGCTCGGGATCTCGGCGTCTCTGCCCTATCGGTATTTGGGTTTTCTGTGAGATTAGTTGTTGGATATGGTTGTTGTTGTTGTTGTTGTCGTCGTCGTTATTGAGGTGGATGGGATGGACTGCAGGTGTTCGGTCGCCGGGTTCAACCGTGTTAAGCCGGAGGGGGAGGGAGGATATACCTGGTGGTGGTGGTGGGTTGAGTGGTGTAGGGTACGGGATACGGGATACGGGGTACGGGGTTCCATGCTGTACAATACCTAGTACATATGCTTGCTGGCTGGAATTGGGCTCGGTTAGATGAAGGATGAGATACTGGATGCATGGCGGGGTGATGCATCTCCCACCGTACTCACAGACATACATACACCTTGCTCAATCGAGTCTTGTCTCTCACGGATAAGAAACTGTCCCCATGACACTTATCCAAGGCTGCCCAGACGGGCTGCGACGGCGACGGCAGCCGGGTTTTGAACAGATGGTGAGATCTGAGATCCCTTCGGCGACCAGACCAGGGTCGAGGGTTCTAGACACTCTCCCAAGGTCCTCCTCCTTTGGAAGTACAGTACCACGTCAGGACGGACGTGCGTCTTATCGATGTTGTAAGCCCCAGTTAACTAAACTACCCGACCGCGAAGGTACTATGATCGTCAGTATCTGCTCTATCCCTCGTCCGGGCTGTGAAACCTCCTCTGCAGTTTCTATCGAATTGGCACCAGCCTTGGCACTTCTCTTGATAGACCTTCGGTGCTTGGCGGGTGGTTTGTTTTTCTTACTCCCCCCCTCTTTTTTTGTTATCTCTCTGGAAAAAAGATGTGTGAGGATGGTATCATTGATATTCATTTTGGTTCTTCAGAATTACTTGGCATGACTTTGGTAACCCGAGACAAGAAAAAAAAAAGAAAGGAATAGGAAATATTGTAACATCGTACGGCCCTCGTTCAGCCCTCCCCCACCCCGCACTTCAAAATGCAGGTGTCTTTATCCTCCAGCTCCTATCCAATGAGGATATTCGAGTTACAAAATGAAAACCCATAATCCTGGTCGTCTAGCAGACAAGAAGTGGTCCGGACCTGTCAGGGGTGATCGTGTCCAGCGCGATTCGTTTGATGTTGGGGCCAGGGCTTTCAACGGTGACTGGTGGTCATTAGACGAGAGGGGCGCCTTTGGAGGCGTCGTGGCCCAGGTAGAGGAAGCCACTGGGCAGGCGAGCGAGGCCCGGCCGACGCGACGAGTCGTTGCTGGTCGTGGAGGACTGGCTGCTAGAGCGCTCCCGAGGGTGTTGGGCCACCGCGAGGGGGCCGTTTTGGATCGGGGCCAAAACGAGGAAGCGGGAGGAGGGAGTCTCGGTGTACATTTTGATGATGGGGTTGGATGTGGATGGTGTGAGATAGATAGACAGATGGGAGAGATTGGGGCGCAGTTTGTTGCGGTTGGTATCTGAGGGAGATAGGTAGATTTTAAAAGTCTCTTGGAAAGTTCAAGTGATGGCTAAAAAAAGTAGAGAGTGATAGCAGAGAGGAGAGAGAGAGAGAGAGAGAGAAAGTGAGTTGGAGTCTGGATTGAAGAACTTCTTCCGACTGAATTTGGGCGACCCTTATATAGTATAGATGGGAAGGTGTGATTCTGGGCAAGGAGGGGTCAAGCGAAGGCAAGCTGGATGGAGCTCGGAGCAAAATTGTCGACTAAGCAGCAGCCCGGAGCCAGCAATCCATTGATTTCCGACCATCCCACCTGCAGCTTCTGGCGATAACGACATCCCACTCCAATCCGACGGGGGACCGGGACCCCGGGGGGTGGTGGTGACGATCACCGCTGATTCGTAAATTCACCACTGCAAGAGCTTACATGTGCCGGCCCTAGGATAGAATCAACCCACGGAGGGGCAGAGAACGTCATCCACGCCCCTCCCCCCTTCCTTGCCAATTCACTAGGGCCAAAGTCAAGCCCGCAATTGTCGAACACGCTGTCTCTGCCGAGAGCTCTGGTTGGACAAGCGGCGAGGATCGCTGGAGATTAGGCGAAGGGGAATGTTTCGCAAAGAACCGAATGGACAAACACAGGGATCTCAGCCTCGGATGATCAGCAACCAAGACCGGACAGCCAAGCCACTATTGATGATCCCGTGACTGGGGGACTCTGGGGAAGATTGCCAGACAGTGAGATAGATAGTGCAGATAGTGCCGATACCATAGTAGTTAATGCCAAGTGGCGTACCTGTATCAGTAAGCAAAAGGAAGAAGAATGAAGAAGAAAGACAGTAGGAAACACTGCAACAGATGGGAGATTGTGGTCCTTCCCCTTTGGGGGATTTCTGTCCACATGACCAGCCCCTGCGTTGCTCTTCATTGCTTCGCCTCGCCACTTTCTAGAACCACTCTCTAACTATTCTCCATCTCCATCTCCACACTCTCTCCTCATCGCCTCATCGATCGGACCAGCTATCCGCCAGCAAGATAAGCGAGCAGCGACCCGATGAGTCCCTTCATCCCTTGCTGCCAGTCGAAGGTTCCGAGGAGATTCCAAAGCAGCCGAAGAATGGAGGCCAGACCATCACGTTGTCCGATTCATTGAGACACTCATTGAGACACAGACACAGCTCGTGGGCCAGATCCAATTCCAGAGACATGCTGGACAGAAGACCGACCGAGAGAGGCTAAGCTAAACCCCTGGGGAGTTCTGACAATCTCCCAGCATTAGACTGGCACCGTCGGGAGTTAAAATAGAACCAGCACCGCCCAACTGCAGGGGCGCAGATGTGACGAAACGGAAAGTAATGGCAGGCGGCTCAACAACCCCAGCGGTCACGTGCCCCGAACCATCTGCGAGCATTGCGGCAACTGGGAGTAAGTTGAAGAAATGCTGCACTCGATCCCAGGGGAATTCAGCTAGTCTGCCTTTCCAGTCCGACGTTCCTAAAGCCGGGGAGCCAACGGCGGCTAAGGGAGGCCGTGCCCTCCGTTTGAAGCCCTTCGGCCGTCGCCGTTTTAGCGCCCCAAGCTCCTACGCCGTATCGCCTAAGTGGCGCGGACCCTCGGCGGCTGAAAGCACAATGAGACATGCAGAAATCCCCGAGCGGTGCTGTCCTTTTTTCTGAACTTTCTCTGTGCCTGCGAATGCTGTGCCAGCAACTACAGTCAGGTTTCAGCCCCGATATCAACTGTCTGACTCGGCTACTGGCTGTGGTGACAACGCAAAATCGATAGGTGGAGGAGGTGTGGCACTGCACAACTGCCCAAGTGCGCATTGGTTGTCGGCCGACTGGCTTTGAATCACACCAACATCGCGAAGCACACGGGGCTATGGAATGGATACGCTCAACGTAGATTCACAGTGCTCGTCGGTTCCTGTGCTAACCACCCGTCGCCAGGGAGGTGGGAGAACCTTAATGATATCTCTGGACAAATGAGAGGGGATCAATAAGAAAAGAGACCGGCGAACTGTCCCGGGTCTCTCTTGGCCATTAATATCACCAACCGCGTTTAGGCCCTGGATATCATACATTGGCCGACCGGAAAGCAATGACCTCCAGTTCCTTGTGATTGCAAGTGGCTCATGCACACCCATTGCCTTAGCTTCCGCTACTCGACCCCAGGAATCTCTGATATGCCTCGTGGATCGTTGATCTGTGGGAGAGGCATGGTCTGAACGCAGGCCAGGAATCGTGCCCAGGACCTGCGGCAACCCCTGACAGGAGCAGGTGGCTCATCGGTCAACTAATACCACTCAGCCTTCCGGCCGAGCAGTGCCAGGTGCCCTGAAACCAGACCAGCAGGTGGGGGTGACCGCATCTCGATATCTGTGCGATCATATTGGCCTGCTCTACGATGCCATCCTTGCTTTCCCCTCCTCCCCAGTCACCCAGGCTTCTGGAACCCATGATAGACGGTGACCGCCGTTGTCAAGCGCACTCGGTGGATGACAAGTCCGGCCGTCTGCAGCATGACGTGCGTCAGATGCCCCGTTTCGAGCTCTGTTCGAGTTGCGGCATGACCCCATTCGCATACACGACTGTTGGGCGTTGGCGCAGATTGATTTGATCGTTGATCTGGCTGGTCTACCACCTGCATATGTGACCGACCTTCCCTGCTGCAGGAGGGCTGTAACTGTGAAGATGATGTCAACCTCCCCATGATGCAACTGCGGAAGTTTAATCACTCCTACGACAAGGGGATCCCAATGATTTCCGGCTTATGCATGACCTTGTTAGTCACATCTCGTTCATGTACTTCAGTGGGGAAAGCTGTCACCCAAGGCTGACTTCAGGTGGCTGTCACCTTGACAGATTTGCATAACCGCCAATGGCCGATGCTGTAGTCACCGACAACATCGGTTAATCGAGTTGCGGTTCCGCTCTATGAGTGGGTTTGAGAATGTGATGTAGACCGAATCGCCAACTTTTCCGGCACAGTCTCTCATCTGATCCAGAAAGAGCATTGCCAAATAACTAAGTGAGATCGATCAGGAAAGACAGAATGCACGAAAAGGGAAACGTGGACAAGACAGAGATAAAAAGAAAAAAGACAAAGAAAAAAGCAAAGGAAAGAAGATGCATGCGTAGTTTAGTTAGCCGTTCGTTCCTTGCTCTAACCTTCTTCTTACTTCTTTTCTACCACACTTCTAGCGTCTCGACTATGAGGTCGTTCGAATTTCCCATTTTCCCTCTTCTCATGATCAATTTGTGATTATCATTAGAATTATTGGTATTGCACTTTTAACTTTTTTATTTATTTATTTTTCCCTTTAAATTATTCTCAGCCTAAGTCACTGTTGCTGGGCCATATTGTGCAGTTGGCGTAGAGAGCGTTGTTGCGGCACAGTCGACCGCAGTCATTCTTTATCACTCACTTGAGATTCGAATCCATCAAACCGCGAGAACTCTTATTTAAGGTCCTCCACAACCCGGACAGAGACTGAACATCAACAGCAACATCGCCTTCTCTCTCAATCATCCAGTCCAGCTTTCTCTCTGAGCTTCAGTGTCATTTCCACTCACTCTCAACTCATCTGCATCTTCTGCTACCGTTGCGAATTGACCGTGCTTGCTGTCCTTGCCTTGCACCTTTCTCTGATCACCACCACCACCGTCTTTCCACATATCAATAATACCCACCACCGTCAGGACCCAACCAGCCAAGATGTGCTCGCAATACTACCTCAAGTACGACTGCGGTTGCACCGTTGCCGAGGGCGACGTGGTCTACTGCGCAAAGCGAGGCACTTCGTGCACCGGGGTGCGCCAGCAGATCCGGCGTCGGGAGGGCTACAAGTGCCCTGAGCATGGTGGTCCCTAGACCCGAACACCAAGGTGAGTTTACTAAGGACCGAAGATCCACTTGCGCAAAGGGGGACCCAAACCGTGGACCGGCGCACAGAGAACACGCTGAAACTAATTGGATGGGTTATGCAGACATGTTGATGGAAGCTTAGGGAGGGAGGAGGTTTGAGCTAGGGTGCCTGCCTGCCCATTTTGTCATGGCCTTGCAGAATGACAAAGCTGGGGCGAACGGGGGAGAAGAAGAAGAGGCAATGCACGCCATAGCCTTCTTCTTCTTTCTCCCCTGGATGATCGACCGTTAAACACTCTCCACTCAAGCTCGAACCATTCCTGACGACCGAGTCCCTCCTCGTACTGGGGACCAGAGAGATCTGATGACCCAGGTTTCTTTTCCTCAAGACAATCATCTTCCCATCGGCGCAAGAAAACCCAACAAGAAAACTCAAAAATCACTCAAAAAAAGTTGAAAAAGGTTGAAAACGACTCGAGAAAATAAACAAACATTGCACCCAAAGAAACCGACAAGAAATCCGGTGAGAATCGTGCGGAAGATAGAAAGGCGATATGAGACGGGATAGCTTGACTTGATTGTTTTGCTTTGATTTTTTTTTCTTTTATTCTTTTCTGGGAGGTTATCGTACTCGCTCTTTATGCATCCATCATCACCATGGATCTATCTGATCATTGGTGATTATGGCCTATGGTATACACTGTTGACATTTCCATCGCACCACCTGCAATCATGTGTTTTTGTGTCTTTTTTCTTGGCTTGTCACCCTCTACCCTCTGTCACTCTGACCGCAATTCCCACTGTACCACCTATTAAGCACTGACAGACCACAACTGTTCTATTCTCTGAATTTCGTTTCATCCCCATCCACCGCACCGGAGGCACTTTGATTTCTCGTTTATACGAAGCATGGCTTTTCTTTCTTTCTTCCTTTCTTCCTTTTCTTCAGCAAATCAGCTTTACCCAATTGGTTCGCCGCTTATTCCCTACCTGGTATCGAAGGGGACCATTGATTTAATTGCCTTGCTCAGTGTGCAACTTATTTCGCAGTTGACACTGACGGGGCATTACAATCTCCCTCGCGAGTCTCTCCTTTGCCACCTGCAACATTCCTTCTCATCCAAAGATTTCTGTTTCCCCCATTTCCTTATGGGCTATCGACCCTAGCTTTAGCTTTAGCTTTTTTTGTTTTGTCGATGACATTGACAAGCAAGCACAATGCGACGACGCTCTTTTTACTTTTCACATTCTCAATCTCATGGATAACGGGATACTTTCTGGATAGATACTATAAGTGATCCGCTCTTCCCTCTATAACTCTTTTCTCCCGTAAGATCCGCACTCGGAAGATCAAAGAGAAGGCAAGGTGGGAGAGAAAGACTTAAAAGCAGACCCGTGGACGGAAATGAGCGGATCTTCGTATTCACCCCACACATACGCACATACACACACACACACATATATGTCCGTTGGAATCGTAAATAGATTCCGATCAGTTGGAATGAGATGAGATAGAGGAAATGCATTGTAACAGATAACCGAAGCCTACGGGTCAAAACGGGTCGAAGGAGGCTGTGAGTGGGATGAAGGGAGAGGGATAGGTAAGCGTGCCGGGCCTCCTGACCCGTGGTTCTGGGTGCTACGACTGCTACGGTGTCCCAAGTCCGTGGATAGCTGGCAATCCTTACCGTGGTTCGACCGGCACTCACCATGTTCGGTGTTGTCCGGGTGTTAGAGCCGCAATGGACAGGTGGATATCCCTGGAATCCCAGACCTAGACAAGTCAAGTGGGTACGATCCAAACCACCCGCGCGACTATTTAGCTTACTGGTGACACGCTGGAGCAACGAGCGTCGAGCTGGGAGCAGGAAGGTTGTCGGTAGGTAGTGAAGGATTCGAGTCTACGTAGTATTAACTAATGAATTGCAATTCAACAGCTTGCTACGATGAGCGAGAAACTTTCTCGAGAGGTTGCCGCGCTACGCGTCCGATACGTCCGGGGATTGGAGTATGGAGCTTGGAGCCTGGGAAGGCTTTATCCGTGCATGGTGCCTTGGCTGTCCTGCTCGGGCGCGACACTTTACTATCGCTGCCCCAGGTATGATCATCTTATGCTAAGGCATCTGTTCTTTGCAGCTTCTCCGATAGGAATACATTTATGTCATTAATCCTGTGTGGTGTGGGTGCGGAGGTGTGCATGCCCATGGTCGGCTGGCTGTCTCCCTGCAATCCATTAAGCCTTGACGTTGGGGTTGCCAGGGCCCGTGGCGAGAGCTGCATTAGCACCGCATACGCTGCGCATCACCTGATGGCACTACCGGCAAATAATAGAGAGAAATTGGGGCACAGACCCTGGGGATGACTCGGATACTAAAGTACCCTAGCTGGTGCCGCCTTGCACGCCTTGCAGCCGGCGGCGAGCAAAGGCAATCGAGTGGTGCCAGCATTTCGCGAAACCTTTCGTGGCAGGCAGGCAGGCAATCACCACGCGTGGAAAGGGATAGAAGATGGGGAAGTGGGCGGGCAATAGAAGTCTGGTAGGGGTAGGCGCTAAATTGAGACCGACCTGACTGCGTGCTGCCCAACGATCGATCTTGACATCATACGGAGATGCTATCCTTTGCATCCAGATCCCCAAGAGACAATTCCATGGGCGCTCTTTCAGGTCCATGACTTCAGCTGGCAGGTCGTCACTTGTGGCGGGTGCCATCGCGAGGCTTTCGGAAGAGAAAATGCAGCGTTACGTGGCGTGCTTCTCAGCGCTCAAATGTGGCTTTTTCGTAAGCCATTGTCTCGGAAAATAATACGGAGAGATTCCGGCGCAGAGATTGGCGTCATAGTGGAAACAGCAGGCTCGGAATCCCTGTCTAGGCCAGAGGACGAATTAGCCCTGGGATCTATCTAAGCCTGGAAAGCATGCTTGTCTGTTCACTGGCGCAGCGCCCGCCGTGATCACTGCACTGTGCATTATCCCCGTAGCATCCTGGGAAATAGAAGAAGCTCCAGAAGGGCCAATAGCAGCCGTGGCTAGGATACGCCATTGTTGGGTCCTATTTTGCAGCGGGTGGTGGGGAGATGTGATAGAAACCAAACTTATGGCCTCAGGGTGGCCGTGTCGCAGGACCTTACCATGGTCGTACCCTGGTCCACCAGGACTACCCGGCCAATGTGCACCGCTTGGGTAATGAGCAAAACAGCGCCGCAGGCCCGGTGCTTCGGCCTAGGGAGTTGGTGAACCATTGTGCTGGGACAGTAAACCTAAAGCGGTGTGCTCGCCGTCTGCGCGGATTAGGAAGCGCCTCGATGAAAGAATTGCGAATGTAGGCAAGCAACCAAGGCCCAATAGCCTATTATTGACTGTTGCATAGTCCCAATAGTGATTGTCGAGCTTTCTCGAAGGCGAATCCTTGTGGAAGCATAGGACTGTCGTTGGCGATAGAAGGCGGTCACGTTACCCTCTACCCACGTGACTGTTGCACTTGCGCCGAGAATCCGCCGCGTACAAACCGATTCCCTTCCGACAATCGGCTCGACGACTCTCCGACTTGCTAGCCGCACCATACCCATCAGCTAGCTTAGTCTGTCCTTGCCTCGTACTCTGCCTTTATTCTCTTCGTGCAGAGACCGCTTCGCACATGTGATGTCCATTGAAGTCGACTGGGCCACAGCAACCTCGGGTCCGGATGGCGAGGCTCTGGCCGAGCGCATCCGCTCGTTCATCCACGACAAGTTCCAGCAGGTAGCTCTTCCGCGATTTATCCGATCCGTCCAGGTCCATTCGTTTGAATTCGGTACAATCCCGCCGGAGCTCGAGATCAAAGACTTCTGCGAACCCTTCGCCGATTTCTATGAGGAGGATGAAGATGACGAGGCATCCGATGTGTCCGAGGAGCTTGTCTCCGGACATGGCACTCAGTGGCATCGGACTGGCTCAGAGCTCAGCGAGCCGCCTTTCCGAGACGAGAACGCAATGCATCAACCGCTGCGCAACCCATTCGATGAGAGGTTCCAACCATCCGCCCTGCGCTCCCCAATAGCTCTTGGGGACCATCTCAACCCGCACTTTCTTCCTCGCTCCGGCACTCCTGGTATTCCCGGTGGAACGTCAACACTAGGCTATCATTTGATGTCTTTAGGTGGCCTGTCAGGGACGCAGACGCCGCTTGCTGCAGTTGCAGGTGGAAACCCGTTCGCCAACAGTTGGAATGACTCAAGCATAAAGGGAGCAGGGAGCAGAGGGCCCCTGTCATCCCCCGCCCTCGATGCAGCGCATCAGAAACATCCGGAAGCCGAGCTAGATAGCAGCAACCCGACCTCGCGTCCCTCTACGTCAAGCACGCTTCCTTCGCACCCGCCTGGGTCCAACAATGGTAGTGGTGATGCGGCAGCAGCAGCAGGTGGTAGCAGTCACATGGCACGCACAGCAGAGGACAACGGGCATCCAGACGACTCTGGCTCTACCGAACCTCTTAGGCTGCCTCGCATGAGAGAACGTCGGCCCGAGGACTTCCAGATTTTATGTCACGTCAAGTACGGAGGGGATGTGCGTTTGTCATTGACTGCGGAAATTCTCCTGGACTATCCAATGCCCAGCTTCGTCGGGCTGCCACTGAAGCTGAATGTCACCGGCATAACCTTCGACGGGGTCGCGGTGATCGCGCATATTCGCAAACGGGTCCACTTCTGTTTCTTATCCCCCGAGGATGCAGACGCGTTGATCGGGTCCGACCAGCAAGACGCAGGAAGCCAGGAAGACAAGCCACGACCCGAGTCCACCAAACGGCACGGAGGTTTGCTCGAGGAGATCCGGGTGGAGAGTGAGATCGGCCGCAAAGAGGATGGAAAGCAGGTTCTGAAGAACGTTGGCAAGGTCGAGCGGTTTGTCTTGGCGCAGGTGCGGCGCATATTCGAGGAGGAGTTTGTCTATCCTAGTTACTGGACATTCCTGGTCTGAATGAGCTCACATGGGACTATCCAGAAAACAGGTCCTTCAGAGCGGCGTAGTACCGCGTCACCGGGTGCCCGTCTATGTAAATTAGCAGTAGCTTGGAAATAACAAAAGGAGATAATGCTCGTGGGAATGGAGTATGACATTGAACTGGCCTGGGTCGCCCCCGAACCAACTGAGTGGTAACAACCGTACTACCGTTTCTCGCCTGCCATCGGGGAAGCACAGACTCGGTCGGACAAAAGAAAAATCGTGAGCTAATTAGCCCCAGACCTCAGTCGAGATTCTTTTCTCCCTTAGCAGCAAGATAGAGGAGGTTCTTCAGAGACGAAAGAGAGTAGATTTAGATGAGTGTTGTGATCGGGAGGACGTAATATTGGGGGCGAAATGGCCGGATTGAAGGGACGAGGCCCACCGCAGCAATTCTAGAAGGAACAGAAAATGGCTGCTGCGGGAAAGAGCTTCTTCTGACTGGACTCATTCTACACAACGCATACAAACCGCAGTATCAGCGTAGACCATTTACTGTCCAGATTTCTTGATACTTATCCTTTAGAAAATATTCAGCTCGAACCATAAGAAAAGTAGGCTAAATCCAGGACCATCTTTGTAGATATAACTAATCATGTTGTGTGCCACTCCCTATCCTTGAAGGGGGCTCTTAATTGTTCGACAACACATGATACCCACTCCCTATGAAGGGGAAACCCGCTAAGCAGGAGACTCCAATGAAAACATAATGTGTGTGACTAGAAAATGTAACATGCTCAACTCTCGCAGATCAAATCTCATGATAACCGAAAACCACGAAAGGAAATGGTACAGTCTTCCCGCCTTAAATGCAAAGGAAGGAAGAAAGTCATTAACGCCGCGTAGAGCAAGCGATTCCGATCTGCTTGAGTTGGGTCCCCTCGCACCCGCCCGCCGACTTCAATCTCCCATGCCTGACTTCGACCATAGGTCTCCATCTCTCTGTTGCAACAAACAATCGACAGAGCGATTGAAATGCTGCGTTTTTGGCGTGCGTTTAGGTTGCACCTGCTTACAGATCCTTCTTGGGAGCGGCATCCTTGTTGTCACCGGAGACCTGGTCACCCAATCGGTGGTACTCGGCAGTCAGGTTCTCGCACTGCTTCTTCAGAGTCTCGATGTCACGGTCCTTCGCCTCGAGCTCCTGCTTGAGACGGCCGATCTCGCCAACCTCACCAGCCTGCGCGAGACGAGCGGAGTCCTTGCCGCCGGCGCGCTTGTCGCCCTCGAGAAGCTTGACTCTGTCCTCGAGACGGAGAACCTCGAGGATCATGGTGTAGGTGCGGTTCAGGATGAGGGACAGGAACAGAGTGAAGCCGCACAGGTACATGTTGCGCTGCGAGTAAAACTTGCGGGCCTGGACTTCCATGCGGTCGGTGCCAAGGGCGGCAGCTCTGCGTTGGTGCAAGAGGTATTAGTTTATGTGTTGTGAGACTTAGGAATGTGGGGAGCACACATACCCCATAGGACCGCCCTCCTTGAAGGAGGCCAACTCCAGCTGCACACGGTAGACGCGGTTGACGCTGTCAATGAAGAGAATAAGAATGAATATGAATGTGATCTGCGATTTTCTTAGTTACCACTACAGTGTGATCCAGGGCCATCGCGCACATACCTTCAGCCCATATTGTAATTTGGCCACTATAGGACTCTCGGAGATGAAGGCGAAGAGCTTCCTCTTGACGGTGAAGGGAAGAGGAATGATGAGGCCCATGAAGACCACCATCTCAAACACCAAAAGGCAGAAGACCTATTCAAGCTCCAGTAAGCATCCGGCCGATGAGATCCGGTTCCAAGGTTGGGAGCACTGAGGGCTAGGGGCTGCAGGCTGCAGCATTACCCTGAGCTCACAAAAGTGTCGATACGGCTGTGGTTGAAGCGGCAGAACTTACAAGACTGTAGTAGAGAGTCATTTTGAGTAAGTTGACGAAGCAGTTGAGCTGTTATTGCTTGTTGTGCTAGAAATCGATGTTGTGACTGGCGCTTAGCTTAAGCTTGGGGGAGGGGTGTAGTGCGATAGGTAGACAGGATGAACAAAAGCTGTCGGAGCGACTTTATACCCTAGAAGCCCAGAGATTGTTGATTCGATGAAGAGCCGGAAGATAGGCCCCTGATATATTCACCAATTGGTCGATGCCTAGGAGGAAGAAAAAGAGGAGTTTGTTGTGTGTACGGGGGATGAGGTGGTCTTTTTGCAGTTTCTGGTGAGGAACAGACGTCATCACCGCCCGGAAAGCTGAGAGGCTGCACGTGATCAGCCCCGTCGCCGATAGCCCCGGACCAAGTGCGTCATAGCCGCGACTCGACTTCGGAGGCTTGCTCGATAGTTTCAAACCGGCTAGAGGTGGATGACAGATGTGGTATGTACAGTATTCGCTTGTGTTCAAGTCTAGTCTCTAGTCTACAGATCATTCAACCTTCCGCTTCGTCATACGAGTTGGACTTGTGCTTGGGCTCGAATTTGAAGTCCTTGTGAGCAGGTCCGAGGAACATTTCCCTACGGTAGTATGTCAGTATCGATAAGGTTGCCACGAACCTGACATCAAGAATGTACTTACGTGATCTTGATCCAATCTTTGTAGTTGGTACTCGCCATCAAGGTCTCCATCTCATCTCTTCCCCGGAAAGCCGGAGGTCTGTCGTTGATCTGAGGTGGGAGATATTCAAGCAGACCGAGAGGCACATAGCGGCGGGCAAAGCTCAGCCACTCGAGCAGGAAGCGTCTGGTCGTGCCGACACCATGCTCGTCAGATCCCCACGTCTCGAGGCCATACTTGGCGAACTTCTCAATGTATGACAGACGCTCACTGGAGGATTTGTCAAGGTACTGGCCAGCTTGAATTTCCTCATAGAGCCAAGGCTTGATCAAAGCTCCGCGACCAATCATAACGGTGTCGACACCGGCGTTGTTGATATGGTCATCATAGTCAAGGTGAGAATAGCAATCGCCATTACCGAGGAACCAAACCTTTCCGCCATTGGGTTGCGTGCGAGCGTCTGGCTCCCGGATAGTGTCGGCAACCTCGTCGGTCTTCTCATTCAGCCGCTTGATAAGAGCAGCGCATTCGGAAATATACTCCCAGTTAGCCGATTTGGTGTACCGCTGCTGCCGGCTCCGCCCGTGCAGCGTGATAGCGGCAGCTCCAGCACCACCTCCACCGAAAAGGTGAGACTCGTAGCCGCCGAGAAGAAGGCGCTCAGTCAGCTTCAGAGCGTTAGGAGAATTGTCCTTAGTTCCCATACGGATCTTGACAGTTACCGGGATCTGCCCGGAAACAGTGTTCATGCCACGGATAATCTTCTCGAGCTTGGACGGATGCTCGAGAAGAGCAGAGCCAGCACCCTCACGGAAGACAAGGTCAATAGGGCAGCCGCAGTTCAGATCGATGACACGCAGATTCGGTGTCATTTGCGACAAGGCCTCTGTAGCCTTGAACGCTTGCCAGGGCTTATTAGCCGCGATCTGAGCGCCGAACTTCATGTCCTTCGAGTTGTCGTAGTCCTGTACGATATCCGATCCGGGGAAAACAGTAGGGGGGGCAATCTCCGACTCGTGCGCCTTCATCAGAGCCCACTCCGACTTCTGTCCTTGGATCAACGGCAAACTCATGGCCATCTCGGAGTAGGTAAGCTGCGCGCCGAGCTCAACACAGAGCCTGCGGAAGGGCATGTTACCCTGGGTCGTCAAAGGTGCCAAAGCGGGGGTCTCAGGACCGAAGTAGAGCCTTCGCTTTTCCGACGGAAGGAAAGGAGGCTCGACGTAGGTCGCGCGGTTGTCCTCCAGCTCCTCCTTGGCGGGGTCCTCCACCTCCGTAGTACCAACACGATCCCGCTTATGAAGGTCCTTCTCAATGGCCCTGTTCGTCTTCTCCAGCCAGTTGCTATACGCCTCCGCCTTGGGCAAATGCTTCTTCTTCCTGGCCAAAGCAAGCTTATCTTCCATGGCAGCAATGTTCAGCACGCCCTCCTCCGAAGCATGCGGCACCAACCGCTGCACCTTCTTCTTGCGCTCTTCATCCTCGACCAGGACCAACTCCTTCCTCCCGTCCTCGGTCTCCCGCTCCTGGGAGTGCGAGCCCACGAACCGACACTTCCAGCCGGAGAAGCACTTGCCGTGAACGTCCCAGACCGGGCAGACACCATTCATGGTCGTCAAATCCTCCCGCTTGTGCTCTTTCAGATAGGTGCGCAGGTCGTGCTCGAAGCGACACTTCTCGCCGAAGCTGCACTCGGCGGGGGAGAACTCGGGCTGGAACATGCGGCTCGGGCAGAGACCCTTCGCGTCCTCCGACCGGCCAAAGGTGCGGTTGGTGTTCTGGCCCGTCTTCTTCTTGTTCTTCTTCTGCTGCTGGTACTGGTGGGCTTTCATCTCGTTGTTGCGGCCATCGTGGTGCGCGGCTTCGGCGGCATCGTCCTGGTTCTCTTCGGGGGTGGGCTGGCTTTTCTCGGAGCGCGGGAGCAGATACCTAAGACGAGTAGTTTAGTTATCGTGGTCGGTAATTTTCTGGCGCATACAGATATGTAACAGGATCGCATACTCAGCCTTGATCGGGGCGACGCCCTTTAGCCGCGGGTCGGCCTCAGCAGCAGTGGCAGCAGGTGTTGCAACAGCAACAGGCGCATCGGTGCTCGGCGCATCGTCTAGTTTCATCTTCTTTGCAGGAGGCTCCTGGGGAGTGTCGGCGCCGCCGTGCGACGGCACTTGCTCCTGAACCGATGTCGGATCCATGGTGAACGTGTGATTCTCAGCGTACACGAGAGGAGGGGGAGGAGGAATCCTGGGGCGTTAATTCCGTCTCGAGCGCACCGGATCCAAAGCGGCCGGGGAAAATCTCCATAATGCGGGCAAAAAAATCGAAGAGCCCACTTTGCATTGTTTGCAGGCGGGATGGTTGGTTCTGATTGGTAAGGACTTTGGTATGTCCGAGTAGGCACGTGAGATAATGGACTCGATCCAGGATGGTATAACTAGGATAGACTAGAATAGTGGGAACACAATGCCCTCATTAGTTACTATCATTGAGTGAAACTGGCAGGAACTAGCATTAAAGCGAAAGCTAGGCAGAGCTGGGCAGTTATTTTAAAGGACATGAACAGTGGAGCTAGCGACTGCCTTCTGGAGGGTTTGAAGCACTGCGAGGAACCATGAAGTGAATGAACCAGGAATGTCCGGAGCCTCGGCACTCTACATAGTAGCACCGAAACAACCCTCGAGATTGTATCAGGACACATAATGTAGAAGTAGGCTCAAGCGATCTAGTGCAGCGCGTTGGACGGACAACCCCTCACAAACCCCGAATTCGCCACCAAGAATATCAGAATCATATGTAGATTCGAGATCAGTCTCCATGAACAACTAGATTTAGAGGAGGTCCAATACCGAGGACGATTAGTATCATGTACCTTTGAAAGTTGAGATCAACAGGAATCCATTCCCTCGAGCCACGACCTATCACCGAACACCTCAAAGTCAGACATCATATGCACTCGCCAAGTGATACAGTTTCAGCGCCCAAAAAGACACACTAGAGTAAGGTACCCAAGTCCTAAAGCCAGTAGCATAGCAACTAACCTGAAAACAGTCTAGTCCATGCAGCAAGATCAACCGAACCGACCATCCCTCCGATTAATCCGATCTCTCAAGTTCTCGAACCCACGAACCAACTCCGAGCTTCGACCTGCATGGGATTGGGGGCGAAAAGCCTGGAGAACACCTATTTCTCTTTCTGGCCAGCCCAGCCAGTCCACGAATACTCACGTAGTCAGTTGAATTTAGCCCACTACCTGTCAAATCTCTGCAATAGTGCTGAGTAAGTAAATGCAAAGGTGAGGCCGCGACAGAACAGACCGAAGAAAAAATACACGGTTCCGCTTGGCGAAGGGAGGGCGGATCCACCAGGTCCCTCGAACCTGCGATTCGCTTGTCACATTTTCGTGTCTTTTTCTAGAAGAACTCAATTCCCAGGTCGATGGCGACTTAGCCGAGCTGTTGCTGTTGTTGCTGCTGCTGCTGCTGCTCAAACTAAGGTGGACTGTACTATGGCTTGTATCTATGTTACATTGAAGAAGGGAGGCCGTTGGCCTGGCGTTTAAATGCCATGCATATAGACGGATGGACTTCGTTATTAGCCCGTTCGGTAGTTATACTTCGTAGACTCCGATGTGCGCTGGGTCTGTACTGGTTGCGGGGCGTAGAGACTACATAGCTATTCAAATAGGAATTAAAACAGGACGAATCATGGTGAAAAGAAAAGAGACCCAAGCCCACCCTGTAATGCAAACCCTTCCTCAAGAGTTCAGAGAGACACTCCCATGCACCGAACCATCACCGGACTCACTCGCGGAATGCGAGCCGGTGGCAAAGTTCCAGCCCGCAACACATTCACTCGAGTACGAGTAAGAAACCACATCTCAATAACGAGAGTTCATTGCCCCTTATTTCAGGCAATGAGCATCAGAAACTCAGTTGTCCTGTCCCCCCAGCCCTCCCCCCCTCCCCGCCCCTTGGCGAGATTGATCACAAGACCATTGACTGATGAAGCAAAAGCAGAGCGCGCGCCTGCGTCGGCTAAATCCCACGGGATGTGTATCAAAGATCAAAGTAGGGGCTGGCTCGGCTCTGGCCCGTGCCAAAAGTACCCTTTTTTTATCCCTATACGTGAAATGCGGAGTATGTGTCTCACTCAGGGATATCCGGCGATCTGATCTGTCCACATGAGCACCTCCCCCGTGCATGATACATGTGGCTGCATATGGTACTTCTTTAGTCAGGGGCAGATACAGGAAAGGGCCTGGAATCTGGGAGATGGGTGCAGAATCATGCGGGTTACTTGAGTAGATCGGTGGTCAGTTCCAGCCATTCAGTGGATGGGATTGGATACCTGTGTTTATGGAGAATGGGGGCAGAAAGAGGAAGTTGCCATTGGGCCATTGTGGTATGTGCTAGGGGCAAATGTGGTGATTCGATCTCGTACTTCTTAGTTCCACATGGCGGTTGATGGATAGTACTGTAGGCGACATCGCCTGCAGAGTCGGTAGATGTAGGTATACAAGCACAAGTACTGATTGAACACGGATACTGCGGCGGATATGATCTTTCCGAAGGGATATAGTATACTGTGTATCAATGCTAGTAACTAACGCATCTCCAGTCTTCATATGCATGACATTGTCCTACGTAGCTGTGTGGACACAGACGCCTCATCGTCCCCCACGGTAGGAGCCGCAGGACCATCTAACCGAGGAGTGCACTGCGTGGCTTTTAGACGTCCGATGAAGCAGGTGATGCTTTATCTGGGAGACCGTTTCTTCGCATAGATGAGAGCATCCCCTTCACACCTGATATACTCATTAGTAGTTATAGTTGCAGTCCCAGCCGCCAAAGTAATGGCCCAAGAAAGGCAGGTCAGTCGAGCTAGTGGAACTGAGAGCGGTGAAACTTACCGCTAGCAGGGATGCTTCCATGATGCTTCTAGCGTCAAAGCCAAGACTCAGACTCAGGTCCCCTAAACCGTTCACTTGATTGCATGATCGGTTGGAGACTTGGAGTTTTGAGGGGACGGCTGGGTTTGGCGAATTATACTTTCGTCTATCCGGCTTGCGCGTTGATCGGCGCTCGGGGAAAAGGAAGTTGATTACCTCGTTGGCTACGACGTCAATTGAGGGACGTGATCATGACGATACTGAATGTTCTGATCGGACTGTCTAGGTAAAAGGTCGGGCACATCAGAAATCCGCCTGAAGGGTTAACCTGGGGCGCAGCAAGTGTCCGCTGTGCCTGAAGTGTTGCATAGCAACAACACCAACTCGACGCACATGGAGGTGGAGTAATCCCGGGGATGGGCTGGTCGGGATCCGGAGAGCATGCAGCTGGCCCGAAGTTCTTTTCCACTCAGCTGCGGCAACAATAAGTTAGAGCGTGAGAGTAGGACAGTTGAACTGAATGTTATGAGTCTAGTCGGACGTATCCCGTGGCAGTAACTCGCGGCAAGGCATGCGATCTGTTAGATTTCGCACCACGACCAGTATAACGACAGGGCAACACATCAGCCCCATGCGTTCACAGAACCTACTGCAAATAACCGTGATCATTGCATGCTGAATCCTTGGCAAAACCTATGCGCAGAGAGACATCATATCTATAGATAAACCAGGGAATGTCCATTCCATTGTCTGGTTCACGCTTGTACTCCGAGGCTCCGACACGGGATGGAATGGGATGCCCAGCACATGATTTGATGGAGGCCTGGGCAGACAGGGCATCCAGCGCCCAAGCGCTATCTAGCAGTAGTGGTGTGTAAGTACCTACAGTAACTATAAAGACCGACAACTGCACTTAGTTGGCGAACTTGGCGCTCAGGATGAGGCCGGGGTGGAAGAACAACAGGCGTACCCCCGTACAGACCGCCCATTCCACCAATTCTCCGGGCGTGTAGCTAGTAGTTCGAAAGTGAGGCTACATTGATGTCATCGAGGCCTGGTTGGCCAATGCTGAGTAGAGGGGGGCGATAAAGCGGCCGTGCTTGATGCTTATCGTCATCTCGGCTGCAATACCGCTATAGATCCCAGCAGGTGGTGTGGGTGTGGGTGTGGGTGCAATCAATGCCCGACAGACCGCTTTCTCCGCTGTATAGCAGCACAATTCCCCTCTGACACAGACAAGAATGAGGGTGACGGCTGGCTGACACTCAAACTTCAGTTCATTTCTGTACGATACACGAACTCCCGGAGTTCCTTCGAAACAAGTCTACTCGGAAGGACTAAAGACTAAACACTGAATTTCAGGACTTTGTGGGGAAGCGGTTAGTCGTCCACTGAGAATCGTGAGATCTCGAGATCATCAGATTGAGGGGGGGTGACAACTTTTGGGTGACTTCTGACACCGCCAGAACCATTTTGAGACAGACTCTCAATGGAGTAAATTGTTCTAGCGTCAAGGAGGAGTGCTGGCCAATGAGTTCCGGGGGATGCAGTGATGGAAGGAAGAGCAAGCAGGAACTTAGTAGTGGTAGTGGCAGTAAAGCCCAGGCGGAACAGCGAAGACATGTGAGAACAACCCATGGATGATCTATCCTTCTATCCGGATCTACCGTCTGAGCGAGGTAGTGAGACTTTGGAGGAACAGGTATCACTTTCAAAGTCACAAGAGTCACAAGCAGTTGGGATGATGGATGGTGGGGATGTGTGTATGTTTTGTGTGTGTATACTGTTATGTGTCTGTGTGTTCGCCAGCGTTGCAAGGACAACGCAGTTGGTGACCAACAATAGCAGCAACAGCAGCAGCAGCAGCAGCAGCAGCAATCAATGCTCGGCGGCTACTAGAGGTACAGTATAGGGCGATGGGCGGTAACAACAAGGTATTACCACCGGAATTCAATGTGGGGATAGAGCCCAATACAGGACTGTTACAAGGGTGACGCCCCTCTGGATCTCCTGCAGCAGCAGCAGCAGCAGCAACAGCTTTCCACCAGTCCAGCGCGATGGTCATCATCATCGACTTTTCGAAGAAGCGCTAGTGCTGCCACTAAACTGCAAGCGGTGTCCATGTTATTGCCTGCTAACGGTCCCACTCGCCGACTTAGTCTCCTAACTAACTATGAAAAAGGGCGAACGCTGCTGGTGTTGGGGGATCGGATCTTGGAGTTATTTCGATGGACTAAATTCTCTTTATTCTGACTTGGGGGTGTTGTCTTAGGGCTAAGCTAGTTCGTTTGAAGTTGCGTGCAACAGAATCATGACAGAATAACTACCAACACCACTGCCTAAATCTGAACTGGCAATGAAGAGCGATACTACGTACTACGTACTAATGAACGCGGCTGTGGTGGCACCCACCGGGTTCACTGACTAATGCTTCTTCTTCTGCCCTGTCAGTTTCAAGTAAGACGATGTTTCATGGGCGAGACCTCAGGTTTGGTTTGGGAAGGACCGCTGTTTAGCCAGCCATACCCATGACTGATGGGCGGGTCGGAGGCAAGAATGTATGAATCATCCCGGGAGAGAGAGAGTCGAGAAAGGTTGCGGTATGTCGTAATTCATTGGTAACTTATGTATCTTACCAAGGGAAACCTCCCTCCATGTCTCCATGTCTCTCTCTCTCTCTCTCCTCTCACTACTCACATCCCCCCCCCACCCCTTTCGCCGCCAGTTGCCAGACTTCTCTTGGCTTGCAGTAGATTCACACCTTTCTTCTTCTTGTCAGCTTTCTTTTTTTCATTGTTAAACTTATTCTGCCTGTGTTTGTCGGTCTGGTGTTATTGGTTTACTATCATTCCTATCTTCACTTTCTCCCACTCACTCCTTTTTTAACATCTAAACCCTACATCATCGTGCTTTAACCTGACGGCGGAAAGTCTACTCCACCCTCGAGAACTAAATCCAATCCCAAACCCTCTTGAATAATACTGCCGATTGATTGTTACGTCCCGCCACCTTTCCCGAATCCGTCACTGTTTCCGCAGCCAAAGCGGGACAACATCCGAGGGGGAAGTAAAGTGGAAACGCTCTTCTCTGGTCTTGTCCTGTCTTGTTTGGTGTCTGGTGTGAATCCGCCCAAAATCGACCAACCTTCAAACACATCCCTCATCATCTTCTTCATGCTCGGTTCGTCCGAAGCGACGCAAAGTCCCCTTCCCTCTCTTCTTCATTACTCGCCTTCCGTTGGCGATCACGATCGCGCTTCTACTCGGGATTCCACCCCCGTCACCACTCCTCTCGGGTTTGGCGTATCGTCGCGCAGCAGCAGACCGGATAAGGAAAAGGTCTCGGATCTACCCTGGACTGGAGATTCCTTCGACTTCGACTTCAGCGACGTTCATTCACCGTATCTTGACAGTCGGAAACTGCACCCTCCTTTCCACCAGGACCTCGACTTCCCTCTCTTCCCTTCCTCACCTCCCTCGACCGCAACGAACACCATCACGACCACCATGACCGGGGCCGCTCCTATCGACATCGCCACCCGCCAGAGCTCCGTCTCTCCGCCGGGACAGCAGGCTTCCAACCTCACATCGGCTCTGCAACGAGCAAACAACGCAGAGCGAACAGGTAGCTTTTCTCATGCGAATGGCATTGGACTCAGTGTTTTCAAGGCGCCCCCTCCTCGCAAGGACTCGATCGGAGCAGCCACCGCACAATGGGGCAACGGAACGAAACCAATTTCGATGTCCGGATCTAACCGTGATAACCCCCGGCGGGAATCATTAGCAGGTAGCTTAGTCGGTGGAATGAGCTGGGGTGGAGTCTCTGTTGGTAGTTGGATTCGTGATGAGTGAGTTCCCTTGCCCCGGGTCGGAGCTGATCTCACTTATTCCTCTTTGCGCCCGACTCCAAGCGAAAAAAATGGGGTTCAATCCGCATGTTCCGGTGATCGAAGACTAATGCTTGATAACCTAGTATTATTATGACCGGCACCTCTCCGTTCACTTTCCAGTCGCCCTCGTTTCATTCTTCCTCATATTTGCCAAAATTAGAAGCGAATTTCATGCGCGATTTCTCCTGTTGCGGGGTCACACTGCCAACGCTCCATGATCTGCTACAACATTATGAAGAAGCTCACGCCACTAAGTCGCCTCACCAGGGACATCGTCCAAGTCAAGGTGACGGCCGAGCAGCGATGGCTGCGGCCGTGATGGCGCAGCAGCAGAACCAGCAGAATCCCAACCAAGCTCGAGGGTTGCAACCGGATCGAACCATGGATATGCAGCGCAAGTTGAACCAAACGCCACAAATTCCGCAGCACTCCGATCTGGATGCGATTGATGACATGGAGCTGGATGATACGATCGGCGATGGAAGTGATGCTGCATCACAGCTATTCTCCTCTCAGGTGCATGATGGCAGCCAAGGGGGATTCGGAAATGGCAATCAACGAGTCCCGCATTTGAATCTTTCGATGCTTCCTGGCCACCAGGGCTTCAAAGGCTCGCAGCCTGGAACGCCCGTGGCCTCTAATCGACCCCTTTCGCTGCAGAATAACCCTACCGTCTCCTCCGTCAACACGCCCACCTTGATGGCAAATCCCCTACAGAACTCGCAGTTCCGAACGACGCCTGATTCCTCCGCTCCTGGCACTCCTGCCAACGAACTTGAAGAGGCGATGGTGGGTGGCTTTGGAGATTTGAATATGCAGAACGCTATGATGCAAGGCCAGCCGCAATATGGCCGGTTCACGGGCAACAGCGATATGGTTGACCTTTGTATTGATGAACCCGCAAAGCGGCTGTTTAGTCCCACTGGCGGTCTCAACACTCCCAATGCCCACTTCAAGCTCAGCGGTGCTCAGTATGGCCCGAACAGCGAGATCGCTCGGCGAATTCGCGAGCAGCAACTACTGGCGGGTGTACCTGATACCACCGCTCTCCTACCCAACGAAGAGCCCAAGCCTTTCCGGTGTCCCGTTATTGGCTGTGAAAAGGCCTACAAGAACCAGAACGGCCTGAAATACCACAAAGCAGTATGTTTTTTTTTTTCCAAACTTATCCATCTTTGTCCATAGACTAACTTGACTGTCTCTTCAGCACGGTCATAACAATCAGCAGTTACATGACAATGCAGATGGTACCTTTTCAATTGTCAACCCCGAGACCTCGACCCCTTACCCCGGTACCCTTGGCATGGAGAAAGAGAAGCCATACCGCTGCGAAGTTTGCGGCAAGCGCTACAAGAACCTTAACGGGTTGAAGTACCACAAATCACACTCCCCACCGTGCAATCCTGACTTCCAGCTTGCTGCGGGTCGTAATCTGGCGTTTGGTGGGGGTGTCATGCAGGGGCAGAACATTAACGTTGCTGGGGCTGGCCTACCTGGCATCGGTGAAGAGGGCCTACTCTGAGATAGTGGCTACCCTCGGTCACGATGAGCAACAAAAAAGCAAAACAACAAAAAAAACCCAAACAAAGATAGCGACGTGTCTTCTTTACAATCTCATTATTCCCACATTAATTTCGACTCGACGATTTTGTTTTACTGCCTTCGTCGCGCGCGGAAAGTACGATTTAATGACCGGTTTGGTGGCTTGGAGTTAATGGTATGAAACGTCTCATGTCAATCAGTCAGTCGCGGTTTGGGAGACGACCGTGCTTTGGTCTAGTGATAGATCAGTCCTCGAATGTTTTCTTCCCTTTTGAAAGACTTTTTTTCCTGGAAAGAATTCTCTCCTCATTTTACCTACCCCCATAACTCTTCTGTCGGCCGGTTTGTGTATCGGTATGAAGCCTCTTTCTCTCGGTTTTTCCTTCAGTGTCTGGTGTTTTTGCTTGATTGTTTTTAAATGGGTGTACTTTGCAGTGTGTTCGGGGCTCCAAAAGAAAAATTATGCTGAACTGTGTTGCTGTTTTTGCTCCTTCTGCGGCTTGTATCTTCTCTTCGTTCTGCATTTGCTTTGGCTTCATTCATATCCACTTTACATTCCCCTTGTTGCTTACGTTGCTTACGTTCCTCATGCTGTCATGCTGTTTCATTTCCTGGGATTAAAATAAAAGAGAAAGAGAACCGGCAAGACAAATTTTATTCTTATACCTTTTATTTCAAACAATATCAATTGGACAATCTAGCAAGACTTGACTATCTTCAGTGGAGAATGGATTTAGCGACAGCCGCGCCCCTCAAGTTCCCGGGAAGTCTAGCACATGCTTGTCTCTTCAACCATGTCTCTCCCCCTCTACATGTAGACACCCATACAACGAAAGACCCGACTGAACATGCAAACCAGCTAGTTCGGATCTAGAACCCCCTCCGCTCCCTCCTATTTCGTACCTCTCTCTCTCTCTCTCTCCCGATTATCCAGGCCGCTCGCTCCCCTTGCCCCGCTGATGGTAGGTAAGGTATGGTATACGTACCGTCGATTCGGTAAGCCGACCAACGACCAACGACCTTCGACCTTGTGGCCAGCTAACTCCCTCCCGTCCACGGGAGACCAAGATCCTTCCTTGCCGATGGTATGAGCCACGGGTATGACCAGACTCTCCTCGCGCTTCCTGCGAGCGAGTTGTGCCAGGAAATTAAGGGATAGTAGGTTCCTGGTCATGTCATCAGGGCAAGCAAAGTAACTTTTCTGAGGAATTTACTGTGCTCATATGCTAGTAGTCCTTTCCAGCTGACAACACAACAAGACTACTTAAGTAATACCAGATACAACAAGAGTTCATACAGACGAGATAAACGGTCGTTTCCATTTGCGTTATGCTCTAGTACATTGTTCGAGAAGCGGCACAAAAGTCACGAGTCGGAGAAAGGGCAGAAAAACGAGGAATCCATTCGGATAGAAAACAGCCGTCCACCGGGGATAAGCGCCGCGGGATAAAATCCAATGTGAGTGAACGATGACAACAAACTGGAAACGGAAGGAAGGTTGACACCCCGGCCTGTGTTTCATGGGGCGTCCGTCCTTCCATCACGTCGTCATAAGGAGGAGTAGTAGTTACGTCGTGAAAATCAAAAGCACGCTTGAGCTGACTAGTTTGTTCCCATCTCCAATGTATGGAGATGGGGGCTTGTTTGGGGGAGGAATCTTGTTCAGAAAGGGTTTTGGTTGTTTGTTGCTCATAAAGTAGGTGGGAGGTCATCTCTGGTTTTCTACATCGAGGATGGCAAGAGGAAAGCATGGGCCACGGAGGGGAATTAGATGAAAAAAAAAAAAGAAAAAAAAAAAAAAAGGAAAAAAGCGAAGCACATAAGCGGGACAAGCCCTTAGGTCGGCAGACCGTTTCGTGATTCTTCTGCGTCTACCATTCGAACTCGCCTTGACCCTTGTGGAAGACATATCTGGAACTAGGTCAGTCGGGGTCAATCCTCGGATAGTAAAAGAACTCACTCTTTGCCTCCGGAGGTCAGGATACCATCCTTCAGCGTGCACTTCCACTTGTTCTTCACCCTTTGCACTTTGTCGTAGGTACAGAGCATGACCTGGCCCATGGCATAGTCGCCATCATGTTCGTCGGCGACAAGGTCATCTGGGTCATCGAGATCGGAGTTGATGGCGTCCTCGTCATCTTCGTCCCTCTCGTCATCACCACCGGGACCATCATATTGGGCCCTGGGAACAGCCGACGGGGGGACACCGATAGCATTTGTCGCATTGAACGCAAGGCCAGGCGCTGAAGAGGTTTGGCGCTCCGCCAAGGGAATCATGAGGCCTCCGCCCTCGAGCTGGAGCATGCGCTGTTTCAAGTGCTCTCGCAAGACACGATCCCCTTCGCCGTTTTGGCGCTGCGCAGCTTCACGTCGGCGGGCGACCTCTGCCTTCCACTCCGAGAGTGCATCACCAGCATCACAAGCGCCATCCGTTTGCGCGTTCCCCAAGGAAGGGCGGGGGGCAGGTGGGTAGCCGGGCTCTTGCTTAATCTGAGGCTGAGGCGCCTGACCATTCGGGAGGTGCTGCATGTTGGGCGGGCGTTGCTGGCCGGGCATGCCCATAGAGGCCTGCGACTGAGCTTGTAGCTGACTGACCGAGTTGGCAGCTGCAGCGCCATACCGTTGGCGGAGCATCTCGGCGGCACGTTGTTGAGCCGACTGAGCCGACTGAGGAGTCGAGCCACTTGGTGGCATCATGTTATTGTTGTTGTTCAAGGACATCATTCCCGGCTGGTTAAGTCCAGGCTCCGTCTTGATATGCGGAAGGTGTCCCATGGAGGGTGCACCTACGGGGGCAGGAGCTTGCATGGGAGGGGCCGTGGTGGGCATGGATTGAGGGATAGGTTGTTGTTGTTGTGGAGGAGGGGGAGGAGGAGCATGTTGTTGTGGTTGTTGCGGGTGCGGGGGGTGAGGGGATGGAGCAGGTCGGGGGGCATTAGAGGGAACGGTGGCAGTAGGAGGGAGGATATGTTGCTGGGTTTGGCTGGGAGGAGCTTGTTGCGGTGGTGGGGGATCCCAAGGGAAGTGAGCGACTCCCAACGAAGAGAGCTTCTTCTGCCAACTCTGTGGGAGATAGGTTAGCAGGCTGGACGATAAAGAAATAAGTAGCGAAAGTACACAGTCGAGAAAGACTGTTGAGGGGGATTCGGGGGTTATAAAAAGGCAGAGCAACGAGCAGTGAATGAGGAGAGAGAGAGCGCGCGAGGAGAGTTGAGGAGGCTTGGCAGACTAGGGCGACGGGCGGGTAAAAGCGGCGCGGTATAAAAAGAGACTCAAAAGCCAGCAGTTCCCCCCCCCAGCGGCTCATCCGCTCCCTGCCTTTCCCGCACTTCCTCTCGGCGCCCCCCGCTTGAAAGGAACGTCAACTCTCTCCCTCTCTCCATCTCCTCCCCATCGGATATCCATCATTTTCTCCCTCAAATCGTGCTATGCCATTCAGAAAGAAAGATAATTCGGTTATTACTCACCTTGCGCAGATCTAGAAGCGTCTGTTGGTCCACTCCACTTTCTTCAAAGTCCACCTGGGACCCATCGCAAACCTCCTGAATGACACGATCGAACACCGCGCCCTGTGGCCTTGTATCAGTCATGAGCTCCAGAAAGAGGGTTGTCACTCGGGATGAATCAACCGGTGCATGCCAGAGAAGGTAGGGTGATGGGATGAACACTCACCACCTGCTGGTTTGACATGGTCGCCGGGTTAGGACCTCACAGAGGATCCTCGTCTGATCTCGGGGAGCGGAGAAGAGTAGGAAGAGAGAGGCAAGTTTCTCCTGGGACGGTGAAACACGGAGGGTAGGTATTTAGTCACCACGACAGTAAGGCGTGGGTGAGAGCTATGGGGTTATCAGCCAGAGGTGAAGCGTCGCCGTCGCAGTAGTGGTGGTTGGCCAAGGGCTCATGCGACAATCGAAACTCCAGCGACCGCTACAGTAACACGCCCTCTTGGAGGGTTGTCCAAAATTGTAAGAGTACTGATCTTACTGTAGAAAGCAGCCAGACGGTAGAAAAAGTCGCAATCGGGCAAGTAAATTGGGGGAAGAGCCGGGCGGTCACACAAGAAGGTGTCAGAAGTGCCAGAGGGATGTTGGTTGAGGTGAAAGTCGCTCTCCCCGGGCGAAATCCGCCTCTCTCCCGCCTGCTTAGTCAACCCACCGCTAGTCCCCTAAAGGATATATCCGGGGGGATGAACGCAACTCGTTGACTGGTGGTTATCAGTCAGTCAGTCCCTCGCTGTTTCTCAGCACATTATCGCCACTATTTCTGTCCAATATGCGAATTCTCAGTCCTCATTTCTCATTTCTCAGCTCTCAGCTCGGTGTTCCATGCTGCGTGTGTCTCTATAAGAGAGGGACCTTCTATTGCAAAGTTTATATTGAGGACTGCCACTTCAGTCTCTTCGAGATCATAACATTCACTATTCACTCGAACAAGCTGCTTCATTGAAGACAGCTTTAGCATGGCGTCTTTCGTTCCTTTCGTGTAATTCTCACTAAGCACCCGACTTTTAAGAACAATGCATCACTCATTGAGGCCTCAATGATCATCGTGATATTTACACGATTCATCTCGTTATCACTACTGATCCCAGGGTCTGCTATAGAATGCTCCGCGGGGGGCCTTAACCGTGTTCGGCAAGGTAAGGGAGTCCAGGCTTGCGGACCCGCCAACCGTATTAGGACGGCCATCTCTCCCTCAACTCTATTGACTGTTCCTTATCGCAATGCTTTCTATGATCAATCGAGATCAATTTTCCCAGCAAGCGGTTGCCATCCGTGATATGCATGACGAAGCCACGGGGTCCTTCACGTCATGTCGGCATCGAAACGAAAACACGATGCTGTGCCTAGTACGATGGTGCAACGATGGACTTCGCAGCCCCAGCCGCGGCTATCATGTCAGAATTGTCGTCTAAAGAAATGGCGATGTGACCGCAAACACCCTTGTAACAACTGCAGATTACGGAAAAGCCACTGCCAATATAGCTCTGGATCGGGCTCCCACGATCTTCCGAGTAAACCAGGGAGACATGATCAGGCCGGTAACGGAACTGCTGCTTCCATGATTTTGTCACCATCTTCCCCCTCAGCAGAAGTCAATTCCACACTAGCTTCCCTACCCACTATTGACGATTCCAATGGCTTAGTGAAACGGATCCGTAGGCTAGAAGAAGCTGTCTTTGGCAGAGCTTCGGTAGTCCATGGAACAAGCGTGGGTGATCAAGGCGCTTTGTTGCCCTCTGTACCTTCAACTCAGCAACAGGGAGTCGAGGCCATCACCGCTGCCTCTGGCGCAGACAATGTATGTGCAGCTTACCCATACAAACACCACTGGCTGAACCGTCGTTAGGCCCAGCCTGCAAGAGGCTGGCACGGTACTTCTTTCGCCAAGCTGTCTCTTTCAACAGTACGGAAACGCATCATCGCATTCGATGAGGGCTTGCAAGATCCAAGATGTAGAGCCGAATGTCTTCCCCCGGTTGAGCAAGCGCGCCAGCTTTTCGACCAATTTGTCCAGGCCGTCCAGCCTACATTCGGTGTCCTACATATACCATCTGTTCGGGTCTTGATGGAGGAGAACTACCGGAATCTTTCCCAGGGCAAGGACCCTAACTTTGTTGTTGTCATTCTGCTTCTGAGCATATTCGCCGGCGGAGCTCTTGTTGCGACCCCTGAGCTTCTAGGAAATCTTAGGGCCACAGCAGTGGGGGCTAAGACTGCCTTCGCCACTTATACACGTCTCTCTATGACCATGTTAGATTATCCTCAGCGACCTATAGCCCCGTCAACGGTGGCTCTTCTCGCCATAACGACTCTCTGCCACATTCTAACACATTCGGATGGATTTTCCGATAAAATACAGGCTCTCCGAATGCGCGCGATCTTCATGGCACGGTCAATGCAGATCCACCGCCTGGACACTGTGAGAAGGCAGGAAGAGCGACAGCGCACCGGGTATGAGATTGTCGAGATTGAAGTCCAGAGACGAATTTGGTGGCATATCGTGTCATCCGACTGGTGAATAGACCTTGGCACATGCTCAAACTTCAAACAGCACTGACACATCCGTAGGATAGTCTCACTCTCCCAAGGGCCACAGGAGGGCTCGTACCTTCTGCACCCGAAACACATGAGGGTCAACCATCCTCGTAATATCGACGACGAGTCCCTGGCAACCACTAGACCAGATTACGGGTTCCCCCTCACCACCCCGACCTGCATGTCGGTCTTCATCCTACGAATCCACTTCGCCGAAATCTGCCGCGAGATTGTGGATGCCTTCCCCTCTATGTTCCTCGGAGAGAACGAGCTGCCTGACTACGACGTGATACTCGACCTAGACCGCAAACTCCACCACATCCTCGACACCTTGCCGGTCTTTCTCCGCCTCGACCCTGAAAGCGTTCGGCAAAGCCGCGAGATCATCACCGAGCGGCCCTACCTGGCCTGGCAGCGCACCATCGGCCACCTGGGCATCTACACCCGCATCTGCCGCCTCCACCGCCCCTTCCACCGCGAAGCATCCTCAAAACCTCGGTTCGCCTACTCCCGCGAGACGTGCCTCCGGTTCGCGCATCGCATCCTCGACCTCCGTCGCACACTGGACGAAACCGGCTCACACGTCGGCTTAAAACCGGCCAACTACTGGATGGTCATGCAGAATGTCTTCTTCGCCGCCATGGTCTTGGCCTCCGACGTCTCGATGTACCCAGCTAGTCTGGGCGCGGAGACGAGGAAGCAAGAGGTCTTGGACGCGTGCAAGATGCTGGAGCAGTCACGGCGCCAGTCACCGAACCTTAACGAGGCGATTCAGAAGAACACTCAAACCCTGCTGTCGATTCTTCAGAGCGCGCAAAAGGAGCAACAACAACATCAGCGCCCGAAGACCAATCCGGGGCTGATGATGGCCAATACTTCGTCATCGTACCTCGCAGCCACACCTAATAAATCTTCTAGTCTATTGCCACAAGGAGAGGCGAACGGGAGCACGAGCGCGGCAGAAGCAAGTACACAACAGCTTACCTTCTCCGATGATCGTCCGACAGCAAGGACTAATCCTATGCCGTGGGACGCCACGGCTACCCACCACGCCGGAGAGGAAAGCTGGGGCCAGTTGTGGTCGGATCTGTTTGCCGTGGCGCCGGATATCGACGACCTACAGTGGGATCTCCTGTTGGACGACTGGGATATTCCTCTTGATACAGGATTCTAAGCACGAATGGAAGATTATATCTATATTAGGGCGAACGCCAGGATGCGCGAAACTGATCCTTGTATATACTTATATGCTGATGTTCTTCTTCCAATCTGAGTTCACTCGCTCATTGAGGCCGAACTCTCCAATATAGTAAGCGCCTGTTCAGTTGGCTTCTGGCCTTGGTGCAATGGATCGGAACGGCGAACCAGAAAGACGGACACGAGAGCCGAGCCAAAAGTAAAAGAGCATGCTAAGAAGAGGAAACAGGACTCTGCAGATTATCGTCATGTAGAAGAATGAAAAGTACCCGTACGTATGAAGAGAGAATTATAAGAAGAGCAGTTCGAGAGAGTCCAGCTTGGGCTTTGCCCGGCCGGCTGGAAGGCGTCTGCCATCGCTTTGCTCCGCCCCTTGACTCAGAAGACGCAGATTAGGACATCCCAATCGCGGAAATGGTACGGCAGCACCTGCACATCGCAGATCTCCTTTGATGAACACACACGCCCGGTTCCGGGGGAGCACGTGGCTCGGGTCTTGTTTGTACGACGAAGCATTGCGCCTGGGGCCTCCACATCGGCTTCGACCCCTGCGTCGTCGAATCTGGCTCCGTCCATCTGCATCGCACAGCCGACGTGCAGTCCAGCAACATTCTCTGCAATGCAATGCCAGTGCGCTCTATTTGCTTGTTATCTATAGCCCTAATATCTGAATATCTGGATATTAAGAAAAGCTCCGAGTCTGCTCCAGCAGCTAACCCCTTGATCAAAAGTAATGATATATAGACTAATATGAAAGCTACATTCGCATCAGCTCTCTTATCACTCTTTATTCTGTGGGTATTACTCTTGACCATGCCAAACCAGGTACCAGGCTACTAGCCAGTCAGAGTTGGGTTCGAAGTATACCCCTGCCGACATCACGCATATTTCCGCTGAGCAGATAGATCCTCTCGACCGGGTCGATATGCATGGTGTACAACCAGAGATCGAAAGTCAATAAGGATGGATAAGAGGGATGGGACAGCTGAGGAGAGAAAAGACCACGGCAATGTAGTAGTGAATTTATCTTTGTTCTTTGTTCTTTGCTGGTGAATCATTCAGTATCATATTACCAGCCGTATCCCTATATCATTTTATTAACCCGCGCGCAATCAGCACACCCAGCTCGCTTTGGGGCGTCTATCGTTCTTCTCCATCTTTCCTCTTTATAGTTATATACATCATGAATGTGACAATCTGCGGCTCCCAGAAGAACACCTACACCGGCCAAGGCGCGAGTTCAATCTCGAGCTTGAGTTCCGGGTCAAGACGCTGAAAGCTGGAGAAGATGTTTTCGTCGGACGGCCTCGCCTCCAAAATAGGAAGAGGAGGAGAACCTCACTGATAATCAGATCCGGGCGCTCTTACAACAGCCAATGCCCAAGTCTCAACTCCCCAAACCTCCTGTACTTTGCGTTTCAGAATGAGTACGCCAGTCGCAACCTCGACCACTGGCACTGGGGTCGTCTCAATCAAAGAGAGCTTCAAATGGCAACCATTGAAAACCGTGCTCAGCACCCACGGTCTTTCCGTCCGAGGGTAAGCTTAGGACCGGATAATTATCGTCTTGCCTTTGAACGAAAGGACGATCACTCCTTCCGTCAACCACCGAGAGTATTGCGCTTGATAGCTGGGAAAATCTGATTCCAAAGAGAAGCAACTTTGTGGATTGCAACTTAAGAGATCGAGAATGCCGAGTACCGAGTCACTCAATATAATAATTTCCAAGCAAAGAAGCTCAAATTCCTTGAAAGCGTGGTATCAACTAGTGGTAATCAATGAATCACAGAAAGAATTCTTAGAGGCGCAAGAATGCCCGTCATCATGGACTGGGCGTTGTTTTCTGTTGAAACCACGACATGGACCTAACATGGCTTGAATCATACATCTTTTTATGTCTGCTTGTTTCTTTTTCTGTTCCAGTGAGATGTGATACTAAGTCTAATTGCCTCTAATCAGCCGTTCGAGTATAACAATGAACATACTCACACCTCTACTTTCGAACGGGCCACGACCAATATCACAGAAACCGGCACAGTGCTGCTCAACGCTGGCCGATCAAGAAAGCTCATTAAGGGCACTACGGAGGTGCTGAAACAGCAATGATAGTTCGAGTTCGAGGGGCCAACAACGATGGAATTCTTCAGGCTACTATCGAACTTGCAATCACTTGGTCCGGCTTTCCTCGAAATTTGCCCAAGCCAGGAGACTCGCGCGTGGATTTCTGACAAGGATTGGAAGGTCCATGCAATGTTGCTTGGTATAATTCAGCGCAGTAATTCTGGGTTTCATACATATCAATGAGATTCAAATGATGTCAAAGATGTCACAGGGTATCAAAGAACATCTCGACACGTCCATCGGCACCAGGCAGACATGGGATTTTCAGCGAATCAGGGACAAGAAGTGGCACGGAATCGGGAATAAAATAGGCGTCCGGGCCTGTTCTATACAACAAGTGGATAACATAATCGTCCCTATTACCCAGAGCTTGGGGGGCCGATATATACTTTGCCGACTATCACTATAGTCAGAGCCATATACCCATTAACAACAAGTATAAGAGAAAGGGGGGAAAATACCAGCTCTGGGATTATTTACTCTGATTTAGTAACTCTTGAAGATACAAGCCACAAAGCTCACATCCCAGGGGAAGTCAAAACTAAAGAGACTATTTAACCACCCCCAGAGTAGTCAACGGAGGAGATCTATTATGCCAGAAAATTCGGCCAGCTTGCGCGCTATATGGACGAGCTCCACTGTCTGTACGGGTTTATAGCGGCGGAGGTGCGCATTGCCAAGCTTTAGAGTTTACATCTGAACATGGACAGGGATTTTCAGCATGGATTTCACCTTTGATATTCAATTTCGCTTCGCTGTTATCCCCGAGTCAACGGCTGCTGTGTGGCAGAACTCTAGATACCGTCCGCTTCAGCGCCGATGAATCCGATCGAGACGCTGAGGAGATTTTCATCATCATAGATCAAGTGGTAGAAGCAAGACGCCAGCAGCTGCTACGAGATGGTATCGAGATGGAGATTATATTCCGTCGACAAGCTCCGTTTGAACAAGCAGCAAGCTATCTACGTGCCCTGGGCTAATCAGGCAGGATATCGAGTAGACACGGCAGCTTATACTCTGACGTCTAGTAGAAGACAATTGATACTCTGGTCCGATTACTTTTCTGATATATTATGCCCTGCTTTACTTTTACTTACCGCCTTTATATTCCACTCCAATTACTTTTCTTACATATTATGCCCCACAGTACTCTTGCCTACACCCCGATACTTTTACATTATATGCCTTATTTTCTGCCTTCCGTCTTAAGGGGAGAGAGGTATGCCGTTCATGGCACCTTCCCAATTATGAATAGCACTATTTAGTTATAGCTTCAGTTATCGTTACCAAGAACAGCTTCTTCTTCTTTTTCAAACCCAGTTATTGTTCTAGGCTGCCATATCATCGAACAATCTTAACTCACCACCACCGGCCCGAACCATCTCCACAAAGTCCAAGTAAGTCTCCCCATCCAATTCAAGAAAGCCCCTCGATGGAGTCAATCGTAAGGATGCTTGATTTGCCAGACACGCCCCTGCCCCCCTCAGCACACTCACAAAATAATACATCCTCCTCGGCTTGTCCCTCGCTGCTGAGCATTGCGGCTCAGACCACAGCTGGTCGGCCTGCCCCTGTCACTGACAAAAATTAATCATCCTACACCACCCTGTGTGTTCCGTTTACTGCCTGCTTCTTACCTTTAGTCCTTGCCTGATTTAGTCCTTTCCCGAAATTCTCTTCAAGGTTCCATGATTCCATGACCGAAGACGGTCAATTCCGGACAAGGGGACTGGTAGGTAGTTTAGTGAACATCAACAGTCTACACCGGTTTATTGAGAGTCACCGTTTCATCGTATCGAGGATGCTACAGCCTGTTTTTACTGAAAAGTAGAATTGCTAAATTATAACAAGCATTACCTCCAACTTCTATATCCTGTCCTATCCGCCATCTAAAGATTCTATACACTGATAGATCAAGCACACTTGAGTCTTCGAATCCCGTATATCATGAACGCTACAGTCTGCGGCTTCCGAAAGAACGCCTCTTGCTCCTCGAGAACATCTTAAGGAAGAGAGAAGAAGGGAAAAGAGGGAGAGGAGGAGGCCGGCGTAAAACATCTCGATTGAGAGTATATCGTGGAAACCGTGGACATGTTAATGACGTGACGGCTCCTTTCGCCTTTCTTGCACCGAATTTGAGGGGGCCACACTCCTGCGTTCAGCTTGATAGCAAGCAGTTACTAGCAGATCTCCTTCCTCCATTGGAGCAGTGTAATAATCATTATCAGATGTTATTGGTCACCAATCTTTATACAAAAGAATCTCAAAAACAAAAAGCAATTCGTCCTAAATACAGCGCCCCCTTCGCCGTCCCCTTAATCCCTCAACTCCATCCCTCAGGCCTTGAAAGAACCCCAGTACTCCTAGCAAAAGCACCTAAAGAAAAGCAAATGGTATCGAGACAAACGCCGGTCTACGATATGAACAAGAAAAAAACGCGCATCCAGACGAAGAACAAAAGAGTAGCCACGGACTCCTCAATACCGGATCTACCGGATGGTCATGGACTTGGTCATCTGGGCCTTGCTGCCAACGCCACCTTCGCGGGAGGCCGAGGCGCTGGTGCCAGGCTTGCGCTCGAAGATCTTCCAGAACTTCAAGCTCTCGTCGGCGGCCGCCGTGGCCAGGAGCTGGCCGTCGGGGCTCAAGCAACTGTGTAGCACGCGGGTCTCGTGGGCCGGGATCTCGACGTTGCGCACCAGAGTCGGGTAGCTCCAGATGCTGAGCGAGTTGTCGGGGAAGCCGCTTGAGCTGACGATCTCGCGGTAGTGGTTGCTCCACCGCAGGCTGGTGACCTGCGAGCCCGTGTCGATGCTGTTGGTGCGCGCACCAGTGGTGGTGTTCCAGAAGTGGATGTGACGGTCGTACGAGCCTCCACCGGTGGCAAGCAGGTTCAGTTGCCAGGGGCACCAGCTGAGAGCCTTGACGGCGGCGCGGTGGTTGGTCTTGGTGAACTTGGGGGCGCTGAGCGAGCGAGCATCCCAGATGTTGACCAGGTTGTCGTTGCCTCCAGTGGCAAGCTGAGCACCGTCGGGTCTCCATTCCAAGCCACAGACTTCCGAGGTGTGCGAGACCAGCTCAGCAACCTTGTGCTGTGCGATGCGGACATCGTGGTTGAAGACCAACCCACTGCGTGCGCCAGTAGACAGAGTGTGCTTGGACCAGCCCATGACGCCGACGCGCGAGTCGTGGCCGAACATGCTGCGAAGCTTGGTTCCTTCTTCGACGTCCCAGATCTGGACTTCGCCAGTTCCCAAGCCCACACCGACGTAGGCGCCATCTCCACTCCACTTGACACTGCTCACATAAGTGTCGGTAGGCGCCTCCAGCAGGCAGCTGACAGTCCCGGAATCGGCAGACCACACATAGACATTACGCTCAAGGCCAATGGCAACCTGGTTTCCAGAGCTCCAGTCAAGAAGATTGAGGTAGTAATCGTCAAGAAGACCGGGAGCATCCAGCACACGCTCAGGGGCCGTCTGGACTCTTCTGCGGAATTGAGCAGACTGAGACTTCGCAGACTTGAGGGGACGGTTGTACTGAGCGCGCAGGTCAATAGGCTTAGAAGACTCAGGAGGGGGCGGCTTGAAAGCAAGGATACGGGTGTTCAGGTTCACTCCGCAAGCGTCGGCAAGGGACGATTCGTAGGCGACGGCATCAGGTGCAGGCTTGGTGTATGACGTTGAAGGCTCGCTATCATCAATTCCGAGGCTCTCAAGCGCTGCAGTCAGATCCTCCTCACTTCCACGACCACCGATATCGAAAGCGCTTGCTGCACTCGCCAGAACGGAGGATCCCTCGCTGCTAGTGCTCTTGGGACGCTGGCTTTCTTCGGGCTTGGCTGTTCCAGCAGTCACAAGTCCCTCGCTGGCTGTGCGGTTGGGAATGAATCTGTCGCCGGCATTGTGCGCAATACGAACGGTGGTCTTTCCTGATCTCGTAGTCCTCGTCGTACGAATCTCCTCCTTCCGGGCGACTTTTTCCCGAGGGACTTCCTTCCGGCTGACTTCCTTCCGGCTGACTTCCTTGCGAAGGCGCTCCTTGGATGGAGTCTGTGATGAAGAGGGTCCAGTACCCGTCAAGGCCCACTCAGAAACCCCCAGCTCAAGGTGCTTTGGGGACTTGCGAGGACGAGTCCGAGCGATGTTGGACTTGGGCGATTCCCGGTAACTCCGGGATGTGGAAAGGTTGGACTTGGGGGATTCGCAGTACTTGCGTGTCGGCTTCGAGACAGACTTGGCGAAGTATGAAGAGAGGTTTCCGCTGTAGACAGACTTGCCGAACTCTTTACCCGACTCTCCTGCTCCGCACTGGGGAGTGAACGGGGAGGAGTGGTTGGAGGCCACACTGTCGCGTCTGCGGGGAGATGGCGTCAGAGGCATGCGGCCACCAGCAGTCTTGGTGGAAAAGATCCCGTGGTGAGTTTTCACCGGGGTAGATACGGTAGGCGTAGCCATGTTGGTATATGATTATTTGTGTGAACAATGAAACAGAGACCAGGTCTTCAAGCTCTGGTAGTGACGCCTATGCCAGTCGTACGCTGGCTTTGGCTGAGAGGTTTGAAGACGTCCAAAGTGACGATGTAGAGTAAAATGCAACAGAATATATGCAAGAGATAGTATATAGGCAAGAAAAACAGGATGCTGAGGAGAAGAGAAGAAGGGGGAAGACTTGGGAAGATCCAGGGGAGGCGAATAAATAAAGCGTATAGTTCTGCTCTCCCATGGCAACGGGCGGTTACTGGAGGTACGACTGCGCTAGTCCCAATGCGGTCTGGCGGGCACCTGACAAGCGGCTGATCCGAATCAGGTCTGGATCGGTCTTGGCGCTTTAGTTCAACTTTTTTCCTTCTCGGAACCCTTCCGTCTTCATCTCTAGTCATCTTATCCGAGGTCATCTCCAGTCTCTATGGCTGATGGTAGATGAGACATCTGTCAAGTTGAGTTGAGTTGAGTTGATACTGGCAAATCGCTGATAATCCTCTCGCTGCTGGTCGGTAGTTCTGTCTCGCCTCTCCTTATCTGTCCGAGGTCTCCTCCCCTATCCTTATCGGGGCTCTGATGGCGCGGCAACCGTCCTCCACTATCGCTCGGAATAGTAACGCTTCCTCGTCCTCCAGCGACCCACTGCCTTGGCCGCAAGTTGCAAGCCCGATGGCTTCCTTTTCATCTACCCCCCAAAGACCGCAGAACACATTCCTGATGCCCCCTAGTCCGAATGGCAGTGGCGGGCGCCGCGGGAGTGCGGATTACCGCCCCAGCATCCGCAAGGCGCAAGGCCATGTACCGGCGTGCCTGGTCAATGCCTCGGTGACGTATTGCAACAATGACCAGATCTACGCTTTCGGCGGCTTCGACCAGTACACTGACGAAGGTTATTACTTTCACTTCATGATCGCATGATCTGTGCCTCAGAACTAATTCCCACGTCTGAGTGTTTTAGTCTACAACCACGTCCTCCGCTTGAATCTGAATACGCTGCGCTGGGAATTGGTTGATAACTATGGGGATATTCCCGGCGTTCGCATGGGTGAGCTCTCCCGCACCTCGTTGGATGCTTTGCCATTCCCTCGGTACATACTCATGTTCTTTCATCACATGCAGGACATACGGCTACCCTCTACCAAGGGGACAAGTTGATCGTTTTTGGTGGAGAAAACGAGCACCGCGAATACCTCTCTGATGTTGTCATCCTCGATATTCCCACCTCGACTTGGACCCAGCCGGAAATCCGTGGACCAATCCCGCGAGGAAGGGCTCGCCATGCCGCTGTTATTTACGACGAGAAGCTCTTCATCATTGGAGGTGTCACGGGGGAAAACAACGTCATTCTCGATGAACTCTGCTACTTGGATCTGAAAACCTGGACGTGGTCTCGCATATGGGGCTTCACCGCTCGGTTCGACCATATTGCCTGGGTCTGGGGCGGCCGGCTCTGGATCTTTGGAGGCTTGGACCCTAACATGGAACGGACAACGGACATCTGGTGGCTGGATCTCAAAGACCTCCAATCTCTGGGAATGGCGACTTCGCAAGGTACCGTGGATTCCCCTACAACCACCAACAGGATGACTTATAGTCCAGACACTATGTTTAGTACTCCCCCGCAACAACTGGCTGGCCGGTCCAGCAGCTATGCGGCGAATTCTGGCAGTGTGCAGATACGGACCCAGTCCAGGAACTCGAATCGACGTAAGCCGAATGCTCCGGGCGCGGTTTCATGCCTGCGTTTCCAGTCTGGCCCCCATGTTCCTGCCCTCTTCTCTGGAACCCACTTTCAAGCGTATGCATCGGGCGTACTTCTTGACCTAATCACGCCATCCGAGACTGTACGCACTTTTGAATGCAATCTATCCTCGTTGGAACTGGATTCTTTGCGCTGGCAGCGGCTCGCTGATGGCCAAGAAATTTTCAAGCCCGGTTTTAGATGGCATTACTGCACCGTCGATGCGACTGGTACTAAGGCCTGGCTGCTCGGCAGCAGCCTCGACGTTGGAGCTACGCCCGGAACCAGCGATGAGAACCATATGAGTGAAGTGCTGTGCATTGACCTTGAAAGGTACGGTTTGTTGGGCAACGAACTGTCTGCCTTCTCGCCCCACTCAAACAAGATGCACATGGAGGAGCAGACAGGAGCTATGCCTTTATCTGGTATTGGGCAAGACCTCGCTGCTGTGTTCGATCAATCGCCCGAGTCTGGTAGTGGAGCTGACTTCGTTATTACTGCTAACCCCAATGACCACCTTGAAGCGGGAGAAGCTTCGGAAGACAATTCTGGCCCGCAGTCTCAGCCTGCGTTCCTCTCGCCCGACGCAGCCACTTCTCCACCCATCCATGTCCACCGTATCATCTTGCAGCTGCGATGGCCGCACTTCAAGAGACTATACTCTGCTCAAATGGCCGAGTACCATTCGAAGCGGATGCACATCCCTGAACCGTACACGGTAGTCCGCGCATTCATTTACTACCTGTATACAGATAGCATTGCGGGTCACCCGGAGTATTGCTCGGATATTATCGACGTAGCCGGAATGTTGGTTATGGCTAACATGTATGACATGCCGAAGCTGCGTTTGCTGTGTGTCAACCGCTTGAGCCGAGAGCTCGATGTGGAAAACGCGGCGATCATCTGGGAGCGCGCGGGTCGGACCAACGAGTCATGGTTGATGCGACGTGCGGCGCAATTCTGCCTTAGTCACTGGGGTCGTGTTGTCCGCACTGATGGATTCAAGTCCCTCAGCCGACAGAGTATCATCGACCTCTGCGAGGTTGTCGATATGGAGGGTCGCATCATCGCAGGACCGGAATTGGAGCTCGTCGGATCGCTGGGTGAGGGTTTACACAAGGGCCTGAAACCAAATCAATTGTCTGGCGGGGGCACTGTTACGGACAATGTTGACGACTTTGATGGTGATGAAATTGACGGAATGGATATTATCTAGACTTGGAGTTATCGACTATTCACAGGGGCGCTACGATGCGGGGTGGTTTCATTTTGATACTGGATTTATTTCTTCTGTGACATATTGTATACTTTCGATTGTTTGGCACGGCGCTTTCGATGGACAGAGGGTAGGATGAGCATTTGAGCAGGGAGTTTCCAGACTGAGAGTTATTTTACAGGGTTACTTCGTTTAGCATATAGTTCTTTAAAGACATGAATAGTGAATACACTCAATAGAGTCAATACACTGAATACTGAATCCATTGGATAAACTGGCACCATCTGACGCTATTCCCGATCGAGTTCGGGGTTCGGTCCGTTTAGCCGGGCTCCGACCCCGCCGCAGAGCACTGTTTGTTCCTTCTTCCAACCTTCGCTTCTGTTGTTTCTCTGGGCATCATCCTGGCTCAATGCTCTGGTTGGATCAATGCTGAATCCTGGCCGTCCTTCCGGTTACATTGACCCCTCTCATGAAGTTGAAGGGCAAGGCGAGGGGGAGGTGGGGTGATTAATCTATAAATACGCCGCATCAACCGCGCGGGGAACATTTACTTCCAGCAACACTCCAGCAACTCTCTCTTATTCCATACTTGTACATACAGTACACCACCAACTCAAACCATGGGCTCCGCCTCACACTCCATCCTTCCCAAGGATTTCCTCTGGGGCTTCGCCACAGCCAGGTCCGTCCCCACCCTCTTCATCAAATCCACAACACAAAACTAACCCCACGCGAAGCTACCAGATCGAAGGCGCGATCGCAGAAGACGGCCGCGGCCCATCCATCTGGGACACGTTCTGCAAAATCCCCGGCAAGATCGCGGACGGGTCCAGCGGAGAGGTAGCATGTGACTCGTACCACCGGATGGACGAAGACATCGCACTGCTCAAAGAATGCGGAGCCAAGGCCTACCGCTTCTCGATCTCCTGGTACAATACTTCCCCATTCCCCCAACCCTTATCCCCCAACCCATTCTAACGAAGAGGGGTAAAAAAAAAAAAGGTCGCGCATCATCCCGCTAGGCGGCCGCAGCGACCCAATCAACCAAGCGGGCATCGACCACTACAGCCGATTCATCGACAAGCTGCACGCGGCGGGCATCGTGCCGCTCGTGACGCTGTACCACTGGGACCTGCCAGATGCGCTGGACAAGCGGTACGGCGGGCTGCTGAACAAGGAGGAGTTCGTGGCCGACTTCACGCACTACGCGCGCACGCTGTTCGCTGCGTTTGGCCCCCGCGTCAAGCACTGGATCACCTTCAATGAGCCGTGGTGTAGTGCTGTGCTTGGGTATAATGTTGGTCAGTTTGCGCCTGGGCGCACCAGTGACCGGGCTAAGAGTGCGGTTGGGGATGGCTCGCGCGAGCCCTGGATTGTTGGGCATAATTTGTTGGTTGCGCATGGCGCTGCCGTCAAGGTTTATCGGGAGGAGTTTAAGGGCCGTGATGGAGGCGAGATTGGGATTACGCTTAATGGTGGGTTTTCTCTCTTTTATTGCTCTGGTTGTCGTTGAGGGGTCTGGGGTGCTGAAAGGAAGGGGGGTCCGGGGGTTCTCCCCCGGGATGCCTTCATAGCCCGGGATGCGGGGGCAAGGATATGCAGAAGCTGATGCTGATGCTAACATTTGGATTAAAACAGGCGACTGGGCCGAGCCCTGGGACCCGGCCAACCCGGCGGACGTGGAAGCGTGCACGCGTAAGATTGAGTTCGCGATCTCGTGGTTCGCGGACCCGATCTACCACGGCAAGTACCCAGACAGCATGGTCCAGCAGCTGGGCGACCGGCTGCCGACTTGGAGTGCGGAAGACCTGGCGCTGGTGCAGGGCAGCAATGACTTCTACGGCATGAACCACTACTGCGCCAACTACATCAAGGCGCGCACGGGCGAGCCCGACCCCACCGACACGGCGGGCAACCTGGAGCTCCTGCTGCAGAACAAGGCGGGCGAGTGGATCGGCCCGGAGACGCAGTCGGCGTGGCTGCGGCCGTGCGCCCCGGGCTTCCGCAAGCTGCTGAAGTGGCTGAGCGACCGCTACGGCCAGCCCAAGATCTACGTTACGGAGAACGGCACGAGCCTGAAGGGCGAGAACGACCTGCCTGTCGACCAGTTGCTGCAGGATGAGTTTCGGGTGCAGTATTTCCGCGATTATATCGCCGCCATGGCGGATGCGTATACGCTGGACGGGGTCAATGTGCGCGGGTATATGGCGTGGAGTTTGATGGAGTATGTCTACTGTGCATTGCTGTCGGTATCGGAGTGGTTGCTAACGTGGTTGATAGTAACTTCGAGTGGGCCGAAGGGTATGAGACTCGCTTCGGGGTGACGTATGTGGATTACGAGAATGGGCAGAAGCGGATTCCTAAGGCGAGTGCGAAGGAGATTGGCAAGATCTTCAAGCAGTATATTGAGGAGTGAACTTGAGCTGCCGGGGTGTAATTGGACATAGGAAGTAGATGGATTCAACCTGGTGTAGTTGGATATAAGAAGTACATACATACAATCAATCAAACTGTGTTATGAAATCTGCTTAAGACTGTACATCAATAAGACAAGGTTTCAATCAGCATGCATCTCGGGAAACTGCAGCTTGAGCTAGCCATAGCTGATGGCGCAATGCACACACATTAGGAGTACGTAGGGTAAAAGTAAACAACAGAAGCACAACCGATCCACGACTTACCCTTCTGCATCGCATCACATGTCCCTCTAAATCAAACCCACCCCTCCCTGGAAACATCATACCCAATAACCTTCAAATCAATATTGAGCATCTTCAACATAACCCCCATCGTAAACTCCTACCATGAATCAACGTCAGCATACCAGTACCCAGGATGCAGGACCCAGTAAATAGCAAGACCAAAAGAGAAAGAACGAACCTGATCCTCCACCTCCGCCTTCCCATCCTTCCCCCCATCCTCATCCCTAATCCCCTCCTCCTCAAAACAACTACCCCCAGAAGAATCCACTTCCCACCCCCAAGACCTCCCACGAGAACCTTGCCTCAAAGCATCTAACCCCCCCATCCGCCCCACCCTCTCCGCCGCCCCGAGGAACACTTCCTCCGCTGCGCGCTGGCTCACGGCCCGCCACTTTTGGATTAGCTGTTCGAGCTCGAGGGTTTTGTTTTGCTGTTCGATGCGGAGGGCTTGGTGGAGGGTGTCGTGTTCGGATTTTAGGGCTTTTAGGTTGGTTTGGAGGGTTTTGATTTCGGGGTTCAGGTTGGGGGTTAGTCTGGGGGTGCGTAGGGGATTCAGCTTGGGGGTACGGGTGCCGGTGCAGGTTGGTGTGTTGCTGGTGTTGCCGGTGCTGGTGCTGGTGCTGGTGCTGGTGCTGGGTTGGGGGGTGCGTGGTTGGTGGTGTTTTTGGGGGTGTGGTGGTGAGGTTTGGATTCGGGTTCGAGTTGGGGTTGCTGGTTCTGGTGCTGTAATGAGGGTTAGTGCTTGCTGTGGTTGTTGTGGTGTATATAGCTGCGGTATGTATGGGGTGGTGCTGGCTGTAGCTGCTATAGCTGCTATAGTAGCTGATAGAGCTGGGCCACTGTATAGTATATGGGGTGGATATAGCAGATATAAATACCTCCACCTCCCTCTCCATCTCCCTGCGCAGCGGTGCTGCCACTACCCCCTATCGAAGCACCAGCCAAAGACACCCCGCTTCTATCCGCTGCCAGATCTGTATCAGACGTCCCCCCCTTCTCTGCCCCTGTAGCAGGAACCGGCCGACGAAGAGGCGACTTGAACGGTTTGGACAAAGTGGAGGCGGGGTTCAGACGACGGCGTTTGTGCGTATTCATTTTAGCGGCTATCTTGCTTCGATTCTTGTGTCCAGTTGGTCTTGGATTATAGGGGGGGGTAGACAGCATGGAATCTCAATTGACAAGCATTGAAGATGGGGGATGGATGTAGATGGGAAGTAGATGAAAAGGTAAAATGACCGATAAGGTAGCTTATCGATAAGAACCCACTGACAGACGGACAGACGATCACATGTTCCTCCGCATGGCGTTTACAGTGAGTGACAATGACCACCAGAACTCGGCGATAGGTATGGGACAACAGGTAAATCAATTGTCTTCTAGTAAATTCAACCACAAAAACCTCATCCTCACCCCCATCCGAACAATCTATCTACTCAATGCCCAACTCCCCCGGCCGCCCACTGCGCGAACTCGGGATCCCCCGGCCGAGGGAAGAATCCTCTCTCTCCGTTCCCAACCCCGTTACCATTGCCATTGCCATTGCCATTCCCCCCCGCAGCCGGATTCACACCCCCGTTACCATCAGGCTGTCTCTGTCGATTACGCTGCTGTCGCATATACACCAGCACCAACAAGGTAGCCGCCAAGCCAACGATAATCAGGCCCTCGAGCACGCTCTCGTCGATGTCCAGCTCCAGATCATCATAGTAGCCATCGTCGTTATGGCGCTCGTCCAGCCGATGGTTCCCCGTCGCCGCCGACATCAGATCGTCCTCCTCGTCGTCGCCGCGTTTGTACAGTTGTGCGCGGTAGTTGGCCTCCTCTTCTTCGTCGTTCTCGATGAACGCGGCGATCCATTCTTTCAAGGTGCGGTGGGGTTTGGCGGCTACAAATTTTTTAAAAAAAAGTCCGTGTCAGTTTTTGTTTCGTTTCATAATGTCAGTTGGTCAGTGGCAAGCAAGCTGTGCTCGAACATACCCTTCTCCTCTTGGATGGGGTTGATATCCCCGTTCGTGAGCCAGTTCCAATACCCCCGCATCCGCAGCTTAAGCAGACTCAGCTTCACGGGCAGGTACGCCTCGGGGCTGGTCTCGAGCGCCAGATCGTAGTATCGCTTGGCCATGTGGAAGTCCTGGTCGACCGCCACCCCGTTCTCGTGCATCCAGCCTAGGTTCCAGTACGCCTGGGCGCTGTAGTGCGCCTCCGCCGCCGTGTGGTAGCAGGTCGAGGCCTTGTCGGCGTCCGCCGCGATGCCCGTGCCGCTGAGGTAGTAGTCGCCCATCTTGATCAGGGAGTCGATGTTGGCCTGCTTGGCCGACCGCGTCCAGTAGATCAGCGCCAATGCGGCGTTGCGGAGCAAGGGCGGTCGGCTCTGCTGGGTGCCGGGGAGGAGTCGGTCCAGCGCGACCAGCGAGCGCTGCTCGTCCAGAAGGAACGCCACATTCGACTGCGCGTACTCGTAGCCCTGCTCCGCGGCCATCATGGCTGGGATGAGCGCCCGCTCCTTGTCCCCGTTCTCGTAAGCAGTGTTCGCTTCCTCGAACGACGAGTGGATGGCCTCCGCCCGCTCCGCCACCATCTTGTAGTACGACGCCGCCATCCCACAGTGCCGCTTCCGCCCGACACCATTATTCGACAGCTCCGCCAGGTAATAGAACGCCTCCATCGACCCCCACCGCGCCGCCAACTCAAAGTACTTGGTCGCGGTCGGCACGTCCCCTTGATCCAGGAACAGGGCACCCAGTCTCGTCTCGGCTGCCGGGAAGTCCTGGTCCGCCGCCGAGCGGAAGTACGAAGCAGCCCGGTACGCGTCCTGCGACACACCATACCCATGCAAGTACATCAGCCCCATTTCATGCTGGCACAACGCATCGCCAATGGTAAGTCCGCGGCGGAACCAGGTCAACGCCGTGGCGAAATTTTGTTCGACGCCTTCGCCGCGCAAATACATCAGCCCAACATGGCCGGCGGCCTTGGCAGCCAGCTTCTCGATTCCGGCGGGATAGTTGGGAATGACGGAGTTGTCCTGGTTCCAATACCGCCGAGTGACCTGCTTGAAGTAGCGCATCGCGCGGCGGAAGTTCCGCGGCAGGCCGCGGCCGCCCTCGTAGTACATCTTGCCAAGACTAAACGTCGCCTTCAGCTCGCCCTTCCGCGACATCAGATCCAGATACTCGAGCACATCCTCCAGATTGGCGTCCGCGCCGGAGTGCGCCGAATCTCGCAGCCCCGCCGTCGACACGCTGGCGCCCTCGCCATACACCCCGCCTTCCTCGTCCGCCCAGCGATAACTCTCGCGAACCAGATTGCGTCCACCGGGGGGACCGGAGCGGAGATACGCGATCGCCTTGTCGGCCACCTGCTTGTAGTAATACGTCGCCTGGTCGCAGTCGCGCGGGGCCCCGACACCCTGGTGGTGGCGGTACGCCAGCGTCATCTCGGAGCGGGTGTTGCCGGTCTCGGCCGCGAAGGTATGGTACAGCAGCGACTGGGCCTGGTCGCGCTCGACGGCGCCGCCCACGCCCGTCCCGTACATAAAGCCCAGCATGTACTGGGCTGTGCTGTTGCCCGTGGCGGCCGCCAGCGCGTGGTACCAGTGGAACGCCTGCTTGAAGTCGCGCGGGTGCGTGTAATTGCCGTAGAAGTTCAACTCCGCCAGCAGGAACATCGCGTCCGGGTTGCCGGCCTCCTGCGCCGCGACCGTGAGCTCGTGCACGGCCTTGGCAATGTCCGGGTGGACCTTGTGTTTCTTGGAGCGGTTGCTGTCAGACGACGACGACTTCGGCGCGTTCATGAAGAGGATCCGGAAGGCTTCCTGGGCATAGTACCAGGCGTACCCCACTAGACTGGAGGGTTTGGTGTCCGGGGCGACGACGGAGAGTTTGGAGTCTCGAAGAACTCGGAGGGCATGTTCGACGCGCTCTGTAGGATCAGAAACATTGGAGGTTAGATAGTGGTCGCGGGTTTGTCTTTGTCAGTTGAAAGGGTCGCTCTCACCATGGCCCGGTTGTTGGACTTCGACGTCCTCAGACCCGCTAGAGGATTGGAAGAAGGATTGCGCCTTAGGCTCGTGTACGGCATCGATCGTAGAGGATAAATTATCGGGTTGGTCGCTACATTCACCGAGAAAAGCCTGCAGTAGTAGCACTAGACGTGGAGTCGAGAAAGGTCAGTCGCTATCGCGTCATCATCACCATCGTCATCCTCGGGTCCAGCTCCGCGGCGGAGAGAGAGAGCGTGTGTTGTTACTCACATAGCGCCAGTGGCAGAATATGCCATAAGCATCGGGATTTCATGTTGTTAGCGAGAATCTGGTAGAAGTGAACAGTGAGAGGCGCATGGCGACTCCAAAGATCACTTCGATGTAACCGTCAACTGGTAGTGGTAGGGTAGTGATGAGAGATCAATACGGAGCAGCTTCTCCTCACACTATCTCCGGCGCGCGGCAAGGCGGAAAGCGGCCACCTGGCGTTGTCATCCACGGAGCCTCATTTCCCCGACTCAACTCTATGACTACATCTCTATCTACCTACTACATTCTACGGAGTACAGCACTCCCCAACTTACTGGAATTTTCACATTTTTTAGGCATTTTTCTATTATATCATAATTTCTTCAGACCTAGAGCCAGATCTGCAGTCGTATCTCGGTGTACAGGGGCAGATCCCGGTCATCGGTCGCAGCAAAAGCAGCAATAACGCAACAAAAGCAATCAACGAAAGAAATCATCCTCCATGCAATTTTCAAGCAAAGGGATCCTTTCTCTGTGTAACCCACTCATTCCTCATGACCGGGTCATGATTCATGAGCATCTTCCGGTCTAAACGCTTGGTATTTCAATGCACAAAAAGCAAGAGAGCGCATCAAACCAGACCCACAAAACCCATTCGCAATCTCAGCAGGCTGGCTCGGAAAGTGGAAACTGGTATTGAATAAGGGTAATAAACCTGCAGGCTGTTGCAAGAAAAAAAAGAACATACATTTAGAATGGGAATGGGAAAGAGAAGCAGGCTGCAAACGCCCAAGTCCTGCATGAAATAACCAACCAATTCCGCAACATACAATGCAAGATGTTTTTGTGTTCTTTTCTCCTTTTCCAAGTTGTCTGGATGATGTGATAATACAATGATACAGCGAAAGTCGTAAGGAAGCAAACCACTAGAGCTTGGACTTCACTGGCGTGGAGACCTGCGAATCATGTTAGAGTCTGGTTGTGCCTTGCCAGACCGAGAAAGACTTACGTAGGGCTGAAAGCCGGCGACGTCGGGCTGTAACCTGGGGACGTAGGTCCACCGGGGGACGTCGGCGAGCCGGCAAAGTTAGGAGATGTCGGGGAGTATGTCTGAGGACTCGTGGGAGACCATCCAGGCGATGTCGGAGTGTACTTTGGCGAGGTGGGAGAGGTGGGAGACAGGTGTCGGGCACCACCAACAGCAGGACTGGTTGGGCTGTAGCTTGGAGATGTGGGACTGAACGCGGGCGACGCTGGACTGAAGCTGGGAGACGTAGGGCTGTAGTTCGGCGACGTCGGCGAGAACCCAGGCGAGGTGGGCGAGTACGAAGGCGACGTCGGAGAAGCTTGTCCATATGCCGGCGACGTAGGAGAGTACGCCGGAGAAGTCGGGGCAAACGACGGACTGGCCGGCGAGAAACCAGGCGATGTCATGAAGCGAGGGCTGGTGATAGCCATACCTGGTGAGGTAGGCGAATAGCTCGACGTCGGAGAGTAACCAGGTGACGTGGGGTTCGCGCTGAACGGGCTGCTGGGGGAATAGCCAACAGGGCTCGTGGCGGCCGGGCTGAATCCGCCCCCGAAGCCGCCGCTGGGCTGATACTCGGTGAAGCCACCAGGAGTTTCAGCGCCTGCCTGCCGGATCGGGGAGAAGTTCGACTCAGGATCGGGCGAGCCAATGTACGCGCTCTCCTGCATAGGCGAGCCAGTGTCATACTGCGTGGCAGCGCCATCGTTGATGATCGCGTCCTTCGCACCAATGGCACCCATGACAGCATAGCGGGCATTGTTCGAGACGACGGTATTCATGAGGTTTTGGTCAAGGTAGACGTCGAACTCGCCAGTACCAGCAGGTGCCATCTGTCCCAGAATCAAGTTCTCTGACACACCACGGCAGTCGTCGAGCTCACCAAAAGCGGCGGCCTCGAGCAGGATTTCCACAGTTTCTTCGAACGAACAACGCATCAGAGCACCGTTGTCAGCACGGTTGATACCGTGGCGGGTAACTGGAGTCAGATAACCACGGACGGTCATCACATCGACCAGCAGAGCCAAGTGACGGTGGTTGACATAGGAACCGTCGAACGCCAACACCTGAGTCAATTCACGGAGCACGGCGGTACGAGCAGCCTCAATACCAAACACCTCAAAGACCTCAATAAACTGGTTGGAGTATGTGCGAGAGGCATCAACACCTGGAATAGCCAGGACCTCACCAAGCGACGAGCCACTGGTTTCAAGGACCCATTCCTTACAGAGGGGATCGGACTTGCTAGCGAAAAGCGAGCCGTCCTCGAGGACTCGCACCTTGCTCTTCTCATTAATAAACGCTCGGTCGACTCCAGGAACACCACGGAGGGTCAAGGTATCCAGAAGATGCTGCTCAAGCTTCTTTAGCGTGACATCGTATTCAATGTCATCATCCTCCTCATCTTCCTTGTAATCCTGAATTTGACGGATACGGATGACCTGCTCATCGGCGTTATTGTCACTGAAGAGAACAGCGATATCCTTGGGGTAAGCGGCCTTGATCCGGGACGCAACGTCCTGCACAGTAAGTCCCTTATCAAGAAGCTTCGGGCGACTGAGAATGATACGAAGCAACCACTTGGACTGGCGAGACGAATCATCCGTGACATCCTCGGGAATGATGAAGTAGGACTCCACCATATCCCTATCGTTTTCAATGACAGTGGTTTGGATATCCGGATCATAGTAGATCTCAGTAGCCTCAGTGACGGACCGCAGACTGGTGTGTTCGACAGCGCTACGAAGCTGCTTGGCACTCTCCTTGTTGAAGGAGTTTCCAGCCTCTTGGTAGACCGTCATGGAAGGTGTCTTGATGTTGGTGGCGACGTTCAAAATTTCCTTCAAACGCGGAACACCCAGGGTAACGTTCTTGGACGAAACACCAGCAAAGTGGAAGGTGTTCAAAGTCATCTGAGTGGCAGGCTCACCGATAGACTGAGCCGCAAGCACACCGACCATTTCACCGGGGTTGGCACCAGCCTTGGCGAACCGCATCTCGATAGCTCCAATGACGTGCTGGAATGCGAGTTTGTTCAAAGAATACTCGGTAACCAATCTCCTGAATGCGAGACGACTGCGCAGTTGAGCCTTGAAGAGCATAGTGGCACTCTCTTGGGCCTCGCGCGAGATCACATCGTCACCGCGCACGACCAAAAGACGGTCCAGAAGAGCGCGAACCTGAGGAATGACTTCTGCGGGGTGCAGATCACTGATGGCTCCATCACGGATCTTGAAAGTAGATCTGGCCGTCTCCAGAATACGCAGCACGTTGATCGGAAGTTGCATCATCTCATCATCTTCCTTGGCCACAGTCCGCAAGAACGCACGGTCCTTAAGAAGCTGTTCCCATTCCTCATCCAGATGTCTCTGGATTTCGACATCACCCGCAATCTCATTGGCTTGTTCCAAAACCTCCGGTCCCAGAGTCCGCTCAGGGTCCATGAGATCCACACGGAAACGGTCGCGGAACTTGTCATCTGAGCACCTGATGACATCGACACGCTGGTTCTCGATGTGAGCACCATCGAGACCATCCTCTCCATAGATGAACTGGATAATGTCACCCAGAGAGTTACGGACTGTGCCATCGTATTTGACCATGACTTCTTCAAGAGCCTTAACCAGCTTACGCTGAATATAACCAGTTTCAGCAGTCTTGACAGCGGTATCGATAAGACCCTCACGACCAGCCATAGCGTGGAAGAAGAACTCGGTCGGAGTCAAACCACGCAGGTACGAGTTCTCAACGAAACCACGAGACTCGGGCGAATAGTCATCCTTCGTGAAGTGTGGCAAAGTCCGATACTTGAATCCGAAAGGAATACGCTTACCCTCGACGGACTGCTGTCCCACGACTGCTGTCATCTGAGAGATGTTAATGGTTGAACCCTTGGAACCGGAACGTGCCATCTGAATGGCATTGTTCAAATCCTTCAAACTCTTCTCCGTCTCGCTACCAGCTTCATCACGAGCATTGTTGAGTGCACGTGAGACCTTACTTTCGAAAGTCTCACGAACGTTCATACCGGGTAGAGGCTCAAGCGTGTTGTCCGTGGCGCTAGCAGTGATCTCCTCAACCTCCTTCTTCCGGATTTTCACACAGTTCTCGATCCGCTGGATTGTGAGCTCGTCAGGGATAGTATCACCAATACCGATACTGAAACCGTTGTGAAGCAACCAATAGTTAACGATTCTTTGAGCACCGTTGAAGAAACCCACCGCAGCCCAAGGCCCGTACTCGTTGAAGATGGTGTGGATAACACCACCACCGCTGGCTCCGACAGTCTTCTTGGAAAACATACCATACATCAACTGTCCCCCATGGATAAGGAGACCGCCATCAGCCAGGGGAGAAAACTTCTCGGACAGCGGCGAGCTATCCTTGTCCACACGCAGGAGGTTCAGGCCAGGAGGCAAAGCCATACTTATCATCTGCTTTCCAGTCCACCGGGGTCTGGGTTTCAGGATAGCTGGTGGAGGAATAACGCCATCCCAGTCGGGAACCCACATCATCAAATTCATGACCTGATCCTTCGTCAAGAAGACATCACGTCGGCAAATCTTGTAAATACCGCAAAGAGTATCCTGCACGATACCCATGAGCGGACCGTTTCGCTGGGGAGAGACGATGTTCATGGGAACTAGTGCAAGCTGGCTGAGCTCGGCGCGGGATTCCTCGGACTGAGGTACGTGCAAGTTCATTTCATCACCATCAAAATCGGCGTTGTAAGGGGATGTCACAGACAGGTTCATACGGAAAGTCGAATAGGGCATGACGCGAACGCGGTGACCCATCATGGATTCCTTGTGCAGGGAGGGTTGACGGTTGAAGAGAATCACATCACCATCCATGAGATGACGTTCCACCTTCCATCCATACAATAGCTGCTGTCCTCCCGCTCTCCGAGCATGACGAAGATCGATACGTTCGCCATTGTCTCTGACGATGTACCTGGCTCCTGGGTGCTCGTTCGGGCCGTTCTGTACAAGCTGCTGCAGCTTCTCAATGTTGTATGGCGTGACGACCTCCGGGTAAGTCAAAGTCCTCGCGATACTCTTGGGGACACCGACCTCCTCGAGAGACAGGTTAGGATCACCCGTGATGACGGTACGGGCAGAGAAATCGACACGCTTTCCCATCAAGTTCTGTCTCAGACGACCTTCTTTACCCTTGAGACGACTGCGGATAGCCTTGACTGGACGATTAGACTTCTGCATGGCCTTCGGCTGACCGGCAATGTCGTTGTCCATGTAGGTGGCGACATGATACTGCAAGAGAGACTCGAACTCGCGCACAACGTGCTCGGGCGCACCTTCCTGCTCACAACGTTGCACGTTCTGGTTTGCTCGGACGATTTCAGCAAGCTTGTAAGTCAAATCATCCTCACCGCGCTGGCCACTGGTGCTGCCACCGACAAGCACACTGGGGCGGACCGGAGGGGGGGGAACCGGGAGGACTGTGATAATCATCCACTCGGGACGAGCATAATCGTTACTCAATCCCATGATGCGAACATCTTCGTGGGAGATGCTGCGGAAGACATTCAGAGCCATTTGAGGGGTGAGGGTCTTCTTCTCGGGCTGTTGCATATCCATCTCGTCCATCATCTTATTGGGCTTCCATGTACCGACGAGCGTAATACCTTCCTTGCGAATGGTGGGCTGCGCGTTACCACAGCCACCATGCATGCGCGAAGGCTTGGAGTTCTCTTTCGAGAAAGGATCCTCATCATCCGGAGGGGGGTCGGCTTCGCAAATCAGCACATCTTTGGAGAGGCGCCAGATGTGATCGAATCGTCTCTTCGGGTCCCTCATGCGCAGGGCTTCTAGAAATTTAGGATCGGACTGGGTCTCAAGTTAGCCAAACCGCCGTAATAGATTTGCCATCCCATAAGGGATGACTAACCGTATTGGCCTTGATCTTGCCACAGTTGTGGCAGACCGTCTCGAGGAGCTTCTTGATCTTGGTCAAGAAACCTGGAAAGAAAGAATAAGACGTTAGTATTCACAACCAGAAAATAGCCATGATGTTCGTCAGCAACATACCGATATGATAAACGGGAGTCGCCAGCTCAATATGTCCAAAATGTCCGGGGCATTCCTTTTGACCTTCCTCACAGGTCTCGCAATTCCATTGCCGGTCGATCGTCCCGAGGCGGGGGTCGTTGAGGCCCTTTGTGCGCGGACGTTGACGTTGTTCATCCTATTGGGCAGTTGTTTCCCGTGTTAGCGCCACCCGCGGCCGCTTTGTGTTCGAGGGAACACCATGAAAGAGGAACAAACCATCGTCTCCGGGTATTCGACATGAACCACGCTCATCCGTTTAATCTCCTCCGGTGAGAAGAGACCAAACTGGATTTCCTTGATGGTGCGCAAGGGCGCCTTGGAATATGGGAAGTAAACGTTCGCCATGATGGCGGTAGTCGCGGTGAGGTGTTCTTGAAAAGCGGGTGTGTTGCGTCGGTCGGTCGCCGACGGGAGAGGTTCGAGACGTGGTCGCGCGAAAACGTAAGATGACGCAGTCGCAGGGGTGAGAAGTCAGTTGTCCTTTGCAACTTTATCCTTCTCAACAGGGAGAAACAGCGATGAGGAAAGGGAAGTTTGAGGAGAGGGGGGAGAGAGAAAGCGAGCTGGCCGGCTGAGGCCTCTGGCAGCCCTTGCCACGAGGGCGCCTGCGACCTAGATCCACCGACTTTGCGAAAGCTCGAAGAAGGGCGAGGAGGAGAAGGTCACGATCGAGCTTGGGCGATATCTCTAAGCCGAAGAAGTGATATCGCGATGCAAAACGCGATGGTCGGGGGGTGGGAGCGATGGGAGGGAGGGCGTGTCGAAGTGATGAAAGGGAGATGAACGGACGTCAGGTTAGTCGGCGATGGGGCAACGAGTTTTCTGAGCCGCACCTCTTCGCGCTAAGCCAGCCGGGAAGGTCTTTATAACTCCCTCACGCTAATCCCAGCAAGCAGGGTATAAGCGAATCACCTTGCGTTCACTGGCGGCAGAGTGGGGTCTATCGCCCGCACTTCAAAGGGCCCTCTTCTCACCGCCTGCCACCCGCTTGCCATCTTTCTGCGTTCTGCAACTGAATAGTTGATAATATAATAATCATCTCATCCCCTCACTCCCTTCCCGTTTCTCTCCCTTCGCTGGCCTTGTGAATAGGTAACACTAGCTAAGTCGCCAGTGACAGTCCTGGATGTTCCCGCTCGCGATTCCCGCCCGGCCTTTCTCGCAGGCTGGGATCGCTGTTGACTTCTCCTTTGCATGACTTTCCAAATTCCTATCATTGGTCTTTGAGCCGCGGCTCGTTTTCAACACGATGAATCTATCCCTCATTGATCCCTTTGTCCTCGCCCAGGACTATCCGGACACACTATCGGAAAAGCTCAGTGCGTTATCCGCCTCACAACTACCACTTCAAAACGATCGCTGACTGCCTCAGGAAGCGGCCATGCGACGTGCCTACGATTCAACCGCAAAGGAGATTATTTGGCGTCCGGGCGGGTTGGTCTCCATTACCAGTTCCGTGTTTCTCGCAAGCCATGATAGTAATACTCAGACCTAGGTGGACGGCACAGTGGTCATCTTCGACGTGGAAACCAATGGGGTGGCGCGGAAACTACGCGGCCATACTCGACAGATTCAATCTTTGAGGTATGCGACATTCTGGTCTAACTGCTATCTATAGGACAAATGAGGCTAACTTGACCGGGGTTTTGATTAGTTGGTCTCGAGACGGTCGTTTTCTTCTAAGTTCCTCCCAGGACTGGAAATGTATCTTGTGGGATCTGAAAGATGGCTCCCGGGTTCGCACCGTTCGTTTCGAAGCGCCTGTATATATCGCCGAACTACATCCTTACAATCAGTATGAGGTCCTCCGCCCAACCCAGATCGCATTGTCGACTAATTCGTCACTTTGTTTAGTTTGCTCTTTGTAGCATCCCTGTTCGAAGATCAGCCCGTCCTTGTCGATGTATCCTCCTCCAAACCCGTCAAGCGCATTCTTCCTTCAGCTCCTTTCCGCCCTCCTCCGCCTAAAGGTGAGGAACTCGACGCCGCGGCTGCTGCTAAGCAAGCAGCGCAAGACGCGAAGCACTCGACATGTGTGACCATATTCACCGCCTTAGGGAACCACATCATAGCAGGGACGTCGAAGGGCTGGATCAACATCATAGAAACCCAGACGTGTACTACCATTCACTCTACTCGTCTGTGCAATGGAGTAGTGATCCTACTTCGTCTAGCAAGTAACGGTCGGGACTTGTTGGTGAACAGTTCCGATCGCGTTATACGCACCATCTTGATGCCGGATCTCTCACAGCTCGGCATCGATCTGGAACCCAGCAACATCAAACTGCAGGTGGAACACAAGTTCCAGGATGTAGTCAACCGACTAAGCTGGAATCACGTCACCTTCTCCTCAACTGGAGAATTTGTGACAGCATCAACCTTCATGAATCCCGACATCTACGTGTGGGAACGGAGCCACGGGTCTCTGGTCAAAATCCTGGAGGGTCCTCGTGAGGAGCTGGGGGTAGTAGAGTGGCATCCTGGTCGCCCGATGGTAGTAGCTTGTGGACTTGAATCCGGTTGCATCTATACGTGGTCAATAGTGACCCCCCAGAAATGGTCAGCGCTGGCGCCCGATTTCGGTGAGGTTGAGGAGAATGTGGAGTATCTCGAACGTGAGGACGAATTCGACATTCATCCCGCAGAGGAGATCCATCAGCGTCGTCTGGATCAGGAAGACGAAGTTCCTGATGTGCTCACTATCGAGCCGATCAAAAACAGCGCAGATGAAGAAATCACCTCGTTCCGGATGCCCGTCCTGCTCGATATCTCCGACAGCGAAAGCGAAGAAGAGATTATCGCAGTTGGACCAGGTACAATGCGGCGGCGCAGTCCAGGTGCAGGTCGAGAATGGATGAACACGAATAGCGAGGGAGAGAAAGATAGCGCGGCCAGCGGTAGAAATGGTACCACACGGGGCCAGAAGGGCCGGCGGCGCTAGCCGGTCCACCTTGTGCTTGGCTCCGTACTGTATCCGGTACAATGGCTCTGTTAATCTATGATTCGTCGGTCGCGCTTTTCTGTTTTGTACGTTACTATATCACAGCATGTCAGTTAGGTTGTTCTTTGGAGGTTGCTGGGCGTTTGGCGAGGAAGCGAGGATCTGGCGCTTGGTATACATACGGTGTTGATTGCTGCGGAACTCGCTCATCGAAAATATGTTGACATGGTCCGTACAGAGATTCTGTTCTCTCTTTCTCCCTTGAGGTGCTTCCTTGCACCAGGGGGATATGTAATGAGGTAAAACTCGGGTGGTGTTCTACGTGGCTCGGTCCCTAGTTGCTTCGTGGCCTTCCGTAACGAACAATAAGGGTTGGCCCGAAGGGCTTTGGTCAATGTGGAACATTGTTCCGAAGACATTCTCCGGACGCTCGGACCCTCAATTGAGCCACGGTGAGGCATTGTTGGTTGGACTAAGATCACGCCTTTGACCTCCCAGTGATCCTGTGCCATGCGTCCCATCGTGGCTCTGAGTCTTCATTGTTCTTAAGCTGGGGCTTGGGGGGGCGGCATTCGAGAAAGCTAGCACATGGAACCTTCGACATGTCTCCTGTCAGAGTTGCGTCCATCATGTGAGCCGAAGATGCGGGTACAATTAATACCCCTTGCATTCTGCATCAGACGCCCCTTGAGCGGAATTCCAGTCCCGTTGACGATTAAGGACGGGGGAGGTCAGGAAGCAAACGCTAAACTTGTAAGCCTCCGACAAGACCATCTAATGAAGCTGCTGAAACGACTCACAGTGTTGGGAGATCATTCACCTCAGTTGCGATCCAAGAATGCATGCAAAGAAAATCCAGAAGCCGTAGAGAAAGGTCGAGCCCACGCAAGCAGAAGTCCACTACACATCTTGCGAAGAGAACTTACACAGATGCTGTAGGGGATATTATACACCGCCGGACATATCGAGAACCGCACGCAAATCTCGAGGATAGGGTATATATTGGACCTAGTCCTACATTGGACATCAACACGTCATTGTTAATTAGGGGGTTTTTGCGCTTGATAAATATGTAAAAGGTTCCAGGCGTGGATATCCGGGTTGAAAGCTTCAGACTTCACCTCGTCGGAGATGCGTTTGATTTTGTCCAGTGGCCAGTGGTAGATACGGCTAAATGGCGCCAAACTTAGGGTTTCTATGCTCTCTGATATGGCCAGGTTATACCAGCGGGCGACCCTGCTCTCGTGCTTATCAGGAATCCATGGGTTCAGCGGTAAGCCCACGATTTGATGGTTGATCTGGGTGAAACCCGCTTCCTCGAGGTGCTTGATGGTTTCGTGGGAGTTGTGAGCTATTGGGTGCATTGCGTCCTGTGTTGCTTGCTTCAGGTATTGATACCAATGCCAGAAAGCCATCTTCTCCAGGGGACGGTTGTTGCAGCGTGGCTCAAAGTCGATTTCCACCTGCTCGAACCAACAACCCGGTTTCAGGTGCGCGAAAATTTTCCTGTAGAGATTTGGCCAGCCCACTACGCTGCCGCAGCCCATTTGCAGATGGATAAGATCCCAGTGATCCTCTCCCATGGCCCAGGGGGCTTCAAAGTCGAATGGTGCATAGAACTCACAGTTCCGGGGGTGATTTGGGGGCTGGATAGGCGCAAGGTCGACCCCGACCACGGTAGCATCGGGGTATTTATGTGCGACATCGATCGCCCAGATGCCAGTTCCACAGCCAAGGTCTAAGAAGCGTCCGTTTGGACGGTGCGGGGCGTAGATAAGACCGTCCGACTTTCTCGCTTCCGTGAGAAGTTTGTGGAAGATGTCGAGGCGGTCCTGCTCTTGTTCGTCGCATGGCAACATGTAGACTCCCTTGCGGAAACCATGGTATGTCCGGCCATTTTCTTCATAAAAAGCGGGTGTCTCCGAGTTCCTAGATCACGACGAACCGCGGAAAGACCGAGCTCAGGTATTAGTCACCCAATTATGGCAAGTTGAGAAAGGAAGGGGGTGTTGCGGGTGCAGACGAGTGATTGGAAGATGGATGGGGAGCTTCACTTGCTATAAGTACTACTCATACTAGGGGAGCCATTGCGATTGCCAGTCTCGCTATCAGCGGCATTCTGGTCTGCAAGCTCGCGGTCTGCGATGCCGTAAATGTCCATCGCGTCCGAGTTCTGCCTTGAGCGAGCTACCTCAGCCGGTTCCGTTGTCGGAGAAGTATAGTGGTTGCGGGAAGGAGAAGCCATGGTGGGCGATCGATGTACGGCCTGTCCGATCCCAAGCATCCAGATGAGCAGAATGAGCTGGAGAGGAGAAGAGGACGGATGGTAAAAGATAGACTTCTCTTAGGCGGTGCAGACAGCGTACTAGTGGGCAGCACCCGGAGGGTCTTGGTTAGGGGCAGCGACGGCCAGGAACAGTTGTTGTTAGCCCACCAGACGTATGTGGACTGGAATAAGAAAATATAGTTCGACGGTCAGAGTGTACATAGAGCAGTGGTGAGGAGGGCCGAGGCAGGTGGAATCAAGCCCAGAGTACCAGTATACAGAAGATCCACTGAAAGAGGGGCAGAGCGGGCGGAAGGCTGTTCGTTGACCGGAATGGATAATGAGAGAGATTGGAAGGGGTGAGGGAATTGGGAAAGGCAGAAAATGTGAAGGAAAATTTGACTAGGGAAAAACAACCAAGGACTAGTAAATCTCCAACATCCAGTCCCGCAGGCACGCACGCACGCACATGCAAAGATCGATTTAAAATCAATTTGGCCCGGACGAGCAGATTCAGACCGAAAGGAAATCGATGCCCCTCCCCGCGTAAATGAAGAGAGGTCGAGGGAGGCGGCAGCACAGTCAGAGGAAGGAGGATGAGAACCGCAACAAAGGAACAATGGAAAAGTAGCGGTCACCGGCACTGTGGTAAGGATGTGTCGAGAACCGTCACTAATGCCTGTCCGCAGCCACTATCGGGGAGGATCTAAGAGTCAAATCGTCCCGAGCGGGATGAATTGTAACGAGAATGAGGCGGGGGGAAGTAGAATAGAAGAAGAAAGAAGAATCAATAAAAAAGGGAATCGACAAGATTCAATGTTCGGGGAATCCAGATGCCGAAAAAAATAAAGGAAAGAAGAAAGTGAAAAGAGTAAATAGAAAAAAGGGTGGTGACGATGGAATGGAGATGAAGATGAGAGGAAAAGGTAAGAGAGCAAGAGAGAACAAGCACGCAAGCAAGCAAGCAAGCAAGCAACAACCCTGCCTTTAAGGTTGTTACAGCCGCTGTCTTGTCCCCGTTGGGCCCACGGGCGCGAAGGCGGGGGGGGTAAGTGGTTGGAAGGTCTGAGAATAATCACTAGAATGAAGTGACCGTTGAGAATGGATCGAATATCAGGACAGGGAAGTTTGGGCGGCTGAAATTGACATGTATTGGATCCTTCGTCTATCTTTTGCTGGGACTGGGGTCACTAGATCGTTATCGAACCGTTGTGTAGAGAGAAATGGATGATGTACAGCAAGTGTACTGGTACTAATGGCTATTAGGTACTGTACTAAGTTACTACCTATAAGTACCTACGGTAGTAGAGTAGATTATTAGATATCCATCTACCAATCTACTTACCAGTCAATCGACTCCGAACCGAGAACGATGGGCTGAGAATGTGTCGGGGCGGCCATGACTAAGAAAGCCTTGCAAGAGGCCATTGGTTACACACCAGAGTAGAGCCCCTCTGTCAACCATGGTACAGGGAGTGCTCTAGTGACTATGGGACCCGGAGAGCTTTTTTGTGCAGTTAACAAGATCCAAGTACTTAGTAGATAGTCGATGGTCTTCAGTGGCTGTATGAGCCTAGACAGTCAGCTCAGACATTAACTACGATCATCATCCTCGTACGAAAGATGCACGGTCTGTCTATCAGCCGAGCCCGGCAGAACCTCAATCTTACCTCCCCCCCCTCTCCTTTCCCCCGATCCACGGAAGAAATCTTCCTGATGGAATGCACACGGCCCTGGCAGTGTTCTATGCTCGCATGTGTATTGGCCATACCGACTAACATACTTTAGGGCCTGCCACACTGCATGCCGGTCATTCTATTTCCTTTTCTAGCCGGGACGCAGAGCCCACTGCTTTAGGCGGGTCTCTTAGCGCCTGCTTCTTTTACCATTTTTATCGACGCCCCTCCCTTTGATTATTCATACCCGCTTGGTTTTCTTTTTTACATCTTAGGAGAAGGAATATTCTTTCGGCGACAATAAGATACTTTCCATAACCTTAGGGGAGAAAACTTAAGGGCGCCAACTGTTCTCAGGGTCAACCCTGAAGGACAAACAATCCGCACCAGTAGCTGTGTCGTCGATATGCCACTCGGGTCATGCGGTGCAAGTGCTGGAATATCACAGCCAAACTCGATCTATCCATCTGCTGTGTGTGCATACTTTAAGCATGGTCAGCGCTCGCCAGTATGCTTCTCCCCTGAGCATAATTCCTGGAGAAGATTGACGAAGGATCTATGGTATCGATATTTGCCTAACGCCGGATTATTGGGGGTGTGCCATGGATAGGGGTCAGAGTTCCCAACGCTCGTCATGAAAGTATAGGATTGGGAGAGAGATGGAGTGGAAACACAGGGAAGGAAGAAAAATCGAAAGAAAAAACAAACTGGCCTAAACGGGGTGAAAACGGGAAAGGGGAGAAATTTTTCTGATAAAATAAATCAATTAAAAAAAAAAAAAAAAAAAAAAGAAAGAAAGAGAGAAAAAAGACCCCAGAGGGGGTTTCCGGAGTGCAGATGGATCGAGGAATGGAATCAATCCATCAAACCGTGGATGGGGCTTGTTCCCCTCTCCCTTCCCTTCCCCAAAGAAACTTAGCCAAAGTGACTTTCGGGCGGGATGCGGACCGTCTCCCACACTTAGGTTGAATGAAGGAAAGTTTGGAAGTCTAAGCCACTAACGCAATATCTCCGGCTATTGGTGGTGGAGTGCCAGCATTCTCAGGCCGCACGGCGTCAAGTCAGGCCGCGGTTACCAGGCCTCTGGGTGAAGGATTCGAAGCTTCGGCCGTGGCTCCCTTTCCAGCTTTCGCCCGTAGCGCCCGAGCGCGAGACGCCAATTTTCCCACTAGACGATAACTACAGGAAGGGGATTTTTTTGTTTGTTTTTTTTCTCTTCACAGATGTCAGGCAGAGTTTGCGAAGCAGCCTAGTTCACACGGCATTGCTTGCATCCGCTTCCGAGCTGGAGACCAAGGGTCGATCCCTCACCAATCTTTCAGCGAGGTTGGCTCGATTCATATTGCAGGTGGCGACTGAAAAGATAACTTACTCCGTAGATACCGGTGGTATGGTACTCTAGGCTGCTAGAGAATAGACTGGTGCTAGTTAGTCAATCAGTCAATTGGTGAATCAGTCCGATCCAACACTGTGGTCGTCTAGGGATGACGATGACGATCAGAAGGATCCTGACTCCACGCCATAGTCATGACCAAAAGTCCTGTGTGGATTTAGAGTTTTTACTGTCAGCATCTCGTCATCCTAGTGGGTTTAGTCCCGAGTAATCACAAAATGACAGGGTTCAGGTTACATCCAGTCTTTTGGAAACGAGTGGACGAGAGGCAATAAACCCTGGAAGCTTAATATGCCCACCACAGGTTCATGGACCTCGTGAACTCGCATGGCATTGCCTGACCTGCAGTCCGGGGTAGGCTGATTCTGTAGGTACAGTACATGAATCAGGGAACACCGGGAACACCGGCCGGGAAACCACTCTCGTCCTGTAGATTCGCGCAGCTACTTAAGCTCGATGCATGGCCGCCGTGTGTATGCAGGTCGCTGCTCTTGTCCTCGGTCGACAGCCCATCGTTATCCGCCCGCTTGGCGCCGGCCCCCCAGTCAGCGTCTAGGAGGGGAGACAGAGGGCGGGCGGGGGCTGAGTTGCCTTGTGACTCGATGTACATTACATGTAAGGCTAGGTTGTACTGCAAGCTCGACATCCCATGTTGATCGTTTCACCGCTTCCCAGAGTCTCGGGTCCATAATGGTGGGTTGGCTGCTGCTGCATGCGCCATGCTTGCGATGCGCTGGACGTACCGAGACTGTGTACAGTGTGCATGGCTACATGCTGGCACTGCAGCAGTACTTTCGTCCTTCTTCCCCCGCGTCTCCTCTCACTAAGCCTATTCGAGAACAACTGGTTGGTCACGCATGTCTTGAGTTTCCAATCTTTCCCATTTCCTTATCAAGCTTCTGGCATGATAGCTGTGCTGTGTCTCTTCAAAGGAACGAGTCGATGGATTGACATCCAAAGAAACTATCTGCTGACGTTAAACCCTCGAATTCCTGCAGAGGATGGACATAAGATCGTCTTGCTATTATGCATTCATGGTGGGTGGCAATTCTTGCTTGCTGCAGTGCGATCCTGGCGCGAAAGAGGGCCTCGTCTCCGCCGCGGCAATGCTTCAAGCCTCCAACTGATTAGGGTATCATGTCTGAATGGTACCACCAAGAGTAAGAACACCACGTAAGCACCCTTTCTGGTACAAACCAGAAGTTACCCAAGTGAAGTTCCCAGTTCACCTTCTCGACCATAGCAGTAGCGAGTGAGTTGCCCGATCACTCCGTCTCCACTCGAGTCGCACAGGTAATTTTCGGAGAAATTACCCCACCCATTTGACTGGATAGGAACCATGAGTCGGCTCCGGCTACAGTTACTGATGTCCGTCCTCGTAGTAGTACCACGGGAATCAAGCAAGTCACCTAGAGCTACTGGGTATTGGGTGTCATCAAGTCCCATTGCCAGACCCTGGCAGCCTCGCAGTCCCACGGCTCATGCATACATATATGAATCCAGAGTTTGGTACCATATCAGAGCCCTTGGATAAGCGCCATCTTTCCTACCTAAGACCGCCTTCAGTTTGCTTCTCCCGCCTCCGGTTGTTATCAATCACAGTGCAGGGTCCAGCAAGCGTCTCTAAAGTCTAGGCTACCGAGCCGCTGGATTGTGATCCAACCTGCTCGACCATGTTTATCATTTTTCCTCCAACAGTTCCCGTCACGACAAGTGTACTGACGGGCCTGAGCAGTCCGCACCTTCCTCTGGGCGGCAAACGGGGCTGGCTTCTTCTTCTTCCTTCTTCTTCTTCTTCTTCTTCTTCTTCTTCTTCTTCCTCTTCTTCTTCTTCTCCTTCTTCCAGTTCTCTTTATCCTCGTTGCTTCTTACCGTGTCCTCTTCTATTCACTTCTTTTATTCTTCCGTTGTTCTGCCGTCTTCGATGGCTTGGTTGCAGTACTGTACAGTAAGTTGCACAGTAGATGGGGGTTGGCATCAGCCACGATGGGTCGGGGGCCAGGCCTTTTTTTTTCCTTTTTCCACTCCCCCACCATGCTCAGCAGCACGCCTTACTCTTTACTCATGCTTGAACCCTGACTAGCCCGTCTCTTCGCTTTTATTCGGCGATATTTACCACCTGACTCGGGCAGGACTGCGTAGGAATGACGGCCATCATCTCTTTCTGTTCTCATGTATTCTCCCCCTTACTGCGTGTAGGTACGAAGATGCCAATGTCTAATACTACTTGTCTTTTGGTTGCGTCAGAGAGAGTGACCACAAGCTCTGTGCCACCTGCTCCCATGTCGACCCACGCTGTTGGTCGGAACTACAGACCAAGACTGGCCCTTTGGCTTGGAAATCCACCCGTGTCGGGGGTGATACACAGCAAAGTCTCGGCGGGCTCTTGGACTCTTGGACGCCTTATATTGTTTGTGGCTGTGCAAAGCTGTCTACCCTCATGGACTGTTATTACATGAGTACTTCAATTCGCACACATCCACACACACACACACACAAGGCGCACACGCACACATTCCGGGCAACCACCTCATTGAATTTGCAGCAGCCACCAACCCGACCGGCCTCAAGCCTGTTGGACTTATTCGTCCGCAGTCGGAAAGGAGCCTCCACTAACTCCACCAATCCACCTTACTGTCGGAACGATCCTTTGCCTGAGGATCTAATCGACCAATCCTATCGATGCTTGCTGGAAGGCCTGGGTATTGTGCACAGGGCAAGTCGGCTAAGTCATGGGTCATGGGTCTATAACAGAGTGCTCTTATGATTATGATTGATATCCTGATTACTGACGGCTTCAGGCTATGTCATGCGGGCATCGTCTGCATCTCCGTTCTCGGCTCGGGAACTAACCCACCCCTAGTCTGCAGGACCTTGCAGGCTTGATGAATAATGTCGGGCTTTGCATCCCGCCTCAGGGATTTGGGCTGCTGGCTGTCGGGGAGAAGATGTCATCATTCGTTCTTGCTGGTCTCGTGGTGGTTTGTGTGGGCTACCTGCGCTTTCTGGACTTAGCAGGAGTAGTATGGTGCCTTTATGTGGCCATGTTGGCATGGGTGCGGGGCTTGTAGACTTGCTGAATATGGCTATTTGCCTTCGCTTCGGGAGAACAGGCCAGCCATCGGTATGCTTATATTCTACAGTTTGAGGTAGAATAATATGTTGTTGCCGATAGCCTCGTAGGGTCCATCGAGGGTTTCTTTCGAGTCATCGGTTGCCCTGCACTGACTATAGCAGTGGATTCAAGTAGCCGAGTGTATGGAAAGTTAGCCTTTATGCGAGTAGCAGATAAGATTCAAGGTCGGTGTTCTCCAATTGTGAACTCGGGTGTCAGATACTAGCGGCATGGTCTTTGCATCACTGATCCCAGGTTATTGGTCGCTGCCTCTGTATTTACATGCATGCTGTAGATGCGCATGGGCAGGGTTGGTCAAGACACCATGGGCTAGTTATTATTAATCTATATAATAGCTTCGTGGGAGCTGCTCTACTCGAGGCAATGGCAGAACATACGAGTACGTGGGCAGTGGATGGCAAGCAGAATGCTCCCATTACCCACCACGGAGTATCACAGACTCCGCCAGCGGCAACAAGTATATATATGTCATCACAAAACCAAAGAACCCACGATATCACTCACGCATACACAAGTCCAAGCCCAAACAGTGAGACACCAACAAGTAGACCAATTCGCACATCCAATAAATAGAATATATACATTGGAAAAAAAAAGAAAAAAAAAGAAACACACAGAATAAAACCCCCAAAAACAGAGCCCGAAAAAAAGAGAATAGTCGCGCCCGGGATCGAACCGGGAGCCTTCTCGGCACTTGACCTAGCACTTGGAAGTGCGTCAGTCCGATGTGAACGAGAAATCATAACCATTAGACCACGCGACTGATTGTTGATTTAGGATAAATAGTTTCGGTACATATAGTCCCCATCCTTGGAAGCACCTACCACCACTTATCTAGCAGGCAGTCCCTGGGCAGGCTTATCCGCGGAAGTCAAAATAATTTTTCTCGTCGTCCTCCTCCCTGCACTCACTCCCCCTCGGGTTCGGTTTCCATCTCTACTCTACCTTACCTCCTACCTACATTCATACACATATCCAACCGGGAATAATAATCATCGATATCACCCTAACGACAAGAATAAACCCACCGAACCCACCTAATCCCACGACCAAACCAAATACCCCCAGCAAGAAATGTCCGTCTAACCCAACACCACCCACAACCACGAACCACACCTTAACCCACCTCCACCCTCCCCCCAAAACCCAACCCAAATCCAAAAAAAGAACATGGACGCCCAAGCCTACCTCCTCCGCCACGGCTGGTCCGGCCCAGGAAATCCCCTAAACCCCAACGCCCGACCCGGCGCCACCTCAGGCCTAGGACTCACGCGCCCGATCCTCGTGGCACGCCGGAAGGGCAACGCGGGCGTTGGCAACAAAACGACCAAGGACCCGACGAATCAGTGGTGGTTGCGCGGGTTCGAGGATGCGCTGAAGGGCGTGGGCGCGGAGAATAATAACCAGGCGGCGGGGGGATCGTCGCGGACGCCGAATGCCTTGACTAGTGAGCTTTATCGGTTTTTTGTTAGGGGGGAGGTCGTTCCGGGTTCTTTTGGGGAGAAATCTAAGGTTGGGGTTGAGGGGGTGAAGGATGGGAAGAAGAAGAGGAAAGAGGAGGAGACTAAAGAGGAGAGGAAGGCTAGGAAGGAGGAGCGCAAATTGCGCAAGGAAGCGAGACGTCTGAAGCGCGAGGAGAAGCTGAAGCGCAAGGCTGAACGAGAGGCGCGCAGGGCCGCCCGGAAGATCAAGCGCGAGAAGAAGGCTGCTGCGAAGTTGGTGTCCAGGAAGGAGGAGGAGGATGCGCCGCGTCCTCAGTATGAATGCGATTATCCTACGCCGCCCATGACGGAGGGCGAGCAGGAGCAGGAGCTGAAGCAGACGGAGTCGAAGCCCAGTAAAGATCGGACGGAGAAGAAGCGGAAGGAGAAGAAGGACAAGACCACATCGAAAGACTCTAAGAAGAGGAAATCACGCGAGACATCAACGGAGGACGGCGCGAAAAAGTCCAAAAAGTCGAAGACGACCTTTGAATGAATTCGGATCTTTATAGATTAGACGTGCAGATAGATACCCATGGCTTGTTGCTTGGTTCTTGGATTCGTATACATGAATGATTGTTTCTTGATTCTATACGTGATCTTCATAACTATTTCGCTTCCGCAGGCAGCTTCCCCGGCTTGCCGGACAGGATCCATGGCCGACGTTCCCAGAACTCATCCTTGATGATATCGACATGGTCGACGACCACCTGTGCCTTGCGGCGTAGTTTGCGGATCTTGTCCTGCTGTGATCGCGAGGCCGGCGCGCCGGGAACGTCCTCCTCGTCCTCCGCTTTGCTGAACTCTGACCTGGGCTTTGCGTCTTCCAGTTGATACTGCACTGCTCGTTAGATGAGAGCTCAGACAGACAAGCAAAGACAAACCATACCTGGCGATAAAGCACACTGCCCTTCTTGTAAATCTCTTCCTCATTGTTGTAGTTAATGCCAAACCGCTGGAACAGAATCTCGTTCTTATCAGATGATACGGTGCCCTGCCGCGCCACCGAGTCAGTATCACCATCGTCAGAAGCTGCTGCCCATCGACAAACCCACCTTCAGCTCCTGCTCCGCATCTGTGTTGCTCATACCGCCCTGCTGAACCATAGTCCAGAACGTCGTATTGTACAGGTTGTTAATATGACCTGCCTCGCTCATCAGAACTCGACCAGACAAAGTCAGGAGGAAGAGCCGCACTCACAATCCACCTGTCTCCAACTCATATAATCCCGGAAGATCCTCGAGTTGGGATACATGACCGCTCTCCCATCGAAAGAGGGTAGACCCCCAGGCTGCAGCGGCGTGTCTGGGAAATACGTCGCCCACAGATAGATATAATACGCCGTAAACGTAGACACGATGGTCGTGACCAGCTTGCTAGCACAATCATGAGCCTTGATGTTATTCGCCGAAGGTTAATGTAATAAGGCAACTTACGCGCTTCGCCGTTCAAAAAGCTGGCAGCTGGGGTGGAATGCAAAACTAGAAGATATAAGTCCCAAATCCACATACACCGGCGGAGAAAGCTGCGACACACCTGTACTCATCGCTGATACCGTAGGCGAGGCAGAGATCGGGGAGCTCCTTCATGACCTCTACTGCGGCGGCGTTCATCAGATCTAGAGCCCGGCGGTCGTTGGGCTTGACGAAGCCGTAGCGATCGGAGAGTCTAGAAAGATATTAGAGATCTAGGTCGTGCGACTCCTTAGAAAGTAAAGCTGCGATGTAACTGGGTAGACAGACTTGTGAAATCCTCGCCCGTCGATGCGAATGACAATCCATGTGTTGGGGAGCAACACATCGGGTTGCTCGAATGACTTGACATACTCGTATCTGTGACAGGCGTTAGCAAGGGAAACGCGACGCTAGGGACACGGGAGAGGGTACTTGGAGTTTGCCATTCTGACGTTATGTAAATGTCAGTCCTGCCTGCAAGGGTCCTGTAAAATATATTCTATGCAAGCCGCCCTGGCAAGTCAATCATGCAGCTGCGGCGGGTGAGAGATGAATGCACATGGACAGTGAGTGGGATGAAGATTCGGGTGGGGGTTTGCCGTTCCTCAATTTTATCCGCTCATCGGCAGCCCAACTGAGCCACAGATAATGGGAATATACTTTGAGAGCGTGAAAGATTTGCGCATGTAGTGCGGCTGATCTACTTGAATTCTCGCAGCCTTAATTCTGTGAAATGAATGAATAAATGATTAGGTGCATAAGGACAATTATTATGTGCAATTCATATACGCCTGGTATGAGACTGAAAAGACTGAATGATAGAAAGACCGAAAACCGGTGACCAAATCCCACAGCTTACTGCGCCGGGGAGTGTCGAAGAAAGTGAATGACAAGTGACTGACTGACTAGAGTATCTATGGATAAGAAATATGAGAGAATGACTGCTGCAACACGGCAGTATGTATCAAGGATGAACAGCCTCCTCCCCCTCTGAATCTTCATCTGCCTCGCTGGCCTGTTCACTGGGGCGCTCGCTCGTCTCGCTCGCAGCAGACTTCCTGGACATGCGACTGAAGAACCCGAGACTACTGCGGGTCGATCTATCTGCAGACGGTGCGCTCGACACGGTACTATCAATACTCTTGGCAAGCAACGCCTCCCCGTGAGCGTCCTCGTCAATGTCTCCCTGCGCAGTATCACCCCGCTTGGAGAAAAGACCAGACCGATCCTTCCACGAACTGAATTTACTCGAGCTCCCTTTGCGGGTGATCTTGCGGATGAACGACTCCTTTGAGCTGGCATTATCCAAAGAACCAGTGGAAAGCACGCGCTCCAGTGACTCATAAGAATCACCGGTGAGGACAGACAGCGAACGCGAGTCCCGCGAAGCGCGCGACTCCGAGGGAGAACCCTCATCCATGGGAAAATCAAAGGGGGCCTCCAACTCGCGATCTTTGCCCTTCTCTTTTTCCTTGCCCTTATCCGACTTCTTCCCTGAGAAGATAGCCTTGAATGAAGGCGCTGCAGGGTTCAACTTAGGAGTCACAGGTCGGTGTGAAGATGATGGCCTGGTACCAATTGGAGCCTGCAACGGACGTCCTTGTCTCTCAAACGCTGAGTCTTGAGGAAAATCGGGCTCGCCGGTCAGGCTCAGAGGCAAATGACCAGAAGATCCGTACTGAATGGATGGTCGACGAGATTGGACCCTAGACCAAGTCGAGGGGGATGCCCAATCAAACCCCAAGGGACTTCGGTGGCCTGGCTTCTCGGCTGAGGGCCAGCCAAAGTGCCTGTTGTCCGTCGAGGGATGGGGAAGTTGATTGTCGAAGGAGAAGGTTGAAGACGGCCTCGGAGACAATGATTCTCGCCGCACTTTCCCAAGAATCGTAGCAGGATCAATGGGATCATGCCGGGGGCTGAACTGGTTGTACCCCGTGCTGAGATCCGCACTCTCGCCGGACTTGAGCAAGCTGTTACCACTGCCAAAGCCAAACCTACTGGGAGAAAAGATACTCGAGAATGCCGTGCGGCGCGATGGGTGGTGATCAGAAGAGCTATCCGTCGTGGCACCGGCTGTGTTGCTTCGAGGGAACAATGACATCGGATTCGCCCAGTTGCCTGTATAGCTCAGCCGACGACGTCTAGCACCGATGGGGTCCATCTCGTCCAAATTACGGGGGAATGACTGACTCTGTCCCGGTTTCAAGCTGCCCAGCAAAGGCGGTTCATCGGCAAGAGTTTTACCGCGAGGACGATGAAAGCTAAAGAGACCAGAAAGTCGCCGCGAAGCACTCTTGGGCGCTTCACCCACTTCTCCCAGATTGGCGGATTGCGGGTCTGCCTCTCGAGAATGAGGTTGGCTTTCATGCGGGCTGGGGAAGAGGCTTGCTGGACGACTGTTGTTGGGTGAATCTGGTGACGGTGGGCCATGAGGAAAGTCGAGTTGGGTGCCAGGCTGCTCAAGGTTGGGAAACCGGGATCGAATGACTGGGCGAGGAAGTTCAGGCGACTCCTCATCCCCAAGGAGATCCGAAGGGAGTAGGGCGTCTGCACGGGGACTCATCTGAGGGGCACCGAGAGAGATCTGATCTGCTGAATAGCCATGGAGCGAGTCAGATTGACTTGTCAGACTCGGCAGAGTCATCCCGTTTGTAATATTGAAGAAAGCAGAAGCTGGTCCAAAGGTAGGGGAGCTGGTGACGGGAGGGTTGTAGCTGAGGCTGCTGGAGAATGTCGGTTCCAAGGACGTATAATTCATAGGCGAAGAGACATTGCTAGTAAGCGAGCTGCGATGCCGGCGTGGACGGATGGTTGCAGTATTCGAGACATCCGCATCGAGAGCTGGGAGAGTGAAGGGCCCTGTGCTGCCGCTCCGCTGGGTGGTAAGCCATTTCAAGCGTTCCTGTGCTTCTTGATATTGTTGCTGGGCCTAGAGCGAACGGTCAGTGTGCGTGGTAGCAGAATGGCGCCTTTGGCATACTCACCTGGGCATGAAGGCTGACTAGGGTGGCATAGCGAGCATGGAGATTGCTCAATTTGACGTCCCATTGGCGTGCTCGCTCGTTATCGATCCGGTCCAATTCCTTCCCATCTTCACTGTCGGCTTCCTCATGAGACTTCCTCTCATCCTCGAGTTTCTTGACACGCCCGCCCTTGTCCTGGATCTCGTCATCGATGACTTTCATCTCCGATTGCTCCTTGCTGATCTTCTCCCGAATCTCGTCCGCGCGCTGTTTCCCTTCTTCTTCCACTCGGGCCTTCTCCTCCTTCGACTCGGTAGCTTCGCGAGCCATGCTCTCAATTTGCTCCTGCCATCGAACAATGTCGGCCTTCCGCTTCTTTCGCTCGGACTCTTTCTGCTGCAGGAGCCTTTCCCGCTTCGCCTTTTCACTTTGCACGGTGCGGTTGACACTTTCCAACTTGTAGACATGTTTCTTCAGGTCGCCGCTCGCTTCGTCCTTCTCTTTCACTCGCTTCTTCAATTCATCACGCTGTTTCTCGAGTTCTTTCAGAAGCGCGATGTGCTCTTCCTCCTCCTCGGCGGTCTGTTTCTCCACGGTTTCATTTTCCTGCTGCAGGGACTTCAACCGATCGGCAAGCTGCTCTAGAGTTTCATCGTGATCGTCATTGGTGGTGCTTTTCTGCGATTCCTCTGCAGTGCTGTGGGTGACGTCAGTAGTGCTCGCCGCTGGTGATGACTTCCGCCCGGCCGTTGATCGCTTCGCTTGGAGTTGTCCTCCGCTATGCTCACGAGCCATGACAGGTGCCGCGGGAGCGGTCAGACCGGCAGTCGACCGAGGAATCGAAGCCCGGATGGTAGGATTTCCGACCGGCGCATTTTGCTGTGACTGGGACAGAGGTAGAGATTTCGTGCGCACATGGATGATCGCGCTGGGTGTCTGAAAGTTGGCGGCACTGACTGAGAGGACACAAATATGGTAGATGCTTCCGGGGGCTAGATTCAAGATTTCGACAGCAGTCTCCGCTCGTTTCGATTCACCCACTGTCAATATGTTAGCGTTTCCAGAGAATGGGGATGGCAGAGATCGGTTTGGATGCGCTTTGCGAGCTTTGCGAGAACTACCTTTGACACCGTTTAGTTGAATAATATGCTTGTGGATAGAGTTGTGGAACTCTGGCTGTTTCCAGGCTATCCGAATCTCACGCGCAGTGATTTCCTCCAAAGTAACTTCTGGTGGCGGCGGGATGTCGAGCCCCAGCTTTTCCACCAGAACTTCATTGGGTGTCTGACAGACCTGCCATGCACGGTAGAGCAGCCTTATGACAAGATTAGCCCACCCGACGCGACATTTGGGGCGTATTGAAGGGAGATTCTCACCATATTAATGCCCATAGAATAGTGACAGCTAGGAAGAGAGCCATGACGCCTCGTACCCTGACTCGAGGAACCACGCTGGGGTAGGCGTCGAAGGAGAGATGCAATGGCTCATACATCCCAGCGTCCACGACCCATGGAGAAGGGGACAGGAAGTGAGGGATGATAGCGACCTCGTGTAATCTAGGATTGCAGGAGGGCCGTGGAAACGAGGGTCGAGAAAGGACCTGCAATGCCGGGCAGGATTGAAGCAGAGATAGAGAGAGAGAGAGAGAGAGAGAGATCCTTTGGGGAATTAATCCGATGCTCCGCGGAGGCTGCCGACCCGGTGGGGAGTGTACTCACGTGACTATACCCTTAGGCTGCCTCAGAAAGCTGAGTCAGCGAGTTGCAGATCCTGAGCGACGGTCTAGGCATCTGAATGGGGAGTAGCGGCCGTTCCAAGCCGAGGAAGGAACTTGAGATGAGTGAGCGGGAAGCACATGACGGCGACCGGTTGGGCTGTTGAGCCTCTCCCAACAATTGAAGTGCAGTGCCTGCTCCGGAACTGATCGGTTCTCTCCAGTTTTCTAATTCTCTCTCCCTTTGGCTTCATCTTTCAAGTTTCTCACATTCTTTGCTTGCTTGTCTGTCCGCCAGGTCACACAGGTATCCCTCGTTTGATTTCAGTCTCTGTCAGATGTTCTAGTCGGACGTTGCGAGTGACCACTATCTCTCGTTATCATTACTACTTTACTACGTATTGTCTCCCGCCTCGGGGCATGTCTATCGGGCATTGTCACATGGGCCGTACGTATGTAGGCGGCAATCCCTGCACCCCCGGCCTCTGACCACCACCAACTCCGAACCCCTCTCCTATTTCCTCCCGTGGTGCGATTCTGAAATAGAGCTTCCTCGATCGATTTCTCTCGAATTATCTCGACCCTTTGCCAGGGACATTCCCTGTTGAGCCTGCAGGATGCAATACGTCCGCAGCATCAGCGGTTCCGTCTCGAAGACGTGGAACTCCATCAACCCAGCCACCCTAAGCGGGGCAATTGATGTAATCGTGATCGAGCAGGAGGATGGTGGGATGCCTACTCCCGGAGTGCATTAGGATAATTCACTAATGGTAAATCGCCGCAGGAACCTTGGCTTGTTCACCATTCCACGTTCGTTTCGGCAAGTTCTCTCTCCTCCGCCCGTACGAGAAGAAGGTACCGCTAGCCCACCTCTATCGTCCGGTATTCATAGCTAAGATGCTGCAAGGTGGAATTTTCCGTGAATGGCTTTAAACAAGACTATGCGATGAAGCTGGGTGAGGGCGGGGAGGCTTTTTTCGTTTTCGAAACCACCGCCGAGATCCCCGCCTCGCTCCAGACGTCACCTTTAGTCTCGCCCACCAGCAGTCCTAAAATGCGCAGCGAAGAAAATCTCCCCTCTTCCTTGTCAGAACCGGAGTATCTCGACCTCGATCGATCTCCGTCACCATCCGAAAATCAAGTCGATGGGAAACCATCGGCCGAAATCCCTATCTTGTCTAGGGGGATGCGGGCATCCAGTGACCTGGGTATGTGAGTAGGATCTAGTGTTTGGACTTAGGCTCATGACTTCATAGGTACTATCACACCTCTTTCCCGATCGCCAGATGACTCGAGTATGGGCCGGTCCCGCCATGGCTCATTTAGCGAGGGACCAGTCAAGATTGACAGAATGGCCACCGATAGCGTGCTGTTAACGAAGAACCGATCCAATAGCATTGGTGCTACGCATCAATTGTACGCAGCGAATGCCCCGGGCGAAGAGAACACCCGGGATGGCCGATCCCGCAGCCCCACACCATTGTCGCCCGAGGAAGTGATGTCTCGCGCTGTGTCGCTGTCGAAGAAGCTGTCCGGGTCGAACATTCCCTCTCGCGTGACAGAGACCGGAGACTTGATGCTGGATATGACGGGCTACAAGAGTAGCGAGGAAGACGCGCTGCGGGCGGAGGTCATTGCGCGGAAGATTCTCGCCGAAGAATTGGAGGGCAACTATGACATCGGGGCCCTGATCGGTGCAGACGAGCACGGCAATCTGTGGATATATAGCAGTGAAGAGGCTAAGGAAGCGGCAGATCGTCGGGCTACGTTCAATACTATGCGACCGGGTTCGGCCATGAGCGAAAATGCGATCTCTGACCCTGGGTACCATAGCGACAGTGATCCATCTATCCATGATAAGGCAGTGACGGCGCGTCACTATCGGACGCAATCCGACGTCCAGCCCGGCTTCCCTACACCACCACAGTCACCTACTCAAGATTCACTTGCCCTGGAACCCACGCGCAACTATGCGAAGACGTTACGTCTGACTAGCGACCAGCTGAAGGCCCTGAAGCTGAAGCCTGGGCCTAACAACATGTCGTTCAGCGTGAACCGAGCCACCTGCACGGCCAATATGTTTCTGTGGAACGGAAACACGCCTATTGTGATCTCCGACATTGATGGGACCATCACGAAGTATGTGTTCTATCTGTGCTATCCTCTTCACCCCGACTAATATCTATAGGTCTGATGCATTGGGTCATGTGCTGAACATGATTGGACGAGACTGGACACATGCTGGCGTGGCCAAGCTGTACACGGACATCGTCAACAATGGGTACAACATCATGTACCTTACCAGCCGGTCCGTCGGCCAGGCTGACATTACCCGCGGCTATCTCCACGGAGTATGCCAGGATGGGTACCGATTGCCCAAAGGCCCAGTCATTATGAGCCCGGACCGCACCATGGCGGCACTTCGACGCGAGATTTATCTTAGGAAGCCCGAGGTCTTCAAGATGGCGTGCTTGCGAGACATCCTTAACCTGTTCAACGGCAAGGAGAACCCGTTCTACGCTGGGTTCGGCAACCGTCTGACCGACGCGTTGAGCTATCGCTCGGTGAATATCCCTTCTACACGAATTTTCACGATCAACTCGAATACGGAGGTCTCCCTCGACCTTCTCAGTTTGAACAAATACAAGAGCAGCTACGTCTCAATGGGAGAGCTGCTTGATCACTTCTTTCCGCCGGTCAGTTTGCTGGTTCAGGCTGGTGGCGAGGAATACACCGATTTCACGTATTGGCGTGAGCCCCCGCCAGATCTTGAAGCATTTTCATGTACAGACAGCGAAGCTGAAGACGAGGAGCCAGACGAGGACGACGAAGAAGAAGAAGAGGAGGAGGAGGACGAAGAGGATGAAGAAATTGAAGAAGACGAAGAGTACGACGGCGAGCTCAGCGACGAGGATGGCAGCGAAGCTCTAGACGAGGACGAAGTCGACGAAGAGGAGGAAGACCTTGGCGCCAGTTATATCTCACAGGACTCTGTGGACGGTTCTGAACTGGCGGAGGAGCAGGACGTTCTTCCTGACGAGAAGGAGTTGGAGGTCGCCAGTGGAACTCGGCGATCCCCTCCGGGATCTCCCCCGCGTTGAAGCTGCCACCAAGCTTGGTTGTTGCATTGGCGGACAATGATTAGCGTGGCTCGCGCTCGATACCCCGTCTGGAGACGATTGTCGCCGATGTTTCAAGAACCGGTGGCATAGATAGAGCTTGCATGGGGGTGTTTGTTTATAGAGTAGCATCGCGGCATCGCAAAGACGCATAGCCATAGTTATATATGTTAATACACTGCATGGAGTATCACTGGGACGCGCGTAAGCGCGGAACCCTACCTGTATCCATGATGCTAGGTCATATACTAGATACCTTGAAAGACTCCTGAATCACGTTCTGATTGGCGGATGGCTATAGACTTGACAAAATGATTCGCTGTAAGTAGTCTTGGTGAAGCTGTATTATGAGATCTGTATATCATCCATGATATTGACTGTACCTAGAGTCAACCGAAACAGTTTATGGAGTATTTATAGTTCTAACAAGGAGCTGGATATGAGGATTAATATGCACATGTAACACTGATTATGAGCAAGTAGACGACAACAATATGTGGACTCAGAATGTTTGCACTTTCTAGCTAGTGTTTCTACCTGAATTCTGAGACACGGAGATACATCTAGCGAACGAATAGTATTTGTATTCATCATTGTCCGGCAGAAGAAAAGAACAGGGTTGGAGTAGAAGAAGGAGAAGAAGAAGAAGAAGAAAAGAAAAGGAGAGAAGAAGAAGAAGAAGAAGAAGAAGAAGAAGAAGAAGAAGAGAGAGCCTTAAAAGTTGACTGAAGAAGCAATCCATTCCGGTAGCCGCAACATCATGGCGTCAGATTACAATCGAGGGGTATAGTTACCTAGTATATGATGGTGTTGTGAAGCCTGGGCCCGGGGGTGATTTGCCGACGACCGGACGGGGACTAGCGCGGCGGGAAGAATCCCGCCCAGTCAGTTCCAGATTCAATTCAATCCAATCCTCATCCATCCATCCATCATCTCTCCACCTTGATCACAAGACTTGATCCGGAGCTGTTATACGATCCGGAAAGATAATGCTCACGAGTAACAATTGAAGGCCGCTTCACTTCTACCTCACCCCTATCAACACCGAATCCGCAAGGCGGTGGACGACCACCTCCGCGAGCTCCTCCCTCCGCCTACCTACAGCAGCGCGATCGCATAAATCAACCTCACGCCGTCTCGCATCAGTATAAGCCCTCCAAAATGGCCTCACCATCGCATCCATCCAACCCCGTCCCAACATCAACAACAAACCACCCGATGACGCCCCCAGCAGACCACCCGCAATCCACCCCGAGCGCGCCCAACATGAACACGACCACTACCACGACAAACACCACCACCACCAGCAACCCAACGAACCCCAACCCGAACGCAAACACAACCTCAACACCCTTACCACCGAATCAACCAACACAAATCCCCTCGACCTCACTAAAAGACACGGGCAAATCGCGGCGGCCGCGCGACGTGCGCCTGATCCACATGCTGCTTGCCAGCCTGGGCGTGACAGCGTACCAGGAGCGGGTGCCGCTGCAGCTACTGGATTTCGCATACCGGTACACGTCGAGCGTGCTGCAGGACGCCGTGCATCTGGCGACGGAGGGGTACGCGGGCGCGACGACGGACGCCGGCGCGGCGGCCCGCGGCCCGCTCGAGGTCAACAGCGTCAGTCTGCCGGCGCTGCGGCTCAGTATTGCTTCCCGTCTGCATTACCAGTTCCAGCCTGGTCTGCCGAAGGAGTTTCTGATGGATGTCGCGGCTGAGCGTAACCGTGTTGCGCTGCCGGGTGCGAGCCGTGGCTTTGATCAGCAGGGGAACTCTAAGGTCGTGGCCGGTAGCCAGGGGAGTGTTTTGCTCGGTGGGATGCGGTTGCCGCCTGAGAGGTTTTGTCTGACGGGCAATGGGTGGAATATGCGCGAGGAGTGGGAGAGTGAGGGTGAGGAGGAGGAAGAGGTCGAGGTGCAGCCGGATTTCGGGGGCGATGGGGCTGGTAGGGAGAATGGGGTTGTGCCGAAGAGGGAGGATGGAGATGAGGGTGAGGATGATGAGGATGAGGATGGGAAGATGGAGGATGTGTTTGGCGAGGATACGGCCATGGGCGAGGGCGACGAGGATGGCGATAAGGATATGACGGATGTTTAGGTCGATTGCTGGGCGTTTTAAGGCGCATCGGCGTGGGGGAAATAGTATACATATTACCAGGGAATCTTGAATAGGGGAGAAGACTGCAGGTTTCTATCGATATTCCCATATCTATAATCATGACCACCTCCTCATAACTCAACACCTCAGCCCTCACTCACATACTATACAATAATCCAAGACATGCTACCCAACATCAAACAAGAAAGGAAAAAAGGAGACATAAACGCCATTTATCATACAAACATACCCAAACAAACAAGCATTGGAAAAGTATCAACGCCCACATCCGCACAATGACAACCGATCAGAACGAGCATGCCACAAGCTCAAGCTCAACCCCCGGACCCCCATCACCCCTAACCAATACAACTCCCCCCCGGCTCCCCCTCCGTACCCAAGAAGGCCCAGGGAAAGGAAATCATTGACCCCTCCGCTTCTTCTCCTCCTCCTCCGCCCGCTGCCGCCGCCGCTCCTCATCCGCCCGCATCATCTGGATGACCTGCGCCCGCCGCTCCTCAACGGCATCCAGCTTGGCCTGGTGCTCGCGCTTCCGCTCCTCGTGCGTCGCGAACCACTCCTCCCGCGCCCGGTCCTCCTCCTCCGGCTTCGCGTGCGCCACCATGCACCCGTTCATCGCTAGGCGCTGCTCCCTGCACACCCACGTCGCCGTTACGGTGCGGTTTACGGCGCATTCGGCGAAGGCTGGCCGGTAGATTAGTTGAAGGTTAGTCTGGTTTCAATTGGATGGTTTGGGTTGGGTTGGTTTGGGGATCTGTGTGGGGGAGGGGGCTGAGGGTAGGCTTGGATTGGGGGTGAACTTGGGTTGTTCAATTGGTGTGGGATGGTCTTCGCTATCGGTGGGAATTGAATTGGATAGATGGGTTGTGTGTCTGAGGTAGAATGATGAGGAGAGCTTGGTGACAGGGCTGGTACCTTTGATCTCGGCGGCGCAGTGGCCTCGCACGCGCTTGTAGTATAATTGCTTGACTTCGGCTTCTTGCGAGGCGGAGAGCGGGAGCGGGTTGCGGAGGTTGTATTTTGAGGCGCTCATGGTGATTCGGACTTCGGGCTCTTGGAAAGGAAAAAGTATGAGGTTGGTAGTGAGGATGAGGGTGAGGTTGTGCTGTAGGTTGCAGGTAGTAGTAGTAGTAGGAGGGTGGTCGATCAATGGGTTGATTGTTCGTGTGCCCGTCAGTGCAACTGCAAGTGGAGGTGTGTGTCAGTCGGTCAATCGGTCGGTGGTCGGGCGAATTCAGGTGGAATTGCTGATTCAACACAGAAGAAACTCGTCAATGCTCAATCAACCAAAATATAGTGAAACAGGCGCGAAAGCTATAACCATCCAAGCAACATGGAACATCCGGAGAGCAGCTCGGAGCTTGGATGCGATGCGGACAAAGTTCAAACCGGGTGGACTGATACCAAAACGGTTTAGTGTATTGATCCCTCCCTCCGTGCCTCAGTCACTCACTCCGCCCGCCGCCGAACTTTTTTGACCGGCCAAGAATTTATGCTCCCCCCGGTCTCCATCATTACTTCCAGTCTTCCACACAAACTCCTTTTACCCGCAATTCTTACACCTCACACATCCTGAAGCCCTCATTTCGAATTTCAAGTAAACCCACCACGGGTTAACTCCCTCAAGATGTCGACCATGCGCAACGCCGTGCAACGGCGCAACCACCGCGAGCGAGGCCAACTCCAAGGCCGCGAAAAATGGGGTATCCTTGAAAAGCACAAGGTAAAAACCTCTCCACCCTGTTATAATATACTATTTCGTCAATGAGATCAATACTAATCCCCGCTTTTCCTAAACTGACAGGACTACTCCCTCCGCGCAAAAGACTACAACGCCAAAAAAGCCAAGCTCAAGCGCCTTCAGGAAAAGGTCCGCGATCGCAATCCCGATGAATTCAACTTCGGCATGATGTCCAGCCACTCGGCGCGCCAGGGGCGTCATGGCGCGGGCGTGCGTGATTCGGCCGAGGCACGCGGGTTGGGCCACGATGCGATCAAGTTGCTCAAGACGCAGGATGCCGGGTATCTTCGGACGGTTGGGGAGCGGATTCGCCGGCAGTTGGAGAAGTTGGAGGAGGAGGTGAAGGTGCAGGAGGGGATCAAGGAGGCGCTTGGGGAGAAAGACGAAAAGAAGAAGGTGAAAAAGGATAACGATGGGGGCTTTGACGATGATATGGATTTTGATTTTGATTCTGAGGACGAGGAGGATGAGGATGATGCTGGTTCGGGGCGGAAGTCGAGGAAGGTGGTTTTTGCGGATGATCGGGATGAACAGAAGGAATTAAAGAGGGAGAGGGAGTTACGGTTGGAAGATGAGGACGATGACGACGAGGACGATGATGAGGACGATGACTCGTTCGGTCAGCGCAAGAAGCAACAGCAGAAGAAATCGCGGAAGCAGATCGAGGCGGAGCGTCTGGCTCTGGTCGAGGCGAGGCGCGCTCGCAAGATGAAGAAGCGCGCGATCGAAGCCAGAGAGAACAAGATCAAGGCGCTGCAGAAGCAGTACAAGGAGATCACAGCCGCCGAGCGCGAGCTGGACTGGCAGCGTGGCCGCATGGACAATGTCGTCGGAGGCACGAATAAGAATGGCGTCAAGTGGAAGATCCGCGAGCGCAAGCGGTAATCGCTGTGCGTCTGTTCAATCGCTGCTACATGATTGATGATTTACATCGCTTGCTTCCACTGCATGGGTTGGGTTCGGAAAAGTTGCCCCATTTTTGTTCTCTTCTTCGAGTGGGTTTTTAGATCGCCAGGCGTCCGAGATACCAAATGTTCTTCATATTGTACATTGATTGTCACAAGGAAATCATACTTTTCTGATTGGCTATGCTTGCATTAAATACGCATCAACGTCAAATCGTAACCACCTGCTAAAGAAAGGAAAAAACATCAAGGATTCGTCATCAGATTACTGCTGCTGCTGCTTCTTCATGTGCGCAACGCGGATGCTCACAGCCCGCTTGTGCGCATCCAAACCTTCAACCGCAGCCAACCGCTCAACCGTGCGAGACAGGCCCAGCAAGCCCTCAGCAGTCAGGTTCGAGCTGGTGATGTGCTTGAGGAAGGACCCGAGGTTCACACCGGAGTACTGCTTGGCATATCCGTAGGTAGCTACGAAGGGTTAGCCATTGCTTTTCCATGATAGAAGGGATAACTTACGAAGTGAGTGGTTCGTGCCTGCGGAGTAGTCACCCACACTCTCGGGGGACCACTGCCCGACGAACACACTGCCGGCGTTCTTCACAGTAGCGACAGCGGCCTCGGCGTTCTGGATCTGCAGGATCAGGTGCTCCGGAGCGTATTCGTTGCTGAGAGCCATAGCCTCGGCCAGGTCACGCACAACGAAGGTGACAGAGTGGGCGAGTGAGCCCTTGACAATGTCCACGCGAGGGAGAGCCTTGGCCTGAACATCTACCTCCTTCTCAATAGCCTGGAGCTGCTCTTCGTTCAGATCAATCGCAATGAGGATGACCTGAGAGTCCACACCGTGTTCGGCCTGACTGAGAAGATCGGAGGCCACAAAAGCCGGATTGGCATCCTTGTCCGCAATCACCAACACCTCGCTAGGACCGGCCGGCATGTCAATGCTGACACCGGCGGAGGTGTCGTTGGAGACCAGCATCTTGGCAGCGGTGACAAACTGGTTGCCAGGACCCAAGATCTTGTCTACCTTGCTGACGCTTTCGGTACCGTACGCCATAGCCGCCACCGCCTGGGCACCACCAGCCAGCACGATGCTCTCCGCACCGACCTTGTGAGCGACATAGACAATCTCGGGAGAGATGCTGCCGTCAGCACGAGGAGGAGAGGCGAGAACAATCTTCTCACAGCCAGCCACCATAGCAGGAACACCCAGCATCATGGCCGTGGACGGCAGGACGGCCGTGCCACCGGGGATGTAGAGACCGACCCGTTCAATGGGGCGTGAGAAACGAGAGCACACAACACCCGGCATGGTCTCAACCTTGAGGCCTTCGGGGTTGCCCTTCTGAGCGCTGTGGAACTTCTGGATGTTGGCAATACTGATGTCGATGGCCTCCTGGGTCTCGGGAGACAGCTTCATCAACTCAGGTGCGAACGGGGCACGGATGACCGGAGAGGTCAGGGAAGTGGCCTTCTCAAACTTGTGGGTGTACTTGAGCACGCCAGCATCGCCGTTCTCGCGGACATCCTGGATGATGGGGCGAACAAGAGCGACAATCGCATCGTTGGACTTCTGGGAAGGGCGCTTGAGGTATTCCTTCACCACGTCGACCGGAGTGGAGGCAGTAACCACACGAGTCATCTGGAGAGGCTCGTCCGCCTTCTTAGCAGCCGGTTCGGGGGCAGCAGGCTTCGATTCGGGAGTGGCGGTGGTCAAACCTGCCTTCTCCGCCCAAGGGCCCTTGGCATCACCCTTTCTGCGCTTGACCTTCAAGCTCTTGAGGTCCAGGTTTCGCTCTACGTCCTCGAGGCTGACACCAGCGGCAACACAGCGAGTCAGAGCAAAGTAGAGTAGATCGGCAGCCTCAAAAGCAATCTCCTCCTTGGTGTTGGCACGGCACAGCTCATCAGCCTCCTCCATGATCTTGGCTTGAGTGAGCTTGGGCTCGTTAAAAAGACGTGCAGTGTAGGATCCGGCGGGAGCATCAGCCTTGCGGGCTTGCAAAGTCTTCTGCAGACGGGAGAGGCCGTTGTACGGTCCGAAACAGCTGGGGGCTCCAAGGTGACAGAAACCTAACTCATGATTAGTCGAAAACCATTGAAAGAAATGGTATGAATTGGCTCACCTCTACCGATCTGGTTAACAACGAAGACCAAGCAGTCGCTGTCGCAATCGAACCCGACTCGGATCAGTTCCTGCACATCGCCGCTAGACTGACCCTTGTACCACAAGCCACGCTTGCGGCTTTGGTAGACGCCGGTACCGGTGCGAAGAGCCTCTGCGATACTTTCGTTGCTACTCCAGACCAATCCCAAGCAGATACCTCTCTCATCGGTGACGGTAGTTGCGTAAAGGCCGTTGCTCTGGTCGGTCACAGCGCGGGCAGCGACCAATGAGGCCGCGACGATCTTGCCGTTGGGTTGTTGATGGTCGAAGGTCAGAGCGTCGGCGGGCACGACACTGACACCGCCTTGGCTCATTGTGTCCTTCAACGCCTCCTCGGTGACAGCGCCAGAGTATGTGCGGAAAAGGTTCTGAGCCTCGAGGTTCATGTTCAGCTGCTCCGCCAGAGACTTGATGGCGGAGGCATCAGTCGATAAACTGGCCTCTTGGCGCTCGGCGGATCTGCCAACCCACGATTGGAAGGCATTGATCTGACCCTCGGAGGCAATGGCGACAATCCTGGAGGAGGGGACGGACTGTTCTTCCGACAGAGCAGTCAATTGGTTCAGTGTGACGAAGATCTTGGCGGCACCGGCGTTGAGAATGTCAACCAGGTCACCGGAGGAGGCAATGGCGGTGGCATCGACGTAGACATCAAGCAGACGAAAGTTGCGCTTAAGGAATTCCTCTGCCTGAGCAAGACTGGATACCTTGATGAGAACGCGACCAAAGTAGGCGATCTGCTTGAGCGACAAGCCGCCGGTGGAGGGGGCGGCGGGGTCGTAGGAGACGAGGAGGGGAGTCGACATGGCGCGATAATTCAATTCAATTGATTAATACAGAGCGAGAGGAAGTAGCAGAAGACGGTAGGCGACGCCCCAGCACCGGGGAGAGAGGAAGACAAGGAGAGTGAGGAGGAAAGAGAAGGTGGAGAGGGAGAAGAAGAAGAACCAAGAGGAAGATAGTATGACTAGATGGTATGAATCATATTCCTCCCGCCGCCGCTTCTCGAATAATTCTTTCCTGCCCCGCAATCGGAGCCAGCCGCGGGTGGTGCAACGAGGTTGACCGCCTACTGGACTGGGACAACCCGGGGAGGAGCCATTGCTTGTGTGACCGCCTACTCTATATGGATAACAGGCCAGGGACTCACTCACATCCAAGCCTTGTTAGATTACATCAGGGTTGAAATCACTTTCTTTGTACTATTCTTCAACAAGAACAGCCTCTTAGCCTAAATACAAACGCAGCCATGGCCCTGTCCCAAGAAATCTTGCTTAGAGCCTTGGAACTGTGCCTGACCGGGCCAACTTAATATCAGGGCTCAATAACCTTGTCCGTCCTTCCCCCTCATTTACTCCATTGGGGTGTTGAAGACGGAACCCCCTGACTATAGTGACAATCTGGCTAAGGATTGTCGGCTTAAGCTCCGTTCTCTCACTCTCAGGGCTCTTACTCAGTCTTTCCCCCGAATGCTCCTGCCGATCATTTCCACCCATTGAGGGGAAATGCGATCATATGCTTTCCATTCGCATCACCTGCTCGACAGGCTGGCTGACCTGCCCAAGTGATGTCTCCAGAAGCACACTCAATCCGAGGCCATGAGGTCCCATTTGACCTCTGACCTGTCACACCTCCAGGGTCTGGTCTGGTGCCTGGACTCTGGATGAACAAAAGGAAGAATTATCCAGACTGATCCGGTCCAAACTGGAATCCACCCTTGCAGCGCGATGCATAGCATAGACGGTGGAGGCCCCTGCAGTCACCAATCGCGCTCCCCAGATCGGCGAGGAATGGACCACCTGCTGGCCATGATGTATCCTTTCGCTCCCTATGCATGCCTCCTGCTCCTTCAGGTCCAGGCTCCTTCTTCCTTTAACTCCCTAACCTATTCTCCACCCACACTCTCTTCCCTCTCCCCTCTTTTCCCCATCCTCATCGCCGACAATTAGCACCGGATCGCGGGATCTAGTGCGTGCGCTCGTTATTTATACCCGGTCTTCTCTCCCCTCCGCCTGTTTTTCCTCAGGCTGTCGCTCTTTGGGTTTGTTTCTGCCAACTAGTGCAGAGCCCATTCGTTGTCCATCATTTTCTTTGTGCTGCCCTTGTGTCACTCTCTCACCGGGGCCATGCATTTCTCCTCACTCTCTTTGTCGCTGACGGCGTTGACCCTCGTCAGCCCTTGTACGGCCTTTCCGCAAACCCGATTTGGCCAGCCCGTCCTGCGCACTGAAGCCAATACCCAATCGCGCGCCGACGCCGTCAAAGAGGCCTTTTCCCACGCTTGGGATGGCTACTACCGATATGCCTTCCCTCACGACGAGCTGCACCCCATCTCCAATGGCTATGGGGATTCCCGCAACGGATGGGGAGCGTCCGCAGTGGATGCTCTTTCAACTGCGGTGATTATGCGCAATGTGACCATTGTCAATCAAATCCTCGATCATGTAGCAAAAATTGACTACTCGAGCACCAGCGACACGGTCAGCCTGTTCGAGACCACCATCCGCTACCTTGGCGGCATGCTGTCAGGCTATGACTTGTTGAAGGGTCCTGCCGCCGATCTGGTGCATAATTCGTCCAAAGTCGAGACTTTGCTCACCCAGTCCAAGGCTCTGGGCGACGTACTCAAGTTTGCTTTTGACACTCCGTCGGGCGTTCCGTACAACAATGTCAACATCACCTCCAAAGGCAACGACGGAGCCACCACCAATGGCCTTGCAGTCACCGGCACCCTCGTCCTCGAATGGACGCGCTTATCCGACTTAGTCGGAGACTCCACCTATGCTGACCTTAGCCAGAAGGCTGAGTCGTATTTGCTGAACCCGCAACCCCAGTCTGCCCAGCCCTTCCCCGGGTTGGTAGGGAGCAACATCAACATCGCGACCGGCCAATTTGCTGATGGGGCCGTGAGCTGGAACGGCGGTGACGATTCGTACTACGAGTATCTGATCAAGATGTACGTGTACGATCGCAACCGATTCGGGACATACAAGGACCGCTGGGTGGCGGCGGCCGAGTCGACCATGAAGCACCTGGCGTCGCACCCGTCCACGCGTCCTGATCTGACTTTTCTGGCCTCGTACAACAATGGCAAGCTTGGCCTGAGCTCACAGCACCTGACCTGCTTTGATGGAGGTAGTTTCCTGCTCGGAGGCACGGTACTGGACCGCTCCGATCTTATCGATTTCGGTCTAGAGCTAGTCAATGGCTGCCACGACACCTACAACTCAACGCTAACTGGTATCGGTCCAGAGCAATTCAGCTGGGACCCTAACTCTGTCCCCGCCAGCCAGCAGTCTTTGTTCGAGAGTGCTGGATTCTACATCACCAGTGGCGCCTATATCCTCCGACCGGAAGTTATTGAGAGCTTCTACTACGCCTGGCGCGTGACTGGCCAAGAGATTGTAAGCAAGCGATTTCATTCGGTGAACGAGCTCATACTGACAAGCCTATTCTTTAGTATCGCGAATGGATCTGGAGTGCCTTCCAGTCCATCAACAAGTACTGCCGCACAGATACGGGCTTTGCCGGCCTGACCAATGTCAACGCCGCCAATGGCGGTAACCGCTACGATAACCAGGAGAGTTTCATGTTCGCCGAGGTCCTGAAATACTCGTACCTGGCGTTCGCGCCAGAGGATGAGTGGCAGGTGCAGAAGGGGACTGGGAATAAGTTTGTTCTGAACACCGAGGCTCACCCTGTGCGGGTCTACAGTACATAGATCGCGGACCTTGGTGCGAGGGGTAGAGCCTGGATTGATGCCGTTTCCGTGTAGAAGTCTAGATGACATACAGTTAGACACTGAAGTACATACATACATACTGATTGCGTAAATGGAATTATTCTTCCATGATGGGTGTTCATATTCCTCGTGACAGGTACCTTTGCAGTGACCACAATCTGATCTATAGGAAGCAAAGATCAACACGCAAAGTTCACATTAAAAGCCTCTAATGTTGCGACCAACCTTCCAAGCCACTAGAATACGTCGTTTAGCACTGGGTTTAGAAAATTCCATTGGACTCTCCCCAGCCTGCTGCGAAGTAGGTATTCGACCTCATGTTCTAGGCCTTCGGACCAGTGCACGGTTCACGTGACATCAACATCAAGGAGATTGGTAGTACTTGTTATCCTTGAGCTTCAAATTGTAGACATAATTTGGCTGGAATTTTACCAGCACAGACCAGCAGGCCTCGATCTGCAGCTAGCTTCTCTGAATATATGCCCACATTCATCATGGATGAAGAAGGCACTTGGGCGCACTTGTTCATCTCTGGCAATCGTCCCAATGTTCCCAAAGGCAAAGAGCTCATCAGCGAAGACAACTTCCGACCTTTCTGTGCGGAAGACGCAAACTGGCCGCTCGGGCGCCCAGCTGACAAGAGCAGACCGATAGACCCGCTCAACATAGAGGTGTTTTGGATCCGGATCAATGGACGCCGGATATATGTCGGCAAAGCTGTTGGTCGACCCGCTCCGGCGTACACTTAATCCCAACTTACGACGCGGTAACTGCCAGTTCCCTGACTATACTGAAGATTAGGCCAGGATGCAGCTTCATCGACTCAGCGTATCGAGACGCCAGATGCCAGTAACGATCGGCGATGTCGTGCGCGATTGGTATCGGTCCTTGCTGCAGGACCGACTTCGTCGGCTGGATGCCTTGCATCGGATTGGTATCACGCATGGAGACGTCAAAGACTGGCACTTTCGGGTTCCTGGTGACTCTTATGATACAGTCTTGTATGATTCCTTTGCAGCGTACACGTTCTCCGAGAAATGGCATTTTTGGAAATGTGCATCCAGAGATATCGCACGAGATCTTCGTGCCGATCTGATTGAAGCCGGTTGCGAAGATTCTGTTGACAGAGCTCTCTGGCAGTCTCTGGATGAAGAGGAGGAATTGCTGGAGCTGATTATACTGAAGGTCTACAGCCGTCCAGATTGTCGGTTTCTACCTTCCCCCCAATCTTCCATACGAGTCATAGAGGCATTACTGACGATAGCTAGACTTCTCAATGCCGGCATTGAACTCGATATTTCTTTTGCTGGGGACGATCTGTCCAGAACCTGACCCATGCTGGCACATTCTCATCTTTACGAACCGTTCTGGGCAGTCTTGTGCAATGAAAGAAGCCGAGCCGATATGCCCCGCTTTATACTTTGTCTAGTACCGAAGTGGTGGATCGAATTATTGAACGCGAACGATGAGACGAATTCGAAGACTACCAGGCTTCGCGACAAACTACGACAGCATTGCTTGCTTCCATTTCCAACCGAATGACCCGGGCATATTATTGAGCATGACAGATTCCTGGGACTACCGAATAGACGAGATCATCTAAAATAGGTGCAGCGCCGGGCCAGCCGTCGAAAATAGACTCGCCCCACCTTCCCCACTCAGCCCCCGCGTCAATTTGCGCGCATTTGAGCATCTTCTACTATACACCCTACAGTACGTGCATCGGATCTACCTTGGTAGCCAGACTGTCCGGCCACTTCCACCTTGGAGACTACTAACTACCCTTAAGTTCCCCCTTCACGCTTGTTCAGAATGTTGCAGAAATACTCAAATTTACTCAGCATTCTACTTCACTGTCGCACCGTATAAAGCCAACCCTTCCCTGGTCCCATCCCCTTAGCCAGACACCAAGATCCAGACATCAACACACCCCCCCCCCCCCAAGAAAGAAACAATGTGCGGCCCCTCCCGCCCCAGCACAGGCAGCCTCATCGCCATCATCTTCCCCTCCCCCGACAAACCCAGCACCTCCAACACATCATACTCCCTTTCCTTCAGCCATAACACCCCCGAAGGCCCCACAAAAGCCACCTTCCGAATCACAGACCCCAAGACCCGGGATATCTTTCGTGCAGCGCGGGGAGTGGATTTACGGATCGAGTGAGTTACTTCCCTTTCCCGCTTCTTTTCTTTTCTACTTGTCCATACCTATCGTCTTTCCACCGGGAAGATGGCTATGTAAAGCTTGAGGAGAGAGATTGACTCTGAACCAGGAAATACGGGGACTTGACTGCCCACAACGGCGAGCCTCCGTTGCATTGGTTTCGGATTCCGCTTTCTGAGGCCCAGTCCATGGCTCGGACGCGGCAGGAATGCGAGGAGATTGAGCTGCGGTTGCCGGAGCGGTTGGAGCTGGGGGTGTCGGGGACGGGGATCGTAGGGCGCGAGGTTAGGATCTCGGTGGAGGGGGTGGATGAACGGGTGGAGATGGGAAGGGGAGTTGTTGGGTTTGATTGATGTTTCTTGTTTCTTTGGGGTGTTCTCTTAGGGCTGTGGGTTGATTGTGCATGGAAATGGCGTTTATGGATTCGGAAGAGATGTCATTTAAGGCATCAATGGACTGTTCTGGACAGCGGCAGTGATATAGAGTGCTGCTTAGATGCCTTACATCCAATCAGTTCTATAGATCAAGCGAGCGCGTATATCTGCACAGAATCCGAACGACCAACCCCCATCACACGACCACAGAACCGACAACAGCATAATCCAACAGCGCAGCGACGAACCTACAACTTCAACAACGCAGCCCCATCCACCCCCTTGGTATACCTCTCCTCAGCCTCCACCCAATTCACGACCTCCCAAATCCGCTCCACATACCCAGCCTTATTATTCAAATACTACAATTCCCACAAATCGATCAATCAGCCCCAACACCCACCCACCCACAAGGCACAGAAAAACATACCTGAAGATAATAAGCATGCTCCCACATATCCACCCCAAGAACCGGAACCTTCCCGCCAACAACAGGATCCTGATCCTTCGTGCTAACCAACTCCAACTTTCCGGCTGGCCCACCAACGCAGACCAACCAGCCCCACCCACTACCCTGCAGACTCAGCAGTAGCGCCCCGAAGGCCCGCGTGAATTGCTCCACGGACCCCCACTGCTGCTCGAGGGCGGCCTTGAGTCGCGGCGCGGAGGCGGCGATGTCCGTCGCGGGCGAGCCGTGCGGCGCGAGGTTCCGCCAGAAGAGCGAGTGGTTGATGTGCCCGCCGCCGTTGAAGGTGAGTTTCTGTTGGATGCTGAGGAGCGAGGGCACGTCGTTGGCTGCTAGGGCTGTGGCTTGGGCTTCTAGGGCGGCGTTCAGGTTGGTGATGTAGGTTTGGTGGTGTTTTGTGTGGTGGAGGTGCATTATTTGTTCGGAGATTATGGGTTCCAGGGCCTGGAATGAGGGTTAGGGTTAGTAAAGGGGGGGGCTGTAGGGGTTGGGGG